TATATATATATATATATACATAGATAAACTGTGTATTTGAATATATTTGGGGAGGGGGCGTTCTCTAAATTAAGGCTCCTTCGAGGAACATTCTTCTAATTATTCTTGGTATTATCCGAGTGACATAGTCTTCGGGACCTCAGAAGGACCCTGATTTCGGGAACTATCCATCTACTCAACCATCCACACTGGCTAAGTTGCGCCCCGACAGCCGTGCAAGACGCCCACTAGACACCCTAAGTACGCCCAGTGGCCTCTGACCTGGCCCTGTTCAGCCGTCGTGTGGAAAGCTGCCAGTCTAGATATCTTTGATTCTTCTTCAGTCAACAGGTGAGCCTGTTTGGCAAGCAAACACCTTAGAGTGGAGCAGGACACTGCAAACTGGCGACCCATCTCCTCATGCTATTCCACTAGAAGTATCAGCCTCACCGCCAACAAGGTTTTCATTAGCCTCGTCGCTCTTGTCATCATCGCTGTCACCGGCGCGGTCGCAAACAGCTTCAGCATCAGCACCGGCATCAGCACCAGCACCAGCACTACTGTAGCATCTTCATCAACAACACCTCTAGCATCATCATCAACATCATCATCATCATCGTCATCATCGTCGCCATGGCCATGACCATCACGAGGGAGAACAATAGGATGCTCTTGCGACGGAGAAAGATCCCAAGAACGGAAGCACGCGACTGAGCGAGATTTCGGCCATGAAGCCAGGGCATGTTGGAGGGTTTGCATGCGGCTTTGGGTCGACAACACAAATCCCACTCGTAAGAAAGCGATCCAAGCCCTGTTTGTGACGGGACTGGAACCCGGCCACCGGCACTTCCTTAGCCTGAACTCCCAAACCCGAAAATCCGATCTCTGAGCCCTGGAACCTTAAAACATTTACCCCGGTAGACCCATCAACCTCAAGCGAGCTGAAACCTAAATCCAGAAATCCTTGGACCCAGCACCCGGAATCTTAAACCCTATATGCTAAACCTTGACATCCTAAACCCCCACGTGCCAGTTTCCGTGCCTGCACTACGACGTTTGTTTTGGCCGTGATTTCACGGCCCTTTCCCTGGGGCTGAGCGCTCCGACCAGGGATGGCGGATGGCCCCGGAGGGCCGAGTTGGGCAACAACAAGAAGAGCGCCAAGACGTGAAAGGTTCAGAGATTAATACGGGACCTTTAATAATTAGAATGGGGTCCCTTTAAAGGGGTCTTTCACGGTTGCGATAAGGGATCTAAGAGGGTACTACAATACAGGGGCCTTAATAAGTAGAACGGGTTTTAGGGTATGTTTTACTACACTTATAATAAGGAACCCCCCAAAACCCTATTCTAATATTTATGGCGCCTATAGTAGGATTTCAGGGGTGCAAAACGGGCTCCATGTGTTTTCAGAAAAAGGGTTGAGGGGGCGTAGGGCTTAGCCAACAAGTTTCACAATCAGTCCTGAATGCTATACTCGCAAAGCCAGAGCGAACGAATGATGTCTTAAAGGATCTTAGCTGTGACGGTACTCATTCTGAGACGGTTTTCACAATAGTTATGATAGCGGATCGTCGTGGCAGTCATGCAGGTAACACTAGTGCAAAACTATCTATCTTCATGTCGAGGACATTTTTGGATAGAAGGGCAAGGATTGTCGTACTCGTGGTAATCCTACGTACATTTCTAAGTTAAATCATACCGCTTTGGCGAATTTAGCCGAACCCCAGCTTTAAACCCGAAACCACTAAACCCTAAACCCTACACCTTAAACCCCTAAACCCTACACCTCAAACCTCTAAGCCCTAAACCCTAGACCCCCAAGCCCCTAAACCCCAAACCCCTTTAAGCTCGAGTCTCTAAGCCTCGGGGGAGTCGAAGGTGGCGGTACGAGAGACCCGGCCCTAAGGGTTCCTTTAAGGGTTTCCTTTGAGGGTGCCTTTAAGGGCTCCTGTTTAAGGGTTCCTTTATAAGGGATCTAGAAGGATTCCTTTCAAAGGGTTCCTTCTAAAGGGTTCCTTTTAGTTTTAGGAGGAGGGTTCCTTGGAGGCTTCCGTTATAGGCCCTGCAGTTTAGGGCTTACGTCTTCGAAGCCTTGCTTGGGATCTAGTGCCTTTGGATTTGGTACTTACTTAAGGTCCCTATACGCATATACATGTATATATATATATATACATATACAAATATATATATATATATATATATATATATATAGATATACATATACGCATAAGTATTTACATATGTGTATCATATGTATATCATATGTATATATACACATTATATTAGTTCATAGTATAGAGCAACATATGCCCTTCAAACCTCAATTCATCATTGCCCCCACACTGCATCTTTACCAGGCCCGGCACAGCCCTCCGAAGGTGCAGGTTCTGATTGATGCTTTCGCGCTCGGGGTTTCGGGAGGCTTAGGGCTTAGGGCTTAGGGTGCTCTGTGGGTGGGGTTGAGGACGTAGCGTAGAGGTGCGACTGCTGGTAAGAGCGTCCCTTAGAGACTTAAAGATATCTTTAGGATGGTAAAACCGGAGCCCTACAGCTCGGAATATTTTGAGGCTCATTTTTTAGCTTATGGGGGTGGCTGGACCAGGGCTTGAGTCTCATGTTTCATTCCTTTCATCCCGCGTGAAAGCATCAGTGAGACTCGATCAGAAGGTGAGAAGTTCTTGATGGGGACCACTCCCAAGAACTCCAACGGGATCTGAGGCGGCATGCTCAGTCGAAAGGGCAGGGCATCTTGCCGAAGTCCGTTCAAGAGACGAGACAATTTTGTGCGGAAGTTTCCGGGCGCACACCTCGACTGCGCGGGCTTCACCTTAATTCTGCAAAAGCCAACCTCTAGACCCGGGCTGTAGTGCCACAGCGACTCCGCCTCAAAGGAGGATAGGCGCTCTGAGTAAGCAGGGGCGACAACGTCAGGACTAGTTTGTTTTCTTCAGACAAGAATGAGTTCACTCGGTCTTGTTACGGCCTAATTGATACATTGCTGCTTGGCAGCTCTTGGTATCATGATGAACATGTTATTGTGGAAGATGATCAAGCCATGAGCACTACGATTATGACGATGATGATGATGACGCTGACAAATGAAAGAATATGTAAGCAGTAGTAAGCTCCAAACCTACGCCTTGATATGGAGGCACTTCCCCGAACGTTCCAAGGCATGTCGTGTCAAAAGTGTTTCATCAAACCCAAAGCCCACACCCTGGCACTCGTGACCGTGAGGCTTGAAAACCCTAGTCCACTCATTTAGGCCTCTGTGTGGTTTTTCTAAGCTTGATACCCCCAAGCACCCAGTCTCATTGTTCAGGCATAACTTCCCAGATTCTGTTTACGGGTGGCTTGACGACCGATCTGCAACTTTTTTTTGAATTCGGATCTCGTACCATTAAGTAACCACAGAAGTAGTCTAGCCGAGGTATCCTCAACATTGTGGAACCACACATCCCCAGACCACACAACCGCGAATTAAGAGCCGCTGCGTCGCGCCGTCGCCTTTGTGGAGTTTCCGCCTCCAGCGGCACGAACGATGCTGCTGGCCTGAATCGCTTAGGACGAGCTGCCATTTAAGCGGTGCGGCTGAGCATTCGGGCAGACCACGACTTAGTCCGAAAACCGGGAGTCATCTGTGGGTGTTGTTGGAGCTAGCTTCTAGCGGTTGGCCGTGAGGTCTGTAGCAAGACCCACCTTCACGAGCAGAAGTTTTATAGGGGAGCTTCAAACTCGACCCACCCGCACATGCAGGCATAAAGCTGCGAATGGCATGCCAAGGGCCCAGGTCCGCGCTTGGGTGCTCCTACCAGTCTACCAGATGAACTATAACTAGGCCCTAAGTAGGCGAACCTCTGGTTTCGGGCGTGGGCCTGCACTACGGCTCCTGCCTGCTCCTTGAGTTTATCTGGGGTTCGAAGTACCATTAATCGGGACCATCTCTAGCTGTTCGACAGTCCAGATTAAGACTTGTTGTTGTGTCCACAGCACGAAGCCAACCTTATATTTTGAGCCCCCAAACGAAACCCTCAACCCTAAACCCTAAGCTCGGCTGCTGTCTGACGTGTCTGCCCGATTGACATACAGCTGCGCCCGCACCGGCAGCCTTCTCCATAGCTCATCGCCAGCCTTACCGCTGGCGCTAGCAGAAAGTAGCTGACTTAGGTGACCTAGCAAACTTGGCCGAGCCAATAGAGAGTCCACACCGGGCAAACTTCTTATGCCGTCTGGGGGGAGGTTCTTCAAGCTTCGGGTTCGCTTTCACCTCCAAGGTTTGAGGTGTCGGTGCCATGCCTTCCCCTCGAGACTACTCGCGCATCAAGTGCTGCACTCCTCAAGCTTGGTTCCATTCTCGCCCTGCACCTTCTGCCCTCGAAGTCCTGAAAGCCCCACTACGTAACCCCAACTCCAAAGCAGTGCTCCCCAGACCCTAATTAAACCCTAAACCCCAAACCCCTAAACCCTTAAGCCGCGAAAGCCTTGAACCAGAAAGGCCCTGATCCGCAGCCTCTCAAAGCCCAAACCCTAAACCCTAAACCCTAAACCCCTGAACCAAGCGTCTGGCCCGAGCCCTAGGTGTAGTTTCCCCCTGGGTCCACCTTCGGCAAAGGCTTTGACCTCAGTGAGGCGCCGGAACGCCCACGACTTCAGGCCGTGTCTGTACGCTTTGCGAGGACACGCTGCCTTCGGAACCCCACCTGTGTGGTGGCTGGTGTGGCTACGCCACTTTTTCCTACAGTTTTGAGTTTTGTGGATGAGTGCTAGAGTGGTCCTGGTTTGGTTGTTCTACTTCCTTTTCCTGGACTTCGAATCGCTCCGATTTTGTGAAGACGGAGCCGCCAGAGCCGAGCTGGCACAGACGGCAGCGACGCGCAAGAACGCGCAGTCGCACCACCCTGCGAAACTTCGTCAGCGGTACTCAAGTGCCTACACGAGACGTGAAGGCAGCGCTGCAAGCGCTGCAGGGACACCACTCGAGCTCAGTTTTGATACACCAGACTCTCCGGCTTCTAGCCATGAGTCAACCGTGGAAATGCCGGAACTGCGCGCAGTTCAACAAGAGTACGGCAGAATACTGCCCGCACTGTGGCTCCCACTGGAATGTGAAGCCGCAGGCCTACACAGCTACTCCAGCGCGCACTCCATGGCAGCCGATCAATCAAGAATGGCCGCAGGACTGGCAGGGGCCCCATTGGAGGACCACCAAGTCACCACGGTCAAGGAGACGCCCTCAATCACCCAGGTCAAAGGGTGGCGGCAAGGGCAAAGGCAAGGGCTCCGAGAAGGGGCCAAACCGTCAGCCGGGGGATGCGTTGAGCAAGCCGAGCCATCCATCAGTGGATGGTCTTCCAAAGGCTCCTACGGTGCCCACGGTGACTTTGCCGGCTACGGCTGCTGGACAGGCAGCGAGTTCAGACGACAGCAAGCTCATGGGGTTCTTGGAGCAGTTGTCGAAGCAAGAAGGACTGACACCGGGCATCAAGGAATTGATGAACCGTGTCACGGGCAATACAGTGCAGGAGGAGACCAAGGCTCTGCACAAATTGGTGAAGGCGAGATCCACGGCCTCCAAGGCTCTCGCCCAAATTCAGACGGATCGCCGGGCCTTCGAGGAGTCATGGGCAACCTACAGTGCATCGCTCATGACACTCCTCCAAGAGCAGCTGCAGACCAGATCAACCACCCTGTTAGAGCTGGACAAGGCCCAGACAGAGTGGGCGGAGAAGCTACGAGAGTACTCGCTGCAGATCAAACAGGCTACAACAGGGGAAACGGAGGATGTCCAGAGGATCGACGACTCCGACAGCGACATGGATGCAGCGATACAAGTGGAGGAAGAAAGGGCTGCGAAGCAGGCCCAGCACCAAGAGGAGATGCTGGCACAGCATGCGAGCATCTTGACGGCGCTCCAGCAGGTTCACACCTCAGCCAAGGAGGTGGCGAATCGTCGAGAAGGGTCGCGCACTCCGAGAAGGGGAAAAGGCCACCGAGCGGAGGAGCCCTCTTCCACGGATACCGACAAGCCAGAAGCAGCCCTAACAGAGCCAGAAGGACATTCCAAGCCGCCTTTTGGTTAGGCTCACTTGTGTGCCTCAGTGATACAAGTGAGCCTTGTTCTCCGCCCTGTTGGCGTCGAGTTACCCACAGCATATGGCAGAGCCACGATTTTGTGGACGACCTGCATGCAGGGCTCTATGCCTGCATGCTTGAGCTCTCGGTGCTGCAGCCTAGGTTCAGCTGGCTGCCAGATCCGCGCATCCGTGCCTGTGACCCAGATGAGCCTTCTATTGACTGGCCAATCAGTACCGATGTGACCTCAGCCACGTTCCAAGCGTCCTCTCAGCACATGGCCGAGCTGGGAGTTGACCTTGACGAAGTGGCTGGTTCACTTGGGAACACGGGTCGAGTCAATCAGAGCGCTCTCTCGAGGCCAGGTATTCTGAAGCGGCGGGCTGTACAGAAAAAGAATTGTACAGTTGTTTTCTGCGATGCACCCTCCATCAGTGTTATCCCTAGCTGCAATAAAGGCCGGAGCTGCAAGGACGGCAAAGTTGAATTGCCACCCACCCCTGGACAAGCCGAAGAGCCTGTCCTCACGCCTCCTCGCAAAGTGGCACGTGACAGTGGAATCCGTAGCCCAGGTCAGATTGCGCTTATTCGTGCAGAGCATGTTCGCATCATCCCTGAAGAGCTTAGAGTCTGCCCGCTCTTCAGCATGCCCGTTTCAGATTTCAGCTGGGGAGGGCAGGGCGAAAGCTCACAAACTGCCTTCACGATCTTCGATCATGAGAGGCACCATGTTGTTTCCAGGAGGCTGCCACATGCAAGCCTGTGGGAGCTTGTTGCTCTCGCAATCAGCGAGGCTCCTTTTACAGTTGGTGCTGTTAAGGTGCTAGCAGACTGCCTGCCGGCTCTCCCCAAACCTCAGCTGATACTCATCGAGTTGGGCAGAGATGCCACCGAGCTTCCCATCCCTTGGGACCTCAGAAGTCTGCAAGAGCCCATCCGTACTTTGAGACATGTCAGTAGGCAAGATCGTGTTGAAGCCCTTCAGCAAGTACAGCCTTTCCTGCGCAGGCATGCCAATTTCGTTGCGGATGTCTTAGAAAGTAGGACCTGGGTTAGGGATGCACTCGGACCTCTCCTGCAGGAACTGCCCACCAACCTTCATGTGGTCCAACACTACCGTGCTAGTGAGATGCCACCAGCACTTCTCATCGGTGCAGGTGACACAGCTTCTGCTCTTGCGTCTACTACTAGCACCACCACAGGAGCGCGGATCGCTTCCTCCAATACGCAGGATCCCTCCTTGTGTTTGACGGTTATCAGGGATGATACTGTCTTTAGGGTTGATGTTGGGACTGGACAGGAATTTTTCGATGCACATTTGTTCCAGTTGCTCCGAAGGCATCACGAGCAGCGTGCGCTGCCCGATCAGTTTGGGCTCGTCGTTGCCAGCACCCAGCCGCCGCGCATGGGCTATCAACAGGAAGTGTGCATCATGGTCAATGAAGACCCAGAGAGCGTGGTTGTCCTTTGGGACGAGAGGCCCATTGGAGGGCCGCTTCGTGCTAGGTCTGTATCGGCTATGCAAGTCACACAACTCATCCTGCCTGAAGCAGCCCGGGACAACGGCATGCTTGTGTCCGTAAATGGGGTTCCGGAGCACTATGCACTACGGCATGTCCGTAGTGGAGACATGATTCAGCCCTATAGCGGCGACCAGGTGCCTGCTGTGGTACCACTCAGTTGGGTTCTGCAAATTTGTCCCTGGATGCAGCCTCTTGCCTGGCAGATGACCACTTCGCTTGATTTACTCTTCAGAGGTCTACGCCACCGTCGGCAACAGTTAGGCTTTCACATGCTCGATGTCGGGGTTCTGCTTCTGCGGGGGCCCTTGCATGGCGACCTACGCATGCGAACTGGGATCCATGGGGTCTTGGATCTCAACCATCTTGAGCATGCTGTGCGCAGGCTTGTGCATTTTCCAGTGGGGTTGAATTTCGAGCTTACGCCGGTCAGACGCCGCCACAGTGCACTGTTCGTCTCCACTTGCCCCAATAGGCAGGTGAACACTGTGCTGCTGCCTGCTCCGGGATTCCCAGGGCACCATCTCATACTTCTTATTCCCACCGGTGTCACTTCCATCAGCCAAATCCCCACGGCCCCTCAGACTCTGCTCATGGCGCGTCGGGATCTCCGCCAAGGGGATGTACTTATGGCAACAAGGGCGCCAAGCCCTATTGAAGATGACCTCACTCCTGATTCAAGAGACGATGTGAATCTACTACAGGTCAGCTTTCAGGTCAAATCTCCTGTGCAAGATCAGGTCCGTGCCATTCCCACGCCTTTCGGCCGGCGTGCGATTTCTGTGCCTGCACAACAGGCCGTGGGCTGCAACACCCTGGTTCAGGGACCCACGGCCAATCCCTCGCCTCGCCAGCTCCACCTCTCAGAATTGATTGAGCCAGGGGCCTGTGATGAATCTGGCTCTCGGATGCTTTTAGGGGTACATCGGGACATGTTTGAGGACGTCTTTGCACCCTTTCGTGCCGAAGCGTTTGAGCATCAGTGGCAGGATATCCCGGACCTGCCTGCAGCGAGCAAGCGCTTCCTCTCCCACCTCCCTGATTTTCCGCCAGGCAGGCAGCCAGAGGCCATCCAGGTCTACATAGACGGCTCTTTTACCCAAGCAAGGAATGATGAGGTTCTTTCAGGATGGGCAATGTGCATGCTCGGTATGTGCGACCACACGTGGCACTGGATGGGCTACCTCTCAAAAAGGACAGGCTCAGGCAACGAAGGTACACTACAAGTGCCCGTAAGGGCTGCCTGTGACACAGAGCTCGCAGCCGCTGTGCACGCACTCGCGGTGTGTAATGCCATCCCCTGCCAAGCCCTCTTGGGCTTTGATGCCACTTATGCAGGAGACCTTCTCCAAGGTACAGCCACTGCCAGCACTTCCACTGCGCTCACGCGCGCAGCAAACTCTTTACGGCATCTACTTTGGCTCCAGCGCAGGGAGCCATTCCTGCATCATATCCGCTCGCACACTGGCCACCCGCTCAATGAACTCTGCGACGCGGCAGCTAAGGCGGCAGCAAAAGGCAGGGAGGCAGGTGTTTTCTCTCCCGCTGTGTGCGAGGCTCAGGCACAGGCCGTACTCCCGTGGATCTGGACATCTCTTGGGATTTGCCCCGACTTACCAAGAATGTCCGAGTCTGGAGTCATTCACGATGGAACCCACAGCTGCAAGCCATGGTCACTGCATCAGGCTTTGGGCCCGCAAGGAGCTGCAGAGGAGGCCAAACCTGACTCAGCTAGAGGGGATCCACAGGATGTAGATTTTAGGTTTAAAGCCGTCACATACAACTGTCTCTCTTGTGCTAGCACGGCTCAGAAAGAATCTCTAGATGCCCAATTTTATGCAGCGCGCTGTTGCGTCGTTGGCATCCAGGAGGCACGTTGTGAAGGTGAGTCCCGGCGCCAATCCGAGCATTATCACATTTTGCAGAGTGCTGCCCATCAAGGGCAATGCGGATGCCAGATCTGGCTGGCCAAAAAGCTGCCTCTGTGCTCTGACGGTGGTGCAGGAGCCACTTGGGACCCCAGAACCCTCAGCATTCTCTTGAGCCAACCGCGCTTGCTTGTCGTGACCGCAAAAGTAGCGGGCAAACAATTTGTTTTGATTGCAGCGCATGCGCCAGTTGCAAAGGACGCTCTCGAGAAGCGCCGAGATTTCTGGCAACAGCTGCACTCAGCCCTGCGCACAGCGCCACCAGCATGTGTCCCCATACTGTTTATCGACGCCAACGCTCAGATATGTGTTGAGGATGCCTCCAGTAAGGAGACTTCCAATGTCTCCTTCTTCAGCAGTCTTCTGCAGGATCACGAGCTCACCCATTCAGGCAACAAGGATGGAGATGGTGCGGAATTTTACACCTGGCAGGGACCCAATGGCCAAAGAGCGTGCATAGACTTCGTCTGCAGCCCCTCCACACTAAGTGCTGGCTCCTGTACTCTTGGGCCTCTCCCGGCCTTCGAGGGCGTTGTCGACCACGATCACCGCCCAATCGCAGTCGAATTTGTTTGGGCTGCCGAGGCTCGGATCAAGAAGCCAGTACCTAAACTTGATGTCGCCTTTCTTCGTACCCCTTTGGGTCGTGCCCAGTGGCATCAGTGGCTCTCCGCCTCTCCAGTTGTCCCTTGGCAGGCCGGTGTCGATGAGCATCTTGAGCGGATCCAATGTTTTCTTCAGGCCGGTCTGAACCAGATCTGCCCTCGGCTGGCATTGCAGGCCAGGAATCCTATTACTTCACCTGAGGCCTGGCAGTGCATCACCCAAAGAAGGGAGCTGAGACGCAGATTGCACGATGCGATGCTCTTTTTCAAGCAGCTCTTACGCAAAGCCACCTTTCGTGCATGGGCCGGTCTTGGCACCCGCCGAGCGGACCTCCACTTTGCCCGACTTCATGCGGCCCTGCTGGGATCGCAAATCAGAGTGGCTGGCAACAGGATACGAAGGCTGGCCAGACGTGATTCGGCCGATGCAACCCGCCGCATATTTCAAGATGCACGGGGCCAAGGACCAGAGGCATTGCACAGGTTATTCAGGCAGATCACAAAAGTGGGCCGAAAATACAAGAAGCCGGCACTCAAACCTGCGATTCGACAGGTTGATGGCACTTTTGCCAACGATCCGGACCTCCTGCTCGGGCAGCATTTCGCGCAAGCTGAAAGAGCCAGCCCGGTTCCCGCCCGGGACTTGTTGACCAGAGAGCCAGATGTATGCTTGTCGCCGCTTGAGCCAGTTGAGGAAATAAGCGTTGCTTGCCTCTCCGAGGCTTTTGGCCAGCTCGCCTGCAAAAAGGCTCCCGGAGCCTCGGGTATACCACCGGAAGCTTTGTGTGCTGCAGCCCTGCCGTGTGCGCATCTTCACTTCCCGCTTGTGATGAAAATGGCGCTCCGGCGCCAAGCGCCGGGCTTGTGGAGGGGGGGCATCGCCCACCCCATCGAGAAACCGGGCAAGCCTCTTTCCCAGTTGGCATCCTGGAGATCTATTCTCCTGTTAGAAACGGCGGCTAAAGGAGTGGCGAGGTCGATCCGCCCAAGCCTCTTGAAGGCTTACCGCCATCTTCGATGTCCTGCCCAAGGGGGGAGCCTACCTGGCTTGCCGCTGCAGCAGCCCATGGGGCATGTGCGGGCTATATCCGCCACCTCCGCCAATGCTCTGTTTCAGGCGGTATGGTGTTCGTGGACGGAAAAAATGCTTTTTATAGCACTTTTCGTCAACGACTTCTGGGTTCCGATTCGACAGATACTGCCGAACAGCTTGATTGGCTCGCTACTACCTGCTTTGAGGATGAAGCCTCCAGACTGCGGTTTTTGGCGGCAGCAGCAGGACCTGGACTCCTTGCTGACAGTGGCACGCCAGAAGTCATCCGGAGACTGATCACGTCCTTGCTTGATCGGTCGTGGTTCGGAATAGGCCAAGGAGGTCGCCACGTGTTCAGCACGGCCACCGGCACCATGCCAGGTGCGCCGTTAGCGGATCTGCTTTTTCAGGAGGTCTTCTCGACAGCCCTCGAGGGGCTTAAGGCAAGGTTACAGCTTGCAGGATGCTTGGCATCGCTTCGGACAGCCGACGGCGCGGCGTCCATCACGATGCCGCCGCCATCGTGGATGGACGATTTGGCGGTGCCCGTGCCTATGGGACGCGCCGATGCTGTCATACCACAAGCATGCACCATCGTCCGAGCAGTGGCAGCAGAACTTCGAGACATCGGCATTGAGCTCAATACTGCCGAAGGTAAGTCCGAATTGCTGCCAATCTTTGCTGGAGCAGGCAGCCAGGTTGAAAAAAGGCGCTGGTTGTGTGCTGACAAACCGACCTTTCCGGTTCTACTGGAGGGAGGCACAACTGTAGCCATCCACATATCGGCTACCTACATCCACCTCGGGGCAATCGTGGACGCCAAGGGGGGGGATGTCGAAGACATCCGACGTCGATGTCGTTTGGCCCACGAGCTCATCAAGCCGCAGGTGAGGATTTACAGCAATCCTTTCTTGAGTGCGAGTGAGAAGCTGGAGATTCTCTTGGCCGGGCCTATGTCGCGGTTCCGCCACGGCAGCGGCCTTTGGACCCTACGCCATCCTGCTGACCGTGCCCTTTGGCATTCGTCCTACATGAGCATCCTGCGGCACACATTCAGACAGCTTTTCCACATTCCCTCCAAGGGGATGTCGGATGCAGAGGTTGCGACTGGCATGGGAGTGCTCACTTCTGTGCAGGCCCGCCGGGCTGATCTCATCCGCCATGCTGGCTGGATGTTGTGTGAAGAATCCCCGGCGATCCACGCCTTGTGGTTCCAGACAGGCCCTTGGCGTGAAGAGCTCTGCGAGGCTCTTGCTACTGCCCGCAGCCATACAGCCCCTTCCTGCTCAGGAGAGCAGCTGCTCCAGCAACTCCTCCGAGACCCTGCGCTGGCCAAACTCTGGGCGCGGGCATACGTCAAGAAGGAACGAGCCTTACAGCGAAAGGCTCAGGGTCGAGTGCTCGAAGTGTGGGGCAACTTCGCAAAGGCACAGCAGCAGGGATGGTGCTTTGTGCATGCAGACTTGGATACGTTGCTTCGTGATGGCCAGTTCACGTGCCAAGTCTGCCGTGCAGGCTTTGTCAGCAAGCTCGCCTTGGCAGCCCACCGGCGCAAGGTCCATCACATCTCGGCCCGACCGGCGGCGGCTACGATGGCCACTCGCTGTGAAGTTTGTGCAGTTGAGTTCTGGACCACAGCCAGGTTGCACATGCACTTGCGGAAAAGTCAACGCTGCCTGGTCACCACCGAGGAGGCTGACCTTGACACTGCAAGGCCCACCAGGGGCTCAGTCGGATTCACATGGGCTCCGGCAGTCCCTGTGACGGGCCCTAAGCCCTTCTGGGCTACGTTGCAGCCGTCCGATGCTCATCACGAGCCACCGCCCACCCATGTGCAGCCGGAGTGGCCCATAATCCCGCCTCGGGCCACTCTCTACCAACAGCCTCACTTCGAGGCTTTTGTCCGGCAGCTCATTATCTTCGGCATCCGCGTGCAACCGGCACCTGAGGACTGGCCGTTGGGGATGCTAGATAAGTCTGTGGTTGATGTAGTGAGGTGTGCATTTGCTGCAGCAGATTTTGTCCTTGCGCGAAGCGCAGGATCCTTTCACAGCGGCCTATGGAACTGTGGGGTTTGCCACGGTCGGGTCGTTGTATTTCCTGGTGTGAAACGCCAGAACGTTGATCTGCCCACGCCATGGCAGATCTGTTATCAACAGACCTCGCGCTGAGCGCGACAGTGGACGTTGCATGCGGAGTGCGCTTCTTGAGCCCAGCCATCATGTCCAAAAACCCCTGAACCCTATAACTTCATCCCGAAGCCAAGAGATCCGACCTGGCCCGAAAGGAAGACCTCAACCTCGCAGATTGGTGTCTTGAGGGTTCAGGGTCTCTAGGCTTTGGGGCTTAAGGGGTGTAGGGGATGATTAGGGGTGCAGCTTAGGAATTTTAGGGGTTTAGAGGTTTAGGGGTCTAGGAATTCAGAGGTTTCGTGGTCAGAGGTTGAGGGGTTGACGGGTTTAGGGCGCTTTAGGGACCCCCTTCCGTGACTGCAAGTAGTTGCATCGGTTTCGGAGCCGGCTCTGAAAGCAAGCGAGAAAGCGCCCCAGGGAGTTGAACCTTCGGGTTTAGGGTTTCAGGGTTTTTGGGGTTTAAGGGTTTTGGGGTTTTTGTGATCAGGGCTTCAGGGTTTAAGTGGTTAGGGTTTTGGGGCTTTTTTGGGGTTTCAGGGTTGAGGGCTTAGGGCTGAGGGTTTGGGGCTGAGGAGAATCTCTGGGTGTCGGGAGTTGGCATTCAGGTTTGCGAGTTGAGATCAGGGGTTTGGGCTTAAGGCATTGGGATGTAGCGGTCCAGAGCTGTTGCCATTAACCCTGATACGCTGGGCCCCCGGGCGCTAAAGAGAGCGAGCATTCCCAGCTCCCCACCGGAGGGATTGAGGAAAGAGTGTGGGGTTGAACGGTTTAGGGTTGCGTCCAAAAGCGTTTCTACAAAGGCACTGTTCAGCTTCGGATCAGGGATCGAAGGGCTGGACCTCCGCCGCACTTGCCGCACTCTGGCTCAGGACTCAGGACGTCCAGTCCGACATAACTGCAGGCCTAGGCAGAAGAATGGACACCCCCCCAGGGAGCAGACGCTATGCCCCCAAGCCAGCTACCCAGACCCCAAACCCTAGACTCTGAGCCACAAGCGCACCATGAGCCTTAGCCCCAAACCCTCAAGAAGGTGCTTTCGCTTCTGAAGTTCGGCTTGGCCAAAGCCTCGAGACTCATGGCGCCGTCCTATGTGCTGGCCATCGACCAGGCCGTGTGTACTGAGAGATAAGAGAGTTTCAGAGAACTAGGCTGCTTTATTCGTGTGGTCTGTGCAAATCAGGACACTTTTGTGTAGGGTGCTCCATCAGGGTCCCCTGTTTTCCGAAACTCCCACAACTCTGCGATTACCTTGAGTTTTGGAGCTTTCACGATGCACATGCTTGCGCCCACGGTAAATCCCATAGATCATACACCGTTTTTCATGTCCGGCAAATGGGTAGTTCTGTAAGAGGTTCCCTTTCGGGGTTCTTATATAAGGGATATTTTGGGAACCTAAAAGGGGAACTTAGTTTGAAAGGACTACCCCAAAGGACGGGTCTCATGCTTGAGCCCTCCCCGGCTTCTCCTCCTCGTTCTTCCTCTGTGGCCAGGTGCTGGCGTTTTTTGGGCATACTTTGGGGGATTATGGGCAAAGTCCAGACACCCTAAGCCCTAAGCCCTAAACCCGAAGTTTGGAGTTGGGGCGTTTTGGGACCGTAGGTTTTTGGCGCACTGTTGTGTTGAGTGGGTTTCTGGCAGCGAAAAGAGTACGTCCAGATGAAGAGCAGCCAGGTAACGGAATCTTCATTGTTGTGCAGCGTAAGCCGTTTCTATGTGAGCACCATGAAACTGGGACTGGATGCTATCCCTCATGATGTCATGAGCACCATCTGTGAAGTGTGTGTGTGCTGCAAATGGTGTGTGCGCCGTGCCTTCTCCGAAGTGAGTGCCGGGCACATGTTGGGATTGCATCGTCTCTCGGCTTTGTGTAAGCGAAGGGGACCTTTCGCAGGGATCCGTATCGGGAGGCTTCCCCTCCGGGACCTTCCACACATCAAGCTAAGATGCTGATTGAGATCTTGCTCATTATTGCTACTCAGCTCCTTGGGAGCGATGTTGCTCATCAGCTGCGAGCGGTGCTCAAGCGGCTTGGCCAGATCAAAGCTCGCCTCACTAAGTGTAGGCTTCGCAAGCCCTCTGGCACCAGATGTGCCCCTAATTAAGCCAACATCCCTAAACCCTGAACCCTAAACCCTCCCGTGGGGCTGGTTTTAGAATCAAAGCACGAGGCCCCAAATCCTCACTCCCTGAACATGCAACCCCTGCAGGCACAAGTCTTAAACCCCTGGACCTGTCTCACGATGCTCTGACTAAGAGCAGTTAGTACTCACATCCCGTTCTTGCCCTTAGAACCCTGTCCAGCCCTAGAAACTCGTACAAAGACCCTCCAAAACCTCATAGGGAGCTGGCAGAAACCTCCCAGAAATGCCCATCCCCACTGCCAGGGCACCACGTCTACGCGGGCGATCTTGTTTGACAAGGACATGGGCAGAAGGGATCCCGCTTCAATGACAGGTTTAGGCTTAGGGTTTTCGGGCTTTAGGGTTGGGTGTTTAGGGTTTAGGGTTGAGGGTTGCGGGTTTCAGATTTAGGGTTTGGGAGGGTTGCCTTTTTTCTGATTGGAGTAGAGAATTAGAAGCATCCCAACTACATTGTGTGTGAAGGCTGGGGCGGCTTATCAACGACCAAGTTCCTCCGTGTTTCAGGGTGGGGGAGGCATTGCAGGCACGGCCGAATATAGGAGCCCCAGAAATTGAAGATGATGACATCTGGGCAGATGGAAGACCTGCCCGAACCAAGAAACCAGCCAGTAAACTCCATAGCCGTAGACGCCATACAGCCCGAAGATGAGGGATTTAGGGTTTCGGTGATTCAGGGTTGAAGAAAGCCCTTTACCCAACCTTAAACCCTAAACCCTAGGTTGGGATCGTTGGGAGTTTTCGTTTCACAATGGCTGTAGGCCTAGAGGAGTCAAGGGTGCGCAGTCAGGTTTCCGAACTCCACGAAAGCCCTACTCAACCCTAAACCCTTAAACCTTAAACCCTAAACCCTTCAACCCTAAACCCTAACCCTACTAGGTTAGGGTTCCCGAAGCCTCAGAAAGCCCTGAAGAAATCGAGCGAAGCTCTGGGTTTCTGGGCCGAGGTATTGAATTAAGTTACCAAAATAGGGATCCCTAGAAATATCATCGTTTATTTATTGTGGTAACTTAAATTACTCTCGCAAATAACATAGTTTCTTTATTATGGCAACTTAAATTAGATCCCAAAACAAGAACGCACTCTGTGGGGTTCTCAGTCGAGGATGGCCAGCCCAAGGCCATGGAACAGCAGGAGTTCCCGCAGCAGCCCGGACTTCTCGGCTTGGAGTGCTGTTTAGGGCTACTTAAAGGGGGTGTAGTGCTAAGGGCTTGAGGGTTTAGGGGGTTAAGGGTTTAGGGGGGTTTAGGGTTTAGGGGCGTTCAGGGTTTCGGGCTTAGGGTTCGGGCGTTTGCAAGCTCATGGCGTCGGCTTTAGGACTTTAGGGCTTCAGGTTCGACTCAGGCGAGGTGGCAGGGTGGGTTGTGCAGGTACCATGCATGAACCGCGAAGGGTAGCCCTTTCGAAGGCCTACTCTTGAGACTTTCGTCGCTACACCCCAAGCCCGAAACAGTAAATCCGAAACCCTGCCATTGACGTCAGCCCCTGGTCTTTTTCTGTGCAGTTCGCATGGTCATTTGGGGTCCGTCCGTCGTTTGGAGCTGGGCTCGTCCCTTCAGGAAACTCCACACATAGGACGGAAGGATGTGACATCGAGGCTGAGATTCCCCCTATCAGCTAGAGGCAGGGCAAGGTAAGTCCTGAAATGTCATGCGACATCTGCAAGCACAGTCTTAATGAAACCCCACCTGCAAGACCCTTAACCAGTAGCATTCCAAATCCAAGCCCCTAAACTCCCAACCCCCGAACCCCAAAAAACCTACACCCTACAACGCCTTCTTCTCCGGGCACGCCTGAGCTTGCCTAGAGGGCCGGCTAGCTGTGCCAAGCCCTGCAGCATGCTCCTCACAAGGTCCGCCGGAAGGCTTCCTAAATCCCGTGGTGTGATGGGCGTAGCATATGGTCCAAAGAAAAACCAGCAAGCTCGAAACCCCGAGCACGCAAAATAGCCCTAAACCACCCGATTCCACTCAAGACAACGCCAAGCTGCCAGCTGAGGTACTACCCGCAGCCAGGGTGGACGGAGCACGACCCCCTGGAGATCCTCAGGACTTTCGGGGTCGCTTTTTGGCCTGGGATTTTGAGACGTAGTATGCATGAAATCATGAAGTAAGGAGGGAAGGAAGAAGGAACCACGGAAGGAAGGAATTGAGAAGTTCTGAGTTGATTTGTGTATGCCTGCAGCCATACAAAAAATGGCTGTATATTATGTACACACATTACTTACTGGCTCTGTTCGGGACTTTTAGGGGCTCTTTAAGTTAGGCTCCTTTGGGGTTTGTTGTCACTACAGACCGCCGGGTTAGGGCTGCGGCGAACATCTCCGCTCCTTACGCATGCTCGGGGTGTAGAGCTTAAGGTGCTGGCTTTCATAATATAGGAACCTGATTAAGAAACCCTGGGTCTTTTTTCGGGTTCCTGCTATGAATCCTACTATTTTGGGAATTTTGGGGGTTGTAGGAACCGGAATCCTTAATCAGGTTCCTACATAAGTGCTCTTGGTAGATTTGGCTCCGCGTTCAGGCGACAGCGACGCTTTCGGGTTGGAGCGTTCGGATAGCTGGAGGCTTGTGCCCTTAAGAAGCTCTCGCCTCAACACCCGAAACCCTCAGTAGCACGAATCACCTTAACGCCGGAAAACCGCTTGGACCATTGGAGAATTTCGCTAGTTGCTCCCCCGTTACCCCTGCACACGGGTACCGGTAGCAGGGAATGCCCCGAACCTTCCCCAAATGAATCGACGAATCAAGTGCTTGGTAGAGCAAAACTGCCAGGCTCTGACCTTATGTATAAGTAGTATAAGTTCAGCCTCAGCACTAATCACCACACCGCAAATTTTTGCCAATCCCACAGACCCTAAACACTGACAAGGAGTGCCATTGAGTGCTCCGAAGGTGCGATGAAGAAGGTCGGGGTGCAGGGAGGGTCCATGGTGTGTTAGGAGCCCTTGTGTTGCCATGTTCGTGTTTGCTGGCCCGGCCCAGCCACCAGCAAGAAGCTCTTCCACCTCAGGGTGGCTGCATCTATCTACCTTGTGGTTATAGTGGCAGTAGCAGGGGCAGAGCCGGAGTGAAACCTACAGACAGACGTTGCTGCAGCAATCGCTTGGCTACGCCAAGAGGGAGCTCACACTTTGACCCAAAACCCTCTAACAACCACCGCGCCGCGTGGGGGATTTCATTTCCAAGCACATTGCTGCGTTGCTTGAACAGGTCGGCGCCAGCAAGGACGACATCGCTGGGATAGGCGGAGCTGGGGAGGGTACGAGGCGTAGTGGTGTGGTCCAAGGGTCCTAGACACTGACCTTGGGTGCTCTGCAGGCTGTTTCCTTGCATTCCCTGAGGGCCGACCTCGAAACCCTCAGAGCTCCACTCCCTGAACACCTTTAACAGCTCAACAAGACGCATGCAGGTCCAGGACTCGAAGCATCACCTGAAACTGCAGACGCTTGTTAAGCATGTGCAGCTGATATGAAGAATGCGAGGCATCACCAACCAGCGAGAGACGACTGTGGCATGGGACAAGGCGCCAGCTTTGCAGGGGTCTTCAGACCTCAGCAGCAAGTCTTCTTAATGCCTCATACATTGGCTTAGCGGGCTATTTTGTGCAATAGCGATGTAGGGTTTATAAATGAAGGTTTTAAGTGCACTGATGCACCTGCAATACCCGCATGCTTGCCTTGAAGCAATTTCGAAGGTTGAGTTCTTCGTCGGGTTTCGGGTCTATCGGCAGAGTTCTTGGTGTTCAATCTAGAGCTTGCAGCGCGAAGGGTCGGGAGAGTTCGGGAGTTTATTGCATCGATCTGTTGCCGCAGAAATACGAAACGGTTTGGGCTTCAGGCAAGACAAAAACGGCAACCCTGTTCGGCACTTTGTGAAGTCCCAGCACTTGTGATCTTGCAGATTTGGGCACTGTAAGCCTTCGTGAAGCCAATGTTACTTGCAGAAGCCGCGCGCAAGCTAGAGCCTATGTTTTCGCATTTCGGCGATATGCATCGGCCGCAAGTGCTTCGCAGTTCCTCATCACAGTTACCGGAGGCATTGAGGCCTTCTGGATTATCCTTAAACAGTAAGCCTGCAAACTCCAAGCCCTTGTGCTGTCATGGTGCTTGCGTTTTTGCTTGAATCTTTTCAGGTTATCGTATGTAGGGGTCGTTGCTTCTTCTTTAGTGTCTTTTGCTGTCTGACACTTACCCATTGCTCTGCTTTGTGGTCGAGGTTTGACGACTCTTGGGTGCATAGGCATAAACCAAAATCTCATAAATCCTACACCCTCACAACCTCAAGACCCCCAGTAGTTCCTCAGGCCGGTTAACATAGGGGCCTTCTAAATTACATATACTGATTTGGGGGTTCCTTATTCTGATTAGAGTATAATGGGCACCAAAACCCCTAGTCGAATTAGTACGGCCCCTGTATTAGGCTTGAAGGCCGAAGGTGGCCTCGAATTAGGTCTGAGATTTGGTTGGCTTCTCGCAAAAGTAAGCAGGACCTCGAGCCTGCTGGTGGGTTTCGGATTTAGGGTTTAGGGTTCCATGATCTTGTGACTTGTTGTAAGGGTAAGCTGTAGGATATGAGTGTAGGGTTCTTAATCGAAGCTTTCGGATACAAGAACTACTGAACCCTAAACGCGTAATGCACCGTAGCAGCAAACTGTACTGATTTTACCTCTTCGGGACCTGTATCTTGGCTTTCATAAGGTACTCCACGTGGAGCTAGAGTCTGGGGTCGTTTAACCTGCAAACCTCCCTAAACCCGAAAAGCCGAGCTTTCGGAGTTGTCTGCAGTCACGAAAAGGAGCTCTTAAAAAATCGAAAAGCCCCGAACCCCAAAGCCCTAAACCCCAAACCCAAAACCCCAAAGCCCAAACCCTCAGTCCTAAAGCCTCGAAACCCTTAGCCTTAAAAGGATCCCTTATTATGGGAACCCCTAAAGGATCGGGATCCCTACAAAGGACCCCCAAAGGCCGCAAAGCCTTCAGACGCCAGGGCACTGGGGAGCCCCTCTGCCGAGCCATCGTCTGGCTCGACTTGCGAACTTCGGACACGGCAGTTCGGGCCCTGGGCCGTCAGCAGAAGGGCCGTTAGGACAGGGTTTGGGGCTTCGTCCTTTTTTGTTCGGTGCCTTGGCCTTTTCTGAGAGAATTTGGAAAAGGTTAGGGGTTTTAGGGTTTAAGGCGGCTTGATGTGCACCGGTTCCAGAAGGTTTGGCAGAGATCTCGAGGAATTCTTCCCTAGGTCTAGCAAAGGGAAACCCTCAACAACTTCAGTTCGAACATCTAAGGCCCGGACAGGTGAGTTGCTCCTTATCCTTTTGAGTTTAGCGTTCAGGATTCAGAGGCTTCCCATGGCAACGCCAGAACCTATCTAGCAGAACCTTATGTCTAAGCCCGGAAGCCTCAATTCTTCCGGAAGTCCCACGCCCATAAAAAGTTCTCTGCAACACCCTGCGTCAGGCGCAGCTTGAGGCGAAAGGCGGCAAGGATCGGTTTCGTGCCTCGGCGGCTTTGTAAGGTGGGGGTTTAGGGTTCTTGTGTTGCTGGGTTTTAGGGTTTACAGTGTAGACTTTAGAGCTAGGGTTTCCTGGATTGGATTTGTTTCAGTTAAGGTTTCATGCAGTCAGCGCTTCCATTGATTCATGTAGCCATGTGTTTGACGGGCCGGGTAAGTGAATCTTGAAATCGCATCAGTTGCGGCGCCGGTTGGGCATGCCCTCAGGGCTTGCTCACTCCTTTCAGAGCTTTCCTTTTACAGGAAGTCCCGTGGTACTCGAGGGGTCGGGTTTCGAATGCACGGTGTCAACTTCTTCAAGTTTCGAGTTCCATCTTGAAGCCATGGGTTCGGGGTTTGGGGCTCCGGGCTGGGCAAAAGTTTAGTTCGGGAGCACGCCAAGCCCAAAGTCTCAGACTTGCCAAAGGCAAGAAGACCGGGCTTCCTGTCTCGACCTACTTCTCAGCCGTGAAGCAGCTTCGGCAAAAATGATACTTCGGGGTTCATTCGTATGGTGGGCACGGGGGTTCCAAGGTTCAGGATTTGCACTTTCGGTTTTCATTTAAGTTTTCAGGGGTTACGATTTGGGCTTTCAGCCGGTTCCAGCACTTTCAAGCATAACCGCTTCAGTTGTAGGGTGTCGAGTTTGAGATCGCGAGTTTTACCACGCTTCTGTGCCGGAAGTCGCCTGAAGTTCCACAAGTTTGCTGAGGTGCATCAAATTTACGGTAGTAGGTGCAGCGGTAGTCGTGAGAGTGGTAGCCTGAGTCGTAGGAGCAGAAGTAGATGTGGTGCATAGTAGTATCAGCAGTGGCGGCAGCAGTGTGGTCGTAATGGTGTAGTGGGCAGTAATCGCACTCACAGCAATAGCGACAACGGCAATAATTGTTGCACCCGCATAAGCTCCTAAACAAGATAAGGATATTGATAGTCACTCTGGACAATACACCCTAAACCTTAAGCCCTAAACCCGAAATATGCCCTAAGCCCTCAAGACCCACAAATTGAGTAAGTTACGTCCCGTACGAGGCGCACAACTTAGGCTAGGAAATTGGATCTCGCCACCCCATCGTGGCAAGGATGAAGTGGATGCTGGACCATGTCCCAGAAGTTCGGTTCTTTGGCGGAATCAAGCGGATTTTCAGGTTGAGGGTTTTTGGGGTTCAATGCTTCGGGTTCGGCGGCTGTAGGGCTTCGGCAGGTAGGGTTTGGGGGTGTAGATTCTCCCCTTTAGGCTGGCTTGCTAATTCGTCCGTTGAGTGTGTGTTTGAATTGCCTCAACAATCCTCAACAATACACAGTCGCAGTACGTGGGGATGGTGCTAAGCAGCCAAACTAAAGCACCGAGGGTATGACCTCACACGATTCTCTTGTGCAAGCAGCCTGTTTCCTGCAGACCTTGTCAAAACTTCAGGCCTTACACCCCCACCCCTCAGCCCAAACCCCAAAGATGCTGAGCTCTTGACCCTAACCTGAGCCCTAAACAGCCGCAACAACAGATGACGGCAGTTTTCCAAGGAAGGCCGCCGACGAAGGCCGCTGCTGCTTCGGAACTATCGAGTCCTGGACCGCTCTTTGGGTTTGTGGAAGGAAACGATAAGCGGTGAGTTTCGGCTGAACCTTACAACTCGACTTACCGCGTGCCTGATGTACTCTACTCAACTCTCTACATGAGCTTTACAGCTCTCCTTGTCAAACAGATCTTCCACAACTCTGTTTGCTATGTCCCGCGATCCATGGGAGGATCCCCAACCTTATAAACCCTGAACCTTGGACCCTACAAAACCTCCTGCAAGAGGATCATCTACAAGCTCACGGGGGGACCCAACGGTGGTGTCCACGTCACGGACGTGTCGAACGCTTCGAGGCAAAAGCCCGATCACGGGGGGGGAGACCTTGGGAGCTTTTGCCGCTCTTCTTCTTGCAGTACTGCCGTTGCTGTCGGGGTGAGATTTTTTGTATGTTATGGTGGTTGTGATCGTTTCTCTTCTTTCATATTCTGGCTTGGGCTTTGTGTTGAGGGCCTCGTTGGTGGCAGTGAGAGGTTATGTGCGCAGCGACTTTTCGGGTTCATTGTGTTGTAGGGGAGATCTCTTTCATGTCTTGCACCCGGGTGCATACCAAACCCTGCAAACAGATAGAACAAGAACGACTGGATTCGGGGTACGTCGAAGGCTTATGATGAGAAACCGTCTTTCAGAAGCGACGGTCAAGACATTTCTTAATTGTTGATTTCGGGATAATGAGGGTAGTTCGGGGCGAGACTCTCAAAGACAAATTCTCATTATTTGCAGGGGTTTCGCTGGATTCTGGACTGGGAGGCTTCCAGAGTGTAGTAGAACATTGAGTATGTAGCAACAAACTTCTTTCTGGAATCCAGATTCTGGTTTGCCAGATTCTTCCGGCTTGAGACATTAGCTCTTAGTTCAAACATATCTTATCTACGTGCTTCACCGAAGCACGGTGATGGGGCATGCGGGGCACGAGGGGGTGAGCAATAAGTGATGCCAGTAGTAAGTAGACTTGCCCAAGGCTCCCTATTCTGATTGTCATAGAGGTTCCCGAAACCTTTTTCTAAAGAACTGAGGTCCCTGTATTCTACGGTTCTGGGCTGCAGGGCTAAGGACGTTCACGGGGTGCTTGGCCGGCGGGGCTGAGCAGAGAGTTTGCTGTAGGGCCGCTCGGAGCAGACTGCAGAGACAGGTACATGTTGATGAACATCAACACCTGCGCCTGGGATGAGGCCTTCCCTGGCTTTCTGTGTTCAAAGCTCATCGATGCGTGTAGGCTTGAGATTGGGATGTATTCAAGCAAAAGCCTGAAGCGCACATAGTCATTCGCAACTAGACGCTGTCGCTGCAGTTTGAGTCCCATTAGAGCTTGAAGCTCTGCATTTCAGGAGTCTTGAGAAATCCCAAAAGCCCGTACCACGGCCGAAAGCATATCATGCAGTTATGGAGGCTGTTAAACCTTTGAGTATACCAGCCTCAAGCATTACAACCGCGGGAGGCCGTCTGCACTGAGCTTGGCATCCCTGTGACCGCCCTGCCGACCATCCGTGCCGTGGCCTGCAGACCTTTACAAGGTTCTGTTGGGTTTATGGAGTTCTGTGCTGTTCAGGGTTGCGTGCTGTAGGGATTCAGGGCTTTATTGTTCAGGTTCCAGAGTTAAGTAATGAAGCATGCTTCGTTTGGACAGCACAAGGACACGAGCTTGTTCGATGTGCTCTTGTCCTCGATGTACAGCCATCGGGAAGCCTCCCTTTCTAAACAGCCGTGCCATGGGTTGTGAGCTTCTAGCAGCGACGGCTGTGCAAATAGGTTTTCTGTGCAGGCACTCTCCTTGGTCAATACTGCCTTAGCTCAACCCTATGCCAAGTCCCGCTGCGACCCCAGCCCTCGGCTGCGCCCAGGATCCAACTCGGAGGTCTACGGCAAGGTGTCCAGCGCCTGCACCCCGGAACTTTCGGGCCCTCCTCTGGCTTTGCAGACAGAACGTGCAAACTGGCACTGCCCTTACCCTGAGTTCTCGATTCCCATGTTCGTCCAGAACGATTCCTTCCGAAACCAGCCCGAATAATTTAGGAACCCGGGACCTCCAAAGCAGCTTGAAACCTTGAACTCGTGAGCCCTTCAAATCCTACACCCATACATCCAGACCGAATGTTTGGTAAAGCAACTCCAGTCGTAAAACATCGAAATCCTCAACCCCCACACCGAGCACTAAGCCTCTAATCTGTAGCCCTCCCATTTCGCATCCCAACCCTAAACCGGCAAGGTCCCTTCCCTATTTGGCCTCGCCATATCGGGAGCTTTGGGCGACCAGCACGCTGCCTTGCTCGGGCATGGCCGTGGCCCTGGGAGGGTGGGGTGGGGGGCTTATGAGTTTGAGATTTGGGGCTCCCGCGAATTCAGGTTCAGGTTGTCAGGTCTGTATTGTTGGTGGCCAAAATGTTCTCATCTCGTCCAGCCCGTTTAACAGGAACATTGAACCTAGAATAGCACATGAACGGCTGCGCTGCGCCGAGTTCAAGGATCCATAGCGACGGAACCTCTCTGTTCGGCCGAATACTTGCAGTTACAAGTGCTGCCAGTCTTGCTACTGAGAGCAGCGCTCTGTGTGACAACCCTCTGTTTAGCAAGAACCAATGTTGCATACCACATGTAAGTATACAGTATACATATGCAGGAATGCAAGTATGTATGCATGCATGACTGCATTGATAAAGGGCATCAGCGTGTAGAGTTTCCAGTGACCAGTTGTCGAAGACAGAACGATATACAGCTTTGCAACAGATGGGTAGTTATAGGGTGACCCTTACTCTGTGTGTGTGTGTGTGTGTGTGTGCGGGTGCGCGCGGATTTGTGCATGCATCTGCTTCATATGTACGCATAGGATTGCATAGGGGTGTATATGTGTATATTTGTATATGGGTATATGCATATATGTAGAGGCGTACAATATCCACCTAAATAGGCATATATACACATGCATGTAAAGATACGTACATACATGCACATACATACATGTGCATACACATACATACACATACACACATGTGTATACACATAGATGCACACACACACACACACATCCGTACATTCGTACAAACAAGCATACATGCATACGTACACATCCATCCACCCATACATACATGCATACATGGGCGCGAACATACATAGATTCAACCCAACACACATACATGTACGCACATATATGTATGTATATGTGTGTATATCTACATATGTACACATACATACATATACATATATATATATGTACATGTATATGTGTATATATATATGTATATATTATGTACATGTGACATATATCTCAAAGATGTCATAAAATGTCTTTTACGTATACACACAGGTATGTGTGACAAAATACATATGAAACTGCGTGCATCTATGTGCAAGTGTATGTGCACGCGAAACTAACTGAATATGTTCCTACGCATTGATGTATGCATTTGTGCACAGGTGTATGTCAGATAGATGTGTTTGCTCAGGTGTTTTTCAGACACATACCTGTACACTTTTGGGAAGGGTCCCTGTCCCCGAGCCTGAGGCTGCCTGGACGTCGGCACATCCAAGAACACCTACGGAACGGGTGGGGGGGCCCTCGCAGGGTTTAGGGGGTTAATGTAGGGGGCTTACTGATTAGAATGGGGTTTTTGGGCCCATTAGACGAGAACACCCACTAGACTAGAATTATTCTTTGGAACAGGGGTTCTGGGTGAATGGTTTGGGGCTTGGGAGAGGTTGTGGGTACGACTTCTGGAGGGCCATCGAGTTTCGCGTTTAGGATGATTCTGTACAGAGGCATCTGAGCGTTGCTGAATAAACGGATAGGATGGTTTTGTAGCATTTAGAATTCTCATGCATGCATGTTAAATTGCTGACATAAGTTCATTTTCGCATGAAGTTTGGAGTTTTATTCACCACACCGATGATCGAATCATGCTGCTTGGCCTTTTGTCTCTCAAATCGTCACCGGTTTAGGCATCACTCCCAAGACCGGCTCGGGCAGACTTCTCCAGCGAAAGAAAGGATGTCGTTTGCACAGCAATTGGCCAACCGAACGGTGGCGTCGGAGGATAAGTGGCTGCAGGCGCAGGTCTCAAAATTTGAGCAAGCTTGCGTGGCTCGCAGTGATCAGGGGCATTCCAATGTGCCTCATCGCACAGAGCACCTACTCGAAGGCTTCGATCATTCGTCAATGAGAGAGAAGATGCTGAAAGCCGTCGAGAGGTTTGGCTTCAGCTCACTGAACGTCGTGTGCGAGGCGGACATTATTAAAGGTTGTTATCGATGGCTCTTAGTGGTCACGGCCGACTGGGGCAGCCTTCGCCATGCTGTCAGAGGCGAGCAGAAAGGGCCCCCTGAGGGAGGGCACATCCAGATCTGCAGCATGGCAACAAATGGTGTTTCAGAGGAAAGCCCTGTGTTATCTTGTAACGTGGAAAGACAATTCGAAACTGCAGAAGACATGACAGTCATCATGCATGCTTTAAAAATTATGCTGCTAGCTGGTGGTCGTACTTCACAACTGCAAACATGTACTTGCTTGCCGTTGTGTTCTGGTTGGGAGCAGGACACTGGAGTAGGAACTCTTTCCATCGGTTGTCGAGTGGCCTTGACCATGATTCGTGGCTCAGGGGTCCCCGAGCAATTGCAGTTGGCGACTAGCCAGCAACGAAAACTTCGCTCAGGCGCCCTCTGTCAGGAAGCTCGCCCTGCCGTTGTGCTATCTCCCTGTGGCCACGTGATGTGCCTCACCTGTGAGCAGCAGCGCCCCAATCGACCTCAATGCCCGCGTCTCGCCTTCATCGGAGTGTGTCGCTGCGCGTGGTTCTGTCGAGCAGCTGGGGGATCCTGTAGTCAAACTGGGAGTCCCACGAGCAACAACCTTGAAAGGAGGCCCCAACCAGAGAAACATTCATGGCTCCGTTGAGTAGCTTGAAAGTCATATTTGCTCTCCTGCTTTCTACGGTATTGAACATCATGTCCAACCGCCTCAGGTTCTGCCGCCAGCAGGTGATTTCTGTGACACAAGGCCTCTTCCTCAATTGAGGAATGAGGTGCCATTCGTCGTTGGTGTCGCTAATCGGATGAGCCTCATCGGCTTGGTCGTTGAGCGATTTTGCAAGACGCTGAGGTGACTGTCAGTTCTGGACCGATTTAAATCACTACTTTTCATGTTCTTAGCATCATGACTGGTGTAGACCCGGCGTACTTGAAGCAGTTGCTGACAATCCCTGCTTTTCATGATCTTGCATCATCGACATTCCCTGCTCTCCATGATCTTGCATTATCTTTTCGGCCTCTTCGATGATTCGCTTTCTGTGGGGCAACAGACTCCGCAGGAAGAGCGTTGATTCCGTTTCTTTGCAAATCGTGCAACATTCGATTCAAGCATGATTTGTGCGTGAAGCAGTGCTGGCTGCGTCTTAGCAAGATGCGATGTGGTTCGCGCGTCTTCCTGAGCCGCGGGCATGTGCAGCAGCTCAGCTCTCGGTGCAGTGGAAAAGCTTGCTCGTGCGGATGCTTGATGGATAGCTTTAGGGTCCTGCAGCTTCAGATCCGTTGGGATCTGCTCAGATGGCCCCTCAGGTTAACCCCGACTCGGCACAAGAGTCCTCCCTGCAGGAACTTGCTGTCTGGTTTGATACAGAGACTTGCGAAATTGTTCTTTCATGAAGCATTGTGGAATAGACTTTCCAATGAAGGGTTGCCTGTTTCTCCGCAAGATAGCGAGCTAGTTTGTTCGGAGTAGTGCGAGTCTTAACATAGCTAGAAGATTTTTCTGGCTTTCTGACAGGATTCCTCAAAACAGTTCCAGTGCCAGTACATTAGAGTGTCACACTTCAACTATCCTGACCTGCGCATTCAGGCTGCTTCATGCTGCTGAACACCGGCGGCGACGCGGTGCCCTCGAAGCACGGTCTGCTGACCACCATCGGCTACCAACTGGGCCCAGAGGCTCCCAGCCTGTCTACTACGGCAGCTAGAACAATAATGTCAGTGTTCCCTTATAGTCCCGAGAAAGTGATATCAGAATATTACAAGATCCTGTTCTGGCTATTAATGCATCGGGGAGGATGAATGAAGATGAGGCTTCGAGTAAGCCCCTAGAAAGAGAACAATAACGAATGGAGTAGATGCCGAGACTGTGAGCCATGATTTAGTCAGCTTCAAGAGACTCCTACACCCACTCAACCACGCAAAGTATCCCCCACTATGCCTGAGACAGTTTCTGGCGGAGACAGGAGAAGGTTACGTACGCGCTGGAGGGCAGCGTGGCCTGCGCGGGGCGCGTGGCCACTGGGGCTGTTGAAATTGGAGGTGTTGGGGTTCGAGGTCTGAGCAAGGAAGTTTAGGGTTGAGGAGTCCAAGGTAAGCTTATAGCATGAATGAAGCCTATAGTTTAGGCCTGCATATTGGAGTTTTGGGGTTTCGGGCGGATTTGGGGCATTTAGGAGGGCATCCCCAAATCCCCAACCGCTCCGGGCCTCAAACCATCAAGAACAAGAAGACCCGACGAAGCCAGAAGTACTGCCGGGGAGCAAGGTCGTCTCTGGAATGCTGGAAACACTTCAAATCAAAGGCCTTGAGCCGGAATTTGCCTTCACCCCTAAACCAAAACCACTGGACTGCCAGCCCCAGAAGCCCAAACCCTGAACCGCAGGGCCAACCCAGACGACATTTTGGAAGCGTCCGCCGAGGTTCAGTGGCTCCGTGACAACCTGGGCATTATCAGCTCGTCGAAGGCTCTGGGTACCGGGGGAACGATACTCCTTTCAGTTTAAGGTTTGGGGTTTACGGTTGAGGGCTTTTGGTTTAAAGTTTAAGGTGGAAGGTTGAGGGCTTGTAGTTTATGATCTAGGGTTTATGGTTGCAGGTTCTTACTTTAGGATTTATGGTTAGAATGGTTTAGTTAGGGGGGTTGAGAGCTTCAGACATACTTCGGGTGCCTGCCCTGGAGAAGAAAAAACTATTCCACAGAATGCCAGGCTTGTATTTGTATTCCTTCCTTCATAACACCCGGTGTCAGCATGGCAAGTTATGCCCTGCACCTTGGACCTTGGAGTCTGTTCGAGATGGACACTCCTGTTAAGGGTCCCCTTACAGTGCGCTGCTTGCAGGCGCAGTCTAGAGCAACCCATCACACCCCTAAAGCCGAAACCTTCAGGATACATGGATTGAGTTTGCAGATTTGGGTGCTTGACTCAACGCATTGCCCCAAATGGACATCTCATGCCTGGAAGGTGAGTTCTGACTGCAGCGCCCAATGATATGCGCCCGAAGCATGAAGTTGCCGTGAGCCCTCCTACAAACTTAAAGCTCCAAATGAAAATCCTGCGGCCTGAAGTGCCGAATCCGCACCCCATAGTGCTACAACCCTCAAGGCCTTACGCCCCAAACCCGGAATTCCAGAACCTGGCACCTCTGAAGGCTTCAAGCCGAAATACCAGGAGCCCTCTGAACTCTGCACCCCTTCAATTTTAAACCCTTCGGGCATAACTGTGTGGGATCTATAGTGAATAATATGGTTTCTTTATTATGGTAACCTAAAGAGAATCCCTTAACAAGAACCAGATAAGAAGCCCTGAGCTTCAGGATGTGGAGACGCTGGCCGGGAAGGTGGAGGCCGGGAAGCGTCGTAACGGTTTCAGGGCCGTTTATGGGCTTGGAGTTTCGGTTTCAGGGCGGTACTCTCGGATTCTGCAATAAGGTCCCCTTTAAAGGGTGCTTTGGGGTTCTAGAATAGGTCCCCTTTAGGGGGTTCAGGTTTTCGGAGCGTGGCCGTGTTCGCAGGTTTAGGGTTGCTTGGTTTGTCGGACTTCGCGACTTCGGGAGTTGAGCTGTCGGGCAGAACCTGGCGTCCTAGTTGGAAGCTCAACTTTTAACCCAAAGCCTACAAACCAAACCCGTCTTCCTTCTTAAAAGCAGTAGAAAGCCGCCGCGACGAAACACTAAATCCTCAATAAACCCCAGAGATCCCCAAACTCAAACCCCTAACCCGTCTTCCGTTTTGAAGGACACCGGCGGGCTCACCCTGGTACCGGCCTTCTCTGGGTTGTTCGCGCCCCACTGGCGGGACGATGCGCGGGCTGTTGCAGTGGGCCCCGGCCTCAGTTCCGCACCTACCACGGCTGCTATGCTTAGTACCACGTCTTCGTCGTCGTAGTAGTAGTCATCGTGGTGGTGGTGGTGGTGGTGGTGGTGGTGGTAGTCCAGCAGTAGCTGTTCCGCTCGCTACACGTTTCAAGGCATGACGCTCTTCACCAGCAAGGAGCACATGTGCCGTGCCGCTTTAGAGTCCACGGCCTTCCAGGCCGTGGACATCATGGAGGCATGTGGGGTTTCAGGACGGGTGTTCAAAACGGGTTTCAGGCTCAGGGACTGAAGGTTAGGGCTTCGAGACTTTGGACTCGGGTGAAAACGGATGCAACAGAGAGGTTTCTTCGGCAGATGGGGGTTTAGGTTCCGGATGTTGGGATCGATGAGCAGGGCTTGGCATTTCTGGTGTAAAGTTATAGACATTTAATCATGCGCGTCGCTGTCTGGGCCGTGATCTAAAGGCTTTCCACTATGGCTATAATTGTGCGGTATGGGCTACTTGCTATTAGTGGCTTCTGTATGAACTTCTTCCGTTCCTAGGATCAATTGAACATGTGCCGTGTGCTCGGGTACATCCTAAGAGTAGTACAAACATGGAAGCAAGTATAGAGTGCAGCAAAAATGCTGGTTCTGGCCATGCAACTAACTAGGGAGTGCTTCAAGACCTTCCTTTTGTTTTCCAGATCGTTGCCGTAGCTGCTTGTTCGAGAACCGAGGCATGTCTCTGAGTCGCCGAACTTGAACCCTAAACCCTGAGCTGTGAATCATACTGCAGTGTGGTATGCCCTGGTGGCGTGTGTTTCTGGCAGTCGTATCTTGTAATGTTTAACCTTTTCAAAATCGAAACTTTCCTTCTATCCTTTAGCTCCTTCTCCAACCTCGCCCCTAAGTTCACCGAGCCAGTCAAGCCTTTCCGGCCGCTTTGAGGTGTTCACGGGTGTTGCAGTCCTTGGACCAAACGAAGCTGGAAGATAGAGCTCCAAGCAAAAGTCCTTCTAAAACCGTAATGTGCGCTGCGCAAAATCCCAAAGCGACCCTGCGAAGGCCATGAAGCAAGACACCGGCCTCCGCATCCTGGACATGCGCGTGGACGGCGGGATGACGGTGAACAGCCTGCTGATGCAGATGCAGGAGCTGGAGTGTAACTGGGGACCAGGGTATGCTTTTAGGGTTTAGGGGTTTAGGGGTTTAGGGTTTAGGGTTTAGGGTTTAGGGTAGGGGGGAGTGTAGGGACCAGGGTATGCTTTTTCGCTTCAGCTTAGGCGGTTTCGGTGTTCATAGGGTTAAGGCCGCACAGCAGGCTCTGGGTTTTGCGTTTCGCGCTAAGGGTTCACGGTATGGTTTGGGTTTTGGGCGGTGTTGGGTTTCGGGTTGCAGTAGGTATGGCCCCAAAACCTTTCATATGAGCCTGAAACAGTAGTATTACTTTTGCAAGTCCTTGAGCACAGTATGCAGCACTTCATGGATATGTGAGCTAAGTTCAGGTGTTGGGGTTCAGGGTTCTCGCGGAAACGGGCTTAGGACCCTAGGCCAAGTAAGATCGTGGACCAAATGCCGGGCGAATGGCAGGTCCGTTCAGGATTTCGATGATGCCTTGAAGGCTTTATCTTTCGGAGGAGGTGCGGGCCCTCATTTTCCACGCTAGCCTCGTCCACTGTGCATCTAGGAATCCTTGCTGCCTAGCTTGAGCACCTCGCGACCAGAGTTCTTTGAACCTAGTTTGACACAGGCCGTGAACGGAGATAAGTAGCAAAGGTAGCACGGATCGAAGACAGGTGAAAAACACTTGAATGTGAATACAGACTGCATGCAACGGCATTTAGTGCCCCTAAGGTGGCAGCCAGTGAACCCTTAAGCCCGATACCCTGAACATTGAAATTTTATTTCGTCTAAACCCTATCGCCCTGAAACGTACACCCTGAAGCCCTGAACTACATTGGATTGAACCTTGTGTTCCCTAAACCCCATAAAAAGAAACCTGGGAAATTGCAACCGTGGCGTTTGCCCGTGGGAGGCAGACATCCTCGGCATGAGCGTGCTTCGCTCGAAGCTGGCCGAGGCTTTTGGGGTTTAGGGTTCAGGATTCTTCTGGTTTAGGGGTTTAGGGTGCTTCTCGACGACTCAGAATTGAGACTGAAGGTTTGGGTTGCTTTGACCCCGAACCTTAAACCTTAAACTGCCTTAAGCCCATGATCAGTTGTGGCCTCTAGGCCTTCGCAGCGGATGTCTGCTGGGAAAAGGAAGCTAAACAAATAGAAAAAAACAAACCCTTAGCCTGCGCTTCCGCCTGAGCCATCCGAGCCTTGAAGGTTAGGGATGCCCGTAATTAGCAGCCATGGCTGCACCGGAGCCGGCCACGAAGAGGGTGAGGCTTACCCTCTTCATTGCCGGCTCCTGTGCAGCTGAGGACCGGCCGAGTTTTGACAGTAGTCGCGGACGACGGCGAGCTCGAAGTACACTCGGCAGTCTTGGAGCGCGCCTCGCCTGACTTTGCAGGCATGCTGAATAGCACTGTGAAGGAGGTCAAGGACATAAGACTCATCTACCGGGCAAAAGCAAAAGCGAGCTGGAGGCTTTCTGCAATTCCCTGCAGCTTGTCACCATGGAGCCTCTGACCTTGGAGAGTGCCGAGTTTCTTGTTCAGTGGGCAGAGGAGGCATTGAGAAGCAAGTGCGAAGACGTTCTAATATTGACGGCACCAGTAGACGGCAAAGGCCTTCAGTTTGCAGTGAAGTGTGGCCTTCGCCAGCGCACGGAGCAGTGTCTGAAGGCCATGAAGTCGAACCTGCAGCAGCATATTCATGAGTTGCACGTGCTGACCAGCAAGGAATGTCAAGAACATCTCGCAGAGTTTTGGCCCTCGATAACCCGCGAAGCCGGGCTGATGGACATGCCTCCAGTGGGCATGTGGCAAGCATGTGGCTGTTTCTGGTCCAGGCCGTGCGCGTCGCGGCACGGCACCATCGGCAACATTGAACAAGATAAAAGGATTGATAAGGGAACAGGCAAGAGCTTGCCTCATAGCTTGCTGACAAAATTGCAGCCGAGCGAGTGTCTTAAAGCTTGTGCCTGCAACTTGGTGCGTGATGTGTTTTTGAGAACGTGGAATCACGGCAGACATTGAAGTAAGATCGAACCGATACTGGGGTTCATGTGAATGAAGCACTTCGGCAACCGAGGCTATGCATTACAAAACTCGTGTTGACAGGAGCTCACGCAGTGCAGCCGGGGATAAGTGTCTGAGTGAAAGCATCCGTGAATCCCGCACTCCAGACCTCTACCGCCTCTTGGACACTCAATGCACACTCTAGGCCTTGAGCTCTATGTCCAAACCTTGAGAATGCGACATGCAAACCCTGACTCCGGAATTTTTTGAACCCAGCGTAAAGCCCCTGAACCCCAAGTACAAAACCCCACCCGAAAGCCAGGCCACCGCCCTTGGAGCAGCGCTGGCAGCGGGGCTGAGCGTCGGCTTCTACGAGAAGAAGGCTCTCAGCTCGTTCATCTCTACATTTGAATCACTGCATAATTAGCTTTTTTGTTGACTATTATCAATATGATTATGAAAGTTATTCTCCAGCAGTCTGAGCAGTTTCCGGTTCCATATCATCTTTGGTATTTTCACCATCCGAAGGAAGATCGGGTACTAAGGGGTATGGTGTCAGTGTAGGAGCCTGAGAATATGCTACTAGCCCCTTGTGTTTCGCTTGAACAGCGGCAGGCCACAAGAATTTCTAAACCCCAACCTTAAACCCTGAACCCCTCAACCCCTCAACCGCTAAACCCTAAACCTCAAGACCCGGTTTCCAGGAGGTGGTGAAAGACATCATCGAGAAGGCCCGGTGCTTTTCTTCAGAGCGCTCGGGGCTCAGGGCTTCGGACCGAGAGGCCTTTAAAGGCTCCAATTCAAGGGCTTCTTTAAGGGTTCTTTCATGGGTTTATTCAAGATTGCTGTAAGGGTTAATGCGGGGTTACTGTGGGGATCTATTTGGGTTCTAGTGGAATTCTGTTGGGGTTCCATGAGGGTTTAGGGTCTAGGCTCTGGGTTTACTCGCCCAAATTCCAGAAACCCTGAACCCAAACATAAGACAGCCGCACACCCTTAGAACCACGCACCGTTCGAAAAGCCCATTTCCAGAAGCCTCAAGCCACACATCCGGCAACTCAGAAAGGGGTTGGAAGAACCAGTCATAGCATCCCCTGGTGATCCCTATATGGTAACCATGTATTTTCCAGAACCCTACTCGTTTCTACCTCTGAAGGCCCCTCAAAAATCTGCCACGCGGAGGCTGGCGGCTACGAGGTCTTCCCGGCCTCGACCACACCGGCGGCGCGGAGGAAGATGATGCAGCGCTGGAAGGCGCATTGGAATGGTTCGGCTGGCGCAAGGGGTGTCGTTAAGTCTTCTGACGGTGGAGGCGAAGGAGAAAGTATGATGATGACGCCTTGGAGAATGCTAGACTTGAGACTTGATTGTTTTTCAGAAATCACAGTAGTAGCCCCGACCATAAACAAACCTTGCTTCCATCGCGGTCTTAATATGCTGCTATCCTGACTGCTAGTTGCTCAGTAACATCACTCTGGGTTGCAATTGGTTCAGGGCGATGGCTGTGGTTAAGGGTGGTTTGACTGCTTTAGAAGTCATCCGTTTAGGGGGCAAGCTATGGGTACGGGTTTCCAAGGTTGAGAAGTCTAGTTCACATTTTTCAAAGGTGCTGATTTTTTACATAGCAGATTAGTGGTCACGGTTTGGGGTTTCGGATCCAATATCGTCAGAGTCCGAAACCCTCTGCTTGGCGGGAGGATGCAGTGGAGAGATCTTTTGACCTGGCCAAGTTCGACCCCAAGCGCCCTGACCAGGCAAGGCATGGGGTCGGCAAGGCAGGGGGTCTAGTGGTTCAGGGTTTAGGGTTTAGAGTTTAGGGTTTAGGGATTTTGCAGCTTAGGGATTTTGCAGCTTAGGGTTCTGCTACAGAAGCCTGCCTAAGTAGCGGCATGACTCTGCAGGGCTCCATTTTACAATGAGACTCTGAGGGACTCCGAAACTCTGTTCTGATGGCTCAGGCCCAGGTAGAGTTGTGTGCGGGAAGTTTTTGGTGCTTTGAAGAACTGGACTTAGGGCCTAGCGTTTCGGTCTCTGGGAGGTTTTGTGGGGGTTTGAGTGTTGTGAGGAGTTGTCATGCCCCTTGCAGGGTTTCTAGGGCTTGGGTTCCGGGTTTAGCATTTCAGGGTTGGGTTTGGTGATTGGAGCGCAGGGTGATCAGGTTCAGGGCTTATGATCAGAATCGTTTTTGTGGGTTTTGGGGCTTGGCTGTGGACAGGAGCCGCGACAACCAGTAGTCGTACTCCTGTTTACCCTGTTTGCACAACTATGCAGCATACTGGAGCCAGTCACCGTACCTACTTATTGGGTGCATCTAGCCCTACTTGCTAAGTTCCTTATCCTCCAAGTTCACCCTAAACTCTAGAACCCCGACATGAAGGACACTTTATGAGGGCAGCTTTCCGATCCAAGCTCCGTTTGTGGCAGAAACATCTAGAGAATCTGGCATGCATGCCTTTGCACTTGTCGGAAAGGGCTCCTACCCAGAGACCCCAAAGTAGTTCCTTTTTGGGATTACCTCATAGGATTCTATTTACGAACCCTCAAAAGGAACTACTTCGGGGCCTTTGGGTACACCCCCAAGCCACACGTCCAAAAGTAGCTGCGCGAGAGGCGAAGCCGGCGGTCTTGAAGAAGCCGCGGTTCGTTAAGGCCAGGAGTTGTGGCCGAGTATACCCTAACTTTAACGGTTTCTTGGAGAGTTCCTGCAAGTCTATGGGGGTTGCTCGGAAGATTCTGTCTTTTTTCGCGATCATAGAATCTCGGGTTCTGAATAATTAGTACCTACCTATCATCCCCTGAGGGTTCCTTGAAGGCATCTATAATGGGCCAATAAGGGTTTGGGGTCTGGGATTTAGGGGCAATTACAAAACGTAACAAGTACTAGTATCCCCTGAATCGTCCCTATATAAAATATGCTAATCGTATTTCCGTATTCCAATTCTTGAGCCTTGTGGTTAGGATCGTTCACAAGGTGTCAAGCTTGGGGCCTAGGCTTAGGTTTCGCTTGCACTCTCCCATGTGGTTCCTTTGGCTTGGTTACCCAGGTTCAAGGCTAAGCAGAGAAAGGAACTGGAACTCCAAGACCATTGAAGGGTTTCAGGGATATGGTTTGAGAACCTATCCCCACTGGAAGTCTGAGCATATGCCGAACAGCCTTGCGCAAGCTGGGACCGCACTTTTGACAGCTGCTCATGTCCGTGAGAGAACTTGGCCCGAACAATTTCGAGCAAACCCCTTGCCTTGAACCGGCACTGCCATCCGAAAAGCCGTGTGTGTTTGAAAGCTAAAGCCTGAGAGGCCCTCCCAAGGCCCTGCGCCCCAGACCAGGTATCCTCCGTCAAGCCTGAGCAGAAGGGGCTGAACCTTCAACTGAAGGTGGTCAAGCTCCACGGCTGCAGACTAGCGGGGCTAGGGTTCTGCAAGCCCCGTGTGCTGGACGAAATTTTGGAAGGAATAAGTAGATCCGAAGCCACACTAAAACGCAAAACACGCACAGCTGCTGCTTTTTTGTGCTGGCTTGGCCGTCGCGAAAGTCTTCCGCCTGAAGCTTTCTTAGTTTGAGGGCTGGGCCTGGTGGCTTGCATCCCTCTGCCTTCTGCTTCACGGCACGGACACGCAACATCCCAAGAACTCTACTGACGCTCCGTGATCATGTTACTATAACATGAACAACCAACAGAGCAAGCAAAACGAAAAGGTTGGAGCAACATAATGAATCCTAGACTCTCCCAGACCCTAACCCCTAAGCCCACGTCCCTAAACTCTACAACCCTAAACTCTCATCCCTAAGCCCAAATCCCGAAACTCCAAAGCCCTAAACTCTAAGCCCTAAACTCAAATCCCTAAACTCTAAAGCCCTAAACTCTAATCCCTAAACCCCTAAACCTCAAGCCCAAACCCCCAAACCCAAGAATCACAGCAGCTCTCAGGCTTCCCGAGGAGGTGGCCAGCGACGGCTACCACGACGTGGTCTGCGGTGACGCCCGGGGACCAATGCTGGGTGGGTTTTCCTCAGCATCTTTCTGGATGCGGGCTTTCAGGGAAGAGGAAAAATTTAGAATTAGAACTTAAGCTCAGTGAACAGCAGGGTTTGGGTAACCGAATGCTGCTTTAGGGTTTGTAGACTGAGGTTAAGAGTTTGGTCTTCTGCGTTTCGGGTTTTGAGGCTTCCCAAAGGCTGGACTTCTGCGGAAAGGTGGTAGGCTGGGCTCACTTTTTGTAAGGCTATATAAAGCCGGGATTGCGGATGTGGCGGTTAGGTGCGTTCCGGGTGTTGCAGGGGTCATGTTAGTGTTCAGGACTTGGCAGCAAAGGCTCGGGCTTTGGGTTTTTTCTCGCCCAGTTTTGGCGAGAGACTGAGGGTGTGCGAGGTCGCTCGATCTGTTACCGTTCTTGAGCGATGCCTTCTGCCAGGGTTTAGGGTGGATGGCTTGCATACAAGGCTTAGAGTTTCCATGCCTCAGAAACCTAACGGTAGGGAAATGCTCTGGGCTTCGAGAGTGAGAGTTGCGAGTGTAGGCTGAGACGTGTCGAAACAACACAAACAACCTGAGGAACATGTTACAAGTAACAAGACGCTGTGGCATCCGATATTTCCCCATGAAAACCTTCCGAGAGCCCGACAAGTCGAGGCGAGCGGCGTGGTGACTTGCCACCTCACGCCGCAGCAGTTCCTGCCTTGCGAGGCACCACGTGCTTCGTTTTTTTTGGTTTGGGGTAAGGGCTGTTTTTTTCAAGTTTACGGGCGGAGCGTGCGTAAAGAAGAGGGAGCAGAACGATTAAGCTTCCTAAAGTATAGTCACCCGTAGCCTTGAGCCCCTAAACTTCCCAGGAGATATGTAGCGTCCGCAGGCCGGAAGCTACATCCGAGTGCAGAATGCTCGGGTGCGAATGAAAGGCCGGGGGCCGTGTGGGCTGGGGTTTTGGTAGACTACTAGGATATGGACAGATAAAGAATAATATTGTAGACTAAGAGTCTAGGTTCATTGATAAAGAAAAATAGACTAAGATTTTAGGGTTCAGAATCTTAAAGTTTGGGGTGCAGGGTTTATGGGAAGTTGAGGGTTTTCGGGGCCGAAAATGGGGTTTGTTCGCCGTACTACGACATGTAAATACGTTACATACTCGACCCTCAACCCTAAAGCGTAAACCGCCAGGGAGGCGTCAACCAAATGCTAATCCCTAAGCCCAAACCCTAAACCATGGAGAGGCGTAAGAGTTCCCTGGCTGTTGCAACGCCCCCGATCCCACTCTATCCGTTTGCTTACAAGGACCTTATATACGGTTTGGGTTTAGGGCAAAACAGGGGCCTTTTGTGCTGGGTTCTTGATAAGACACACAACTCAAGTATTCAGGTAAGGTAACTTACGTAAACAATATTTAAGTTCTGTAGCAATAGCCCGGTATGTCGCAACATGTCGGTGGTGCACAGGAGCCAAATCCGCGATCCGAAATCTTCTGACTTGCCATTGGCATAAGTATAAGGAGTGTTCTCAAAGCAACCCCATGTTCACCTCCAATGTACGTACACTTCCCAAGCCCTCACCCAATAGTCGAAAACCTTAAACCATGTTTGAGCTCCTAGAAGCCTTCAGCTCGATTTGTGCACAAAAAGCATAGCATCGTATAGTAACCCCCACCCCTCCCGCAACCTTGCAGTTGTAGAGCTTACACCACCCTTATGAATTTGTTCATAGAACGTCATGTAACCAGAACCCTTGCAGAGTCCTTCTTCGCGCACTTTTGGCACCCTTGCAGAGCCCTTATGGAACCCCTTCATAAGACCTTCATAGGATTTTATACAGCTCATTTACAGAAGCCTTATGCAACCCACTTAGGCCTCGGTTTTTCGGGGGCTAAGCCTGAAGAGTGGGGCTTTGGAGGCCCCAGAGGCAGGGCGAGCCTTCGCTGCTGCCTGGCCCTAGCTCTCCGGCTGCTCAAGCCCCCACTTTAGGCTTTAAGGAGTTTAGGGGGTAAGGGTTTAGGGTTTAGGGACTTGAAGGAGTTTAGGGCTTCGGGGTAAGAAGCCCCAATGCAAGGGACTATTGCTCTAGGGGTTTAGGGACTTGAGGGACTACGAATGGATAGCCCCACTGTAGGGACTTTAAGGAATTTAGGGACTCTAGGGTTTAGGGTTTCGGGATGAATCAGGGCTGCTATAAGGGTTACTGTCATGCCGCATTAGGGTTTCACAGCGCTGTTGCAAGAATTACGTTGGTTTCTGCAGGTTTTATGGGGCTTTCTAGAACGTTGCGAAGCTTCTTTCACAGCTAGGGTCCAAGATTGAGGCTTTGGAGCCTGGGCAGGCTGCATAGGGTGAGTTCGATGCCAGCGTGTACCGGTTTCGGTAGAGAGCGCGCAGATGGCTGAGTTCACAAGAGTCTACTGGACAGGCTCTCCAAGTGTATCCAGCTCATGCTCGCTAGGCGACATCGAAGTGCTCTGGGTGTGCGGGGGAATGAGGCTTCTCGCGATTGGCTCCATGTTTGGCTTCATGTTAGGAGATGGACTGAAAACCTTCTAGCTTCATAGCGTTGCACCTTTTTGTCGAGAGTTCCTTTCCGAATGTCATCATTTGGGTTCGGAGTGGCCGGGCAGCAGCGAAGCGGTTGGCATCGACGCGAGATCTTTAAGATCATCGAGGCTCCCAGTCGGTCATTACATCTCTGGCGGCAGGAAGATCCCCAGCGCGCTCTTCCGGCTGCGTCGTCTTTTCGTCGATATTCTCTGCGGCAAGTGGTGGCCGCACGCCGAAGCTTCGAGTTGACATCCTGATGCAGGAGCCAGCAAAAAATGAATGAATTCGCCGTGGCACCGCGGAGACGGCTTTCCGGAACAGGCGGCTTCACACAAACTCAGCGACTTGGCATAGGCCGGCTCTTCAAATTCGAACCGAAGTCCGAAGTCCCAGCCCAACTAGACCCGGAAGCTTGTATCCTCAACTTCCCGCCGTAGGTCCTAAAGATCTGAAACCCAGGCTCCCAAGCCCGTAAAGCTGAGCTCGACAGTCCAAAGATCCCCGGAGCGCTGGGCTTCGGTTCTAAGCAACAGAGGCCCGGATGTTTTGGATTCCTAGCCTCAAGCCCGAAAGGCCCAGTTCTCAAGTACACCTAGACTTAGTTTCGAATCTAGGAGATAGACTCTCAAGCATTTCAACTAAAGACACGGACATCTGAAGTACAAGACTCGATTGAGACACCGCTTGCTCGTTTCTTTGGACGGTGACGCGCCCGCAGGCGGCCACATCCGCGTGGAGGTGGACAAGTGGGGTAAGGCCTGGATCTCACGAATGCAGGATGTCGTTTATGGTTGAGGAGTTGGTTGAGGCTACCACCTTTTTCGGTTTCCGTGCTCCTTTTGCTACGACGTCGTCGCTGTGGTCGGCGCGAGTGCTCCACATTGTGGCGACATAGCAGCTGACAGGAACACAACACATGCATGATGCTTCAAGGCCGCATCCTAGCCCTTGTTCGACCTTGACAGAACCTAGCCTTGCAACTGCTTTCAAAAGACGCTCACAAAGCCATCGATATCAGTTTTTTTTTGGGGGGTGCCCCCGCCTCTTCCAGGTGTCCCAGGCTGACTCTCCGACGGAGACCTTCGAGGCCGAAAGCCCAGACTTCGCTTTGAGTTCGGGATGCCAGGCTCCGGGGTTGCTATGGGTTTAAAAATATGAGGGTTTTGGTCTGGAGAAGTCGTGAATTTAGGTTTTAGGATCTGGAGTTTTTAAGTTTGGGTATGGGACGAACTCTGCAGGGGAGCCGGAGGACGAAGCCATGTAGCTACTACAGTTCCACAGCTTTGATAGAACTTCTACTCTACTAGGGATGGATCTGTACCTTCTCTCTAGAGACGGCCTCGTCGAAGAACGTAGGGTTTAGGGTTCAGGGTTGGCTTGATACCTTGGCACGACGGTCCTAGGCATGCCAGACCCAAAGCCCTAAACACACAAACCCATAAAACTGGGAAGTCGATCAACAAGCAACCAATCTATGCTTGTTTTTTTTGTTTTCTTTTTTTTTTCTCTCTCTCTCTCTCTCTTTCCCCCTCTCCCTTCTGTCTTTTCCTTCCCTTCGACCCCACGAGGAGAACAGATCAGGAGAAACGAACATATAATACCTCCTACAAGCTTCATAGCCGATGTGTGCCCTACCCTGTTGCCAGCACCGGAGATCCTTAGCCAGCTTTGCTGCTCCAATCTGGCAAGCTTCCCCCGAGAGAGAGAGAGAGAGAGAGAGAGAGAGAGAGAGAGAGAGAGAGAGCCCGGAAGGTGAATCTCCAGAACGACATCTCGGCGGTGGAGTATGAGCTTCGGAGCTAGATGTCGGAGCTGTTGTACGTTGTTGGTCCTCGTTTCCAGGAGCCTCAGTCGTTAGAGTGATACTTTTGCTTTGCAGTCCCCGAAGAATTCTGGTCGATATACGTCGATCATCCCCGAATGCCTTCTCGAGTGAGGTTGATGTCAGCCCCGGACTTTTTTGAAACATTACACTCAGAAGGTACGTCTTCAGAGTATGACGGCTTGGAGTGCTGGTTCCAATTCAACAAATCGACAGGATTCGGTCCTTCAGGTTCAGGGAATGTACTGTGTAGCTTTTATGGTTTGCAGCTCTAGGGGTTAGTGGCTCAGGGTAGCATGCCAAACTCCAATTCCCTGTAGGATCTGAGGTGGACTCTGAGGCTCTTGGATGTTTTCGACGTCTCGGCCCGGCCCACCAATTTCAAGGGCCGCCGATGGAAAGTTTCGCAGTCGCACAGGCTTCCAGCCACCGTGTGAAGTGCACTCCCGCAGCCTTCGAAGACTGATAATAGGTAGCAGAGTAGCAGTGGTAGCAGTAGCCGGAGCAGCAATTCGCAGATGTGGCAGTAGCAGAAACAGGAGCGAAGAAGGCATTCTGATGCTAGGAATGGCATCACTCCGATCTCGCCGTCACGAAGAGCGTGTGGAGTGCACGCACGGAATCTATTGATCTAGCACTGGGTGTTCCTTAGATAAATCTCCTTTTTGCAACCTGCCACCCTGCAGTCAGAACTCCGCTGACAGAGTAACTGGTTTGAAATGCCAGGGATCAGGATGCTGCCACTTTACCACAACAAGATCAACACCCAAGCCGGGCGGTTAAACTTCTTAAAGCGCTAGACGAAATGCCACATCTCCAAATCTACGTCCCAAGATCCAGAATCTCAGCATGCTCGACTCCCAATCCTGTGCACAATATCTTGAACCCTAAGGTCCAAAACCTAATTCCCAAACTCTGCGCAGATGGTTAGTCCTCGGCTCCTGTGGCTTCAGCCCCGCACCCTGCTTCTTCAGCTGAAGTGCTCTGATGCTGAACATCTCCGGAGTGGTTTCCATGCCTCCCTGCTTCCAGAGCTCTAGGTTAGGGGGTTTAGGTCTTGGATTCAGGGCTTCGGCGTAGGGATGAAGACTCCAGTTTAGCAGGCAGTATCATGGGTTCATCTTGTTAATGCCTTTGGAAGCATATGTAAAAGGTTAACAACAATCCGTTGCTATAATGAGTTTTGTTTGGGTGTAATATAGAAGCCTCACAAATTGTGCTAATATCGTTGTCTTCCCCACTCTGTGACCGCAAGTCTTAAATGCAAAACCAACTCGGTTCGACTTCGAGGAACACTCATGACGCGCTCTTTCTTTCAATACAGAATACAAGTGACAGAAGCCCTGCTCAGTGGAGCGTGGCAACCCAAAAGCTTTGTGCAGCTGCTTTAAACTGTAGTTGTGTTGAACATTTTAGGGGTTTAGGGTTAAGGGTTTAGGGGGTCAGGGTTTAGCGTATTGTATGCCATAGTACTGTATCTCGTTGGAAACCAATGCTCCTCGTTATTATATGCATTGTTCGAGCAGTAAAGATGGCAATAAGCATGTCCGGTTTGGGGCAGCCTAGTCGGCAAGGCGAAGAACAGTGCTGGCTTTCCTAGACTTGTTCCAACTTGCTGACTTCTTCTTCGTTTGGGTCCTCGGAGTTTGACGGTCCAGAGTTGAGGGTTTCAGGGTTTGGGATGATTTAGGATCGGGCTTAGGTTTCTCCGGGACTATCATTCGCAGAACTTAGAGCTATCAGTGCTCAACCTGTCGAAAGATCGAGCGAGCAAGAGCGCTAATCGGAGTAGAGTCGTCAGAACAGCAGTAGAATCAAGTGCGATTCGCTAGAGCGAATCGTCAGAGTTGCAAAATCAAGAGTCACACCAATCTCAACCAAAAGCATCACAACATGAAGCATGATGGTCATGAGTGGTATTGATCGTCATAACATTAACAAGCTGCAAAATCAACGGTGAAAGCGAACAAACACCACAATCATCAAGTACACTCTCGGGCCTTCACCCGAATCAGGGCGAAGGGCAGGGAGGAGGTCGTTGTCATCGCAGTCGTCATCTCCGCAGTATGTTTTCAGAACCCATACCGACAGTGTCCATAGCAACCAGCTGTAATGTTTTTAGACCTCGAATTTCTTCTGCGTGCAAAACCTCAATCCTTGCAAATTCCCATAGAGATGACATTCTTGAAATCTCGAGCAACAGCCGCAGCTCCGGCTTGAAGCCCTGATTTACTGGCGGATTCATGAGCTCTTGGTGTGCAAGATTCTGTCTACGGCCTAAGGCTTAGTGTTTAAGGTTTACGTAAACTTGGGGTGTGCGCCACAGCTCGATTCTACCGGCTGCATACCTGACTTGCAGGTGCAGCTTCATTGGGGTGATAAACTAAACTAGACCGCCTCTTGCAGCCTTGTCCTCATCGGCTATTTTCGGCACAATGGCTTTGAGGCCGGCCCCCAGCTACTGATCCGGGCTACCTTCAATTCGGTAGTTTTAGCTGGGCCTACTCTTCTTTTGTCTTTTGGGGTTGTGCGTAAGTAGAATACTAGTACGGCACAATCATTATAGGCCGACATGCTACGTCTTCCGATCCTTGAAGCGCAACAGCGTTTCCGGAGTGTTTCGGTATGAGGTTTAAGTTTTGTTGCGCAGCATAGCTTGGAACTCGCTTGAGACACATTGGGACGTGGAAGCTCGCCGGCTGTGCAAAACGGGTATCGGATGCAACACCAGTCTCAGTTTGTTGTTTCCTTCTGTAGCCCCTGTGCGAGTATGCAACGGAACTATCTTTTTGATGATACAGGCCCGCTCCGATACATTACGATGAAGCCCATGTGTCCTTGCGACAGAGTTTTTTCCCAACGGAAGCTGACCTTAACACAGACCTGTGCTCCTGCAACGGCCCCCAAACACAGCACCGCAGGCCATAGGCAATCCTGCTTGTAAACTAGGTGTGACCCTGTGAAACTCGTGCTCCCCTCGTAATAAAAGGTAAGTGCCAACAAAAACCCTTTTGGCGTCTTCTGGCAAGGTTTCAACGTATGCCGGCAAAAGTGATCAATGTTAACCTGGAAACGCAAGGCCTTCGTCCTGCAAGCCCCGAGGCGCAAACGACTCAGAGACTGCCATGTGTGAGCCTGAATCGCTGATATTCTTGGCCTTTCAATCGTCTCATGTTCTTATTCTTATAATCCGAAGTCATAAGTTAATCATTCTTTGCGATTACAGGAGATCCCTGTAAATTCTTGTATCACCCCTGCGCAGCGCCAGGCTTGCACTGCTGGCTGCACTTGGCGCCGTGTGCACGGCTCAGGAAGAGGCCCGCATGCCAGTGCAAAGCATCGGGCAAAAGCCACACGAAGTCGCGATGTTCTTCCTCACTTTTCACCGCGGAAGCACATGCAGATATTTAAGATTCATTTTTGACCACGGGTCATGGGCAGGTGCGGCGCCTCAAGTTCTTGACCATCACGTCGTACGACGGAACCAAGCTCAATGCCGACGCGAGTCTGCCGCTGGATGCCGAACAGCCATACTCCACTCTGCGGAATCTCACGTGCGCAAGCATGCGCGACCAAATGCTTTGGTTGCCCTGGGCACACACCCTTAATCACACACTCTGTAGCATTCCCAGAGATCCCACATTGACTTGCAAACCCCGGAGCTTAATCTTCAGTCCTGGAGCAATCCTGAATGCTACCCGCTCTGACCTGGCCACCCTCGGGAGTTTGCGATCAGTATCCCAGCCATGCGCTCGCATGTCCCCTCTTTTCGATTTTTGAGGACAAAACGCTTTGAGTCATGTCGTTAGAGACAGTGCAGTGGATGCAAGCTCAGGAGAGAGAGAAAGGTAAGAAGGAATGTTTAGCGGCACTGATCGCTTCGGCCTAAGTATTGGGCACTACCGCAAATGGCCAACCAAGAATGAGCAAAAAACATACTCCGCCTAAGCAACAGCGTGCCTGAGGCCTTTGCCCAAGACTCCCAGCGACCGGTTCCCTGCGGCCTGGCTCGGATGAGTTGTGCCTGTTCTTTGTAACAGTAACTATCGTTTTCCTCGCCTCATCATCATCTTCATCAGCATCGGTGATCAGCATCTTCATTTCCGTCGTTTCATTAGTACGCAGTAGTGGCAGTGGCAGTAGTCGTGGTAGCAGCCGTCGGAAGAAAAGGAGAATCAACACCAGCCGCCGCCGTCGTGATCACAAATGCCCTGACTACATCAATACGGAAATGACGATGAGCCGGTAACCCGGGAGGCTAGTCAGGTTCAGCTCTGACGAAAGCGCCCGTAACGATTGCACCACAAGTCAGGAGCTGCCCTAAGTCCAAATCTACCAAGGGCTACACCCCCAGGTAACACCCAAAAGCCTAAACCACGAAGCCTGGAGCTGACATTTACAGGCTCCGCCAGCGCATCAGCCCATCCAATGGATTTCTGTAGTAGTAGTAGTAGTAGAAGTGGTGATGGTGGTGGTGGTAGTGGTGGTAGGAACCCTGGCAAAACAGCCTAGCAATTCCTCCGCCCGTCCGCTACAAGCCGTCGAAGAGAACTCCACCCGCCCATCCCACGCAGGTCGTGATCATGGCGAACTCCTGGAGTGTCCCGCAGTTCGAGTAACCAGGCGAGAAAAAGCGACTTCTTCTCCGGTGATGAGATGTATCGGCAAGCACGTGCGACCCTGTAGCGACCTTCCTTTTTGCGTCTGAAGCGACGGCGAAAGTCTGCACCGGCACCCCAAAGCAAGGACGTCACTGTGCCATTGATCATCCCTAACCCAAGCCGCTGCGTATGCTCTAACCCGAGTCATATACTCAGAAGGCACAGAGAGACAGCCCGCATCAAGGTACGTGATTCAGGCCCAAGAGTTGGCGCAGGCCGGCTACATCATCCTGGAGTATGCCGACATGGCTGAATGTGGCAGGAATCATTTGGTTTGGGGCGTGGGCTGCGGGTTTTGCATTTATTTTGGGAGGGGGTTGGTGCTTCTGCAAAACGGCCTAGGCTCCCCTACCCTTCACCCGGTAGTCTATGTGCTAAGGAGACGCGCGGCTGGTACTTCTCTGGGGGCGAGATCGACTGCGCCGGCGAGAAGGACCAGCGTGACATCTCAGAGGCGGGGCGACGGAGCTTAAATGTTCATGATCTGGAGTTTCAGGCGTGGGTTTCGGCTTGAGGGCTCGAATACCTCAGGTCCACAGATGGCTTGAGGCTAAAGACGTGGCCCCGGTTTCGGATTAGAGCTTCCAGGTTCACCAGAAAGACGTCGAGTTTTTGCTTCAGGGTGCACTTCAGAACTAAGCGCTGTGGGTTTCCGCGAAGCTCCAACCCTTAATCGTAAACGTAAAAACCTGAACCCTAAACGGCCGCAAGCTTTGATGGGCAGGTTATTTCCTACGTGCTGAGCCAGAGTCGCTCGGAGCAGATAGATCGGGTCTTCCGGTGTAGGCTTACGGGGCAGGTTGCAAGATGAGGGCATCGGGTGTAGGCTTGAAGCGCGCTGGGCTTCAAAGTTTGAGTTTGTCTGGGATTTGGGGTTCAATGGGGTCTAGGCTTCAAGGTTTAACAAGCTTCAAGAGAGTTGAATAAACTTGGAGCCTGGCGGGGTGCTGGGAGGTTTTCCGCCGGCCATCACGCCAAATCAGGCGACTGGCAGGCAGATCCGGGGCGAATCGCGCTGGCTGGGATCCCGTGGCAGCAATGTTTCATCGTGCTGGTTTCAGGGTTGCACAAGGGGGTTGTATTTTTTTTGTAGGTTTTACTGGGGTTGAGAAGGGTTTGGCTTTGCCGGATTTCGGTTCATTTGGGCTTTTTGACCGGGGGGGGGTCACGGCCGCGTTTGGGCCATGGACCCAGTTGTGGCCGACTCTAACCGCAGATATCACCCAACTATAATCCAGGTGCCCATACTTAGGTGTCACGCTTAGCCTACGAGTATTAACCATCTCCTGCTTCTGCTTGCTGCTAAAGTTCGATGACTCCTGTTGTGGCCGAAGCAAAGGAGGCTGTCACAGGCCGGACGACCCTACCTGGGGGTTAGCAATGAGCTCTTTGAATAATGTGGCAGCATCCCTTTACGGTTAAAGCATGGACCCCATTCAGCTACAATACAATGTACACCAGAGCCCTATTCTAAGTACGAAGGCCCCTATGTTGCACCCCTAAAGCCCTAGGATCTCCTATGGCGCCGGCCTTGCGTTACTCGGTGCTGGCCGCGACCCCCGCGTCAAGGTGGCGGTGGCTATGCGCCTCGGTTGCCTTGGGATAGAGGTGTTCGGGATGCTTCAGGGTAAGGCTTTAGGCTACAATAGACACGAGAGTCTTATTGTTTAGACAGCTTCAGGGTTCAAGTTTCAGATTGCTTGGGGGGTGAGCGTTTGAACAGCTTGGGTTTCGAGATCAGAGTGCAGAAGGGTAGAAGAGCACGCAAGTTTCGGGATGAAAACGGATCGTGTCCTGAGATGCCCAGCAGAAGCCCTAACACAAATATGGCATCACCAGACCCCGTACGCTTTGAACCAGTCGCTCTCCAACCTTGCCAAGCCAAATTGAAGGCGCTTAGTCGGTTCCAGAATGAAGACCGGTCGCGTCGAGTTGAAGCCTGAGCCCAAAGACCCTACCAGCCTGGACAACGATCACAGAAGACCACTCATTTCAGGTCGGGTTGGTCGGACCTGCAGCAGGCCTTGTTCAAACACAGCCGCCGGTCTGCAGACTGGGACCCGAGAAGTGCATAAGCACAGACCATTGAAGCCCACACCCCTCTAGGGCGATTACCCTTCGAAACGAACATGTTTGCCGGCGCCTTGCGGGTCCTATGAGCTGTTGTTTATAGCGAGGATGCGACCATCGACCCTTCGCATCAAAGCCAGCCCACCCGATCATGATGCATCGAAACAGTGATGCCGTGTGACACCTGTTAACTTTGACACGGCTAAGCAACGTTATGCTACCATCTTAGTTGCCACAGTGCACATAGGTCCAGGTCTTGACTCGTTGCACAAACCACCATGATGAACCAGTAGGTACACAGTTGTTAAGCCTGTGAAGGGTGACAGTACCTAACTACCGAGCAGAACCTATACACGACGATGATCAGAGTCGTTGTTTTCGGAGCAAAGCCTTGGCAAGTAGCCGTGAGCACATTTTCTGATAAACTGCTCGAACGAGCGTTATTTCTACTCCGGGTTAGATTCCGGCTAGTTAGCAAGTAGAGGGTCTAGATTCTAGTAGACTCCCTGCCTAGCCCACGGCTCCTTGCGAACATCGGAGCAAGCTCTCGCTTTGTGCTGCTAAGACTCTCCGAACCTTGTTTGGGGCGAAGTGCTGGTGGTCATGGCCCATGTTGTGCGGAGCTCAGGGCTTTTCAGGCTTCAGTGGGTTCCATATCCCGACCCCGCATACCTTTCAGCCTTAGGATGTCCTCGTCCAGCCTGCAAGCCGCATTTCGCACGATACACTACACCAATATTTCCCCAACTTTCACTCCATCCAAACTTCGAGGTTGCGCCCCACGTCAAGACGGGCAGCCTAAAGATCCCAACCCTGGTCCTAAAGCCAGCAAGCTTGAAGCCCGTGCCACGCGTTCAAGAAGCCTTGATTGACCCCGCTGAAGCCCTGCACCTCCGAAGCCTCCAACAGCTCCAAATCCCTACCTACATCCTACGCAACACCTCATAAGACTTCTCGGCTATTTTAAAACCTTCAAACAGAAACTAACCTATGAAGCTCATTTCTCCGCGCCTCAACAAGGTCGGCAAGCCGGAGCCCCTCTTGGACGAGGCGGCCAGGGCTCATGGATTCGGAGATTTGGCCGTACACTTCAGCTTGGCAGACTTTCGCATCCAATGTTTTTTGTGATTACGCCACCACCACTACCATCAGCATTACTACTGCTGTCAGTTTTTTTGAGGGAAGGGTCCTTCGGATACATTCCCATGGTGCCTTCCGCACGGAAAGGGTGATTGACGAAGGGCAGAAGCTGGAGCATGATTAGGTTTTATCGTGCAAAATTGCGGAACGGGTGTCTTGGGCATCACAAAGTCAGGCACAGTCCCACGAAGCCAGGTCTGGCGTCAGGTCCTCGCCGGAAACGTCACTGCCGCCCAGAGCTTTGCCACACTCCGCTCCGTTTTGCCCTACTTGCCGGCCCTGGAGGACCGACCCGAGCAGAATGTGACAGTTCTGTCGGAAGCAGAAGGGTTCAGTAAGACGACGGGAGTTGTATCCGGTTCTGTCTAGGGTTGTTCTGTAGCATCTTTCCCGAGGTGAGTGTGGAAGGGAGTTCTTGGGGATGTTATAGACCATGATCATACCTGGAGTGGCTGAAGCTCGAAAGCCGCATCCCCTACCCGATCTGCCTTGGCCTTCTTCCGCCAAAGCCCTTGTGGTCGCTTGGGCCCTGGTGCCTCCACAACCCCAAGCAGTAGATCCTAAACCCCGACCCTAAACCTGGAATCCCAAACCCTGAACCCCTAAACCCCTAAACCCCTAAACCCCTAAACCCCTAAACCCCTAAACCCCTAAACCCCTAAACCTTAGCTTTTGTAAATTCGAACCGCAAGCCGTAGATCCCACCCCATATAGATCCAAAAACCATCGCGCAGAACCGCAGCGTGCCGCTCTTCATCTCCAACAACTTCGAGGCTGGTCCGAGCACTTGGGGATTAGTTTACTTGTTCTTAATACGACCATTATTAGAGCGTGACAATTATGATGTTTATGACTATTCTCTGTGCTATTGCTGTTACTATCGTTTTAAGGTTAGATCTGCTACTATCATACTTGTTTGTATTTGTGTTGCGTGTTTTTTGGCGGTAGGGGTGAGGAGTAGGGCTCAAGGTGTGTGCGGTGTCTAGGTTTTAGGATGGCTACTGACATATCATCTGCCGACAGCTATATAATCTCCGGTGTCTTTACATAGACATAATACCTCGACCCCCAACTCGAAACTCAACCCTGAACCCTATGCGGATTGTCGTGTCGGCACCCCTGGAGGATCGTTTGTTTTATCCGGAAGACGCCGTTGCTTTATACGAGCACCTTGGCCCGGAAGGGAACCATCATTCAGGATTTAGGTTCTTGGGTGCATGGGATGTCAGGTGTGGAACTTGGAGCCTCGGGGCTTTCGTTTGAGGTTCGGAGTGGACTCGGCAAGTGGAGTTGGAGATAGGCTTCTGGTAAGGCTTGTTGTATCTTCGAAACAGTTTCTAATGCATTTACCACTCAAGCCTTCTTTGAAATTCCTAAATCTTGCTGGGGAAAGACCCATCACCGAAGCCCCAAAGCATGAACCCGCACTCCCTCGAATCCTGTGCGCTGAAGTTTTGGAGCTCCAAAGCCAAAGCTTCGGCTTTAGGGTGACGCCTGCCGAGGCAGTACAAAGGTCCAAAGCGACTACTCCTGAATCAAGGTGCGGAAGCCCAGTGGACGGAAAGCGTGCAGTATCCTCTGAACGCCTGAACGACATGGTCTTGTCGGCGGTTTCCATTGTCCGGCATCTAGAGTGATTTAGGAAGAGGTCTTGCTTGGACCGTCTTTGTTTTCTAATGGTTTTACCCGCTAGGATTGAGTGAGTAAAACTGGAGGGGTTCAGGGTTGAGGTTGCATTTGGGGCGATTCCAAGTTGGGGCTATCCTACCGTGGCTTGGAAGACACCGTCGCGGGCTTGCTGAAAGAAGGCACAACACACGGCAATGCTTCAAGCTACCAGCATATGTGTCTACGTGTGTATTTATGCCAGCGCATGTCCTAGGTTTGCCAGGCTCGGTTCAGCTCAGCTCTGAGCACAAGATCTCGGTGAAAAAGCCTAAACGCCAGCATATCCATGCCCAGAGTTGTGTTTGGCAACATAAGCTTCAACGACGTCTTCGACAGGTCTTTTCAATGCCAAAGGACACTTTTGAAACGGCGGCACACTTGAAGGCTCATCGGTAAAATCCAAGAAGCCCGAGCCCTCTGCAGGCGTCCATGCCAGTGCAGAAATCGGAGGGCTGTTTGGGCTGCCGAATAACCATGTCTGGCTGGAGGTGAAGCGCCTTGATGCAAAGACCTTGCTTACCGTTGCCGATGGTCTTGCTGAAGTCGAGTCGTTGGCGTCAACCTGTGATCTTGTGCTTAGGCTTGGCTTGCAGTCTTGGGCTTTCTTTCATTTGTCCCAGGGCAAGTTTCGTTTTGAACTCGAGTATTGCAGAAGCTTGCTCCCTCAACCCGGGACCCGCTGTCTATTGGGGCCTTGTCACAAGGAAGTGGCTGGCGACCTACCTGAAGGGCGAGCCGGGTCCAAGTCCGCCAGCAGTGGAGATGCAACTTAGGCCCTTCGGCACTGCGATTTGGTCTACTGGTCCTGGAGCTGTGTTTTGACATGCGGAAGCAAGAGAAGCAATGGGATCGAGGGTGCTTAATTGTTGGAAAGAACCCGAAAGCGAATTGCACTCGTGCCGTATGCTTGGATGCCAGTCAGTCGCAGATAGGGCACCGTTTCTTTCAGAAGCTTCAGTCGTGAGCTCAACCAGATCCATGCCATAAAACAATCCAAAGACGCCGCTGTGGTCCCAGTGCTGGCTGTGCAAGCCGAGGTCCAACCGTGCCGTGCGAAGCTCGGCGAACGATTAGAGCCATAGTCCCAAGTTTGGGTCTAGGGTTTGGGGCAGCTGGCAGACGGTCCGGCTTTGGGATGCAACCATGTGTGGCCGCTGTGATATTCTCGTGCCAGATAGCTGATAAGGCAATGGCATAGGATTTCCGGTGCCATTCAGAGGACTTGCTACAGTTCCTGTCTGTGAAGTTCCTTTTCGTGAAGCCCGTGTAAGACTAGGTATCGATTTGGGATAATTTCCCTTACTGTTTAATATAGAGCCCTTGGGGGACTGTTGAAATCGACACCTAGCAGAGTTTCGGAAATCCAAGGCGAGCAGTTCGATGTTTGGCCCAGCAGCCGGCTGCAGCGGTCGACGCTGGTGGCTTGGCAAAGCGGGTCTTAGGTTTGGGGGGTTTACCGCCTTGGGTTTAAGGATTTGGGTTCAGGGATTTTGGCTTTAAAGCTGAGGCTTTTCGGTTGCTTGGGCTGAAGGTCGTCTTGGGTTTGCGCTTCAAGGCTTACGAACCTCCTCCTATCTGTCAGGCCGGTCGGAGCCCAGAGCCTGCAGCCAGTGCTAGCGCTGAAGTACAAACAGAGCCTGTAAACCTTGATTAACGGGGATAACAGTTCAGTCTCCACGCTGCTTTGTTGGAGTACCTGCTCATACATAGTTTCGGGGGCCCCAGCTAATGTTAACTCCCTCGAACCCCGGAAAGCTGTTGAAAGCCTGCGGCAACGACCAACGACTCATGATGAGCTCAACAAACCCTTTCAGCCAAAGGCAGCGCCGGCGACCTCAGCCCTAAACCATCTCTGTCGGTGCATGTATGTACGTATGTATGTACGTGTGTGCACGTACAGGAAGCTGACGAAATCATCGGCATATCGAATTATGGAAAAATGGGGTTTGAGCGTAGGGCTCCTGTCAAGTGAATTGCATTAGTAGACCCATGCACAAGCGTTTTCAACAGTCTTGAACCCTAAACCCCTAACACCCTAAAGCACACAGCCATCCAAAGCCTGAACAAGGCTCTACACCCCGAAATCGCGAAAGCCTGTTGATCCTTTAAACTGAAACGCCATCTGCCAAAGCCGAGCTCCGCCCAACCCCTTTAAAGTCCCAAAAATCAACGTAGTATGCTATATCCCCAGCACCGCAGTCTAGTCAAGAAGGTACCTGTAGAAAAGCCCGATACCACCCCCAAACACCTCGTTCTAATTCTCAAGGCTCCTCTAAACGTCACAAACTACTCGTAGCATACTACACGGCAAACGCCAAATATTCACAAGGCCCCTGCTGTACCCACAGTCTGCCGGGTTTTCGGTTTAGGGGTTTAGGTAGTTTAGGCGTTTGTCGTTCAGGGACTCTGCCGAGGTGCCCTCGCCGCGAGGCCGCGGCTTCTACGGCAGCTTGGTGCCCAAGGGCCAGGAGGCGATGGCTTCGGAGATTTGGCGGGTTCGAGGCTTTAGGATTTTCGGGTTTTAGGCTTTTAGGGCTTAGGGTTTAGGGTATAAGGTTTGGGGTAGAGGGTATAAGGTTTAGGGTTCAGGGTTTAGGGTATAAGGTTCAGGGTTTGGGGTTTGAGGGTTTAGGACTTCTGGGGTTTAAGATGGCAGCTTAGGTATGGTCTTTTCAGGACTTTGGTGGACTGCTTGAAGCACGTTCAGGGCTAGGCGATTCGAGCTGACCTGTGCACTTTTAATGGATTGCTTGAGGTGGCAGAGTCTGCTGCTTTGGCAGCCGTCTCATTATTCCCAAAACCCTCAGCATGAACTCCTGAACGCTGCACCCCATCCCGAAATCCTAAAACCCTAAAAGCCTTAACTCTCAAATCCGAAGCCCCAAACCCTACCCCCACACCCCCGAATCCCTAAACTTACCGAGCCGCTTTTTGCCGCAAGTCCGAGAGCCAGGCTCCCAGCACGGCCTTCGAAAGCATCAGCTTCGGCAAGAACACCGGCATCAACGGAGGAGCAACAGCAAGCCTGGTGCGATTGAGGAATCCCCTAAACTGGGTTTTCAATAAGGGAAAGCCTGAGGATTTACAATATGTACCTTGCGTAAAAATTACCAAAGGTAGACTTCTTGTTGGGATAAGCAGATCGAAACGTCAATCCTCAGCAGTCTTCTGATTCTTACATGGCGCCTTCAGCGACCATGCGCGCCAGCTAGGCCTGTCACTTTGTGCATTACGGAACCTCCTCAGCCCCAAAGCCAGAATCAAATCCTTTACATGCCGAGCCGTTTGTTGGGTTTCGGTCCCAAGTACACTTACCTTTGGTTAGTAGGGAATGGAAGAATGGTTGTAATCGTAGCTATAATTGTACCCCATTCCTCCATTCCCTACTAACCAAAGGTAAGTTCTAGGATTATTAAGGCCCCACATATTATAGTACCCTTATAGATCCCCTTATAGTAACCCTTATAGACCCCTTATAGCCCAGACTCGAGATCAAGGCTTCTCAACACTCTCCACTCTCCTCACGAGGCCGCCCGAGACCTCCGAAACCTGAAGAGCCCAAGACCCCACAACCTCAGAGCCATGATCCCCGAACTAAACTAGGACCCATCTCAAGAGAAGCCCTTAAAGCCCTTAAAACAAGGACTTCAGGCCAGCAAAACCCCACACCAGGAATCCGAAAGCCCTAAGCAAGGACTCCCGGTGATCGGCGAGCTGATGCAGGCCGGAAGGGGTGCAAAGCTCTTGACAGACTCCCGGGAACAAGGAACCCCGACGACTGGGGAAACGTCGTAGCATAGGGCTTAGGAGTTTAGGGTCGGAAGGAAAGGTTTCAGGGAGCAGGCGGCCACAGGATCCTTTCCAGGCATGGCGGCCATTGGGCAAAACTATCTGCATGAGGTGAAGTGGCCGAGGCTCCTTTTAAACGCCCGGAAGCAATGCCCGCCAAACCTCCACACTGACAGGCCAATAACTCGAGCTAGTTGTCAAGGCTTTCCAACTTTATCTTCTGAAGAACATTGGTCTTGAGAAATGTGACTACTGCAATTTAAAAAGTTTAACAGTTTACTACTTCTTTGCCTGTTGCTAGATGTGCAGTCTTGCTTTTTTGTTACAGATTTTTTTCGTCGGGAGCGGGGCTCAACAGTCTGACAGCCTTAGGCCCCTCAGCTCGGCTCAGTTCCCTACGCCTCAGCGTAGAACTTCAAGCCCCTGTTCGAGTTCAAGTCCGAAGGCTTGTATAGAAATCTCCAAGTGTGCGCACCAAGCAAGAATTCCTTCGACGGCTTCTTGTGCGGATGTTTACGGCGCGCCGGCAGGGCCACCACAAGACTCGAAGTACAGGATTCCCGTGGGCCTTGGACCATTTCATTCCGCTACCATGGCACAACAAGCACAACTGCAGTGCAGGTCTTTGTTGACCACCGAATCACGTCCAACCTTCTCCTGAGCTCCAGGCTCCCTCGGTGCAGATTGGTCGTAGTATTGCAAGAGGATTTCTGAAGTATCCTTGTTGGGTTCTCTTTGGAGATGACGTTCTACGGTGTCGTCGCACGACAGGGCTTGGTTGAGTCTTGAAGGCTTAGGAGCTTTGGGTCTTTGAGGCTTCACTTTGAGGGCTCCAGAGCTTAAGGCCTTTGGTGTAGGGTCGCTGTGTCAGGGTTCCACGTGTTGGGGATTCGAGGTCCAGGGCCTGCGGTTTTGGGTATTAAGAAGGGTTTCAGGTTTAGGGGTGATGTTGGAGATTTTGGTTGCGATCATGGCCGTTTGCGTGAAGCCTTCAGATTCAGAGGTTTGGATCGATGCAACACTATGCTGCCAAATGTTTAAGGCTTTAAGGTTTAGGGTTGGGCATCTTGAGGTTTGTGGCTTGGGACGTGTGGGACTCTTCGTGTCTATGGTCTTCGCGGAGACTGGCTCCAAGATTCTATCCCGCATTCCCAGAAGGACTGGGAGCGGGCAGACTGCCTTGGCCTGACCCGGGCCCCACAAACCCTGGCTGGGACGATGGATTCTGAAATAGGAGGTAGAATAAAGATCACTATTTAAACTATGAACAGAACCTGAACCGCCAAACTGACAGGAAGCATGCCCTAACAGGAAGCACGCCATCTGGTTCTACAAGCAGGTCGACACGGAGCACCCTGGTCGAGTTTCAGTTCTGGGTGCGGTAAGAGTTCGTCACGGAGTTTGTCATGAATGATCTGTCGGGTATCGAGGACGTAACTTCTAAGTGATCAGCTGTACAGGCTTCTCTATTTGAAGTTAAACCTTCTTTTGGGGTGTCGTGCAAATTCCTTCAACTTCATCATACTATACAATCTTACTAGATTAAACTTATATTATATCATAGTCCCCGCCAGCCGAGTCCTCATCTCAGTTCCGGAGCTTTGGTCCACGCAGCCGTCGGTTTCGGACCGCTTTGAACAAATCCGTGGTTGCAGCCTTGGACATTGGGCGCAGAAAACTCAGTAGGGATAGGACCTAGGCTTCGGGATTCAGTGAGCTTGGGTTCGTTTTGCAACGTCCTTGAAGGCACCACGCACACTGACATGCATGTCGGCAGGTCTCAGAATTCAATCCTCGGGGGATCTGAGCAATCAGCGGGGCCTTATGATTTATGGCCATGTTGTACATTTGGTGATGCCAGTGTCGTGCTGTGTGCAGATACTCACGTCTAATGGATTCAGTACTACAACAGCTAGGTGAGTCTCGCAGGCTAGTATCTCCCTTTCCTTCATACAATAGCCCAGGCGCCTGTGCGGCACTCCGTTGCTGAATTTGGACATGACCCCAAGTCACGCCAAGTGGCAGGCCCGGGGATGTTTGGGGCGTAGCTTGCGGCGAAACTGAAGGGATGGACAAACATGTTTCGTCGGTTCCGAGTGCAACATGTCATGTCGAGGTGTTTGCACGGTCGGTTCGGTTCAGCTCTCCAGCTCACTAGACCTTAATCCGAGGCCTACACACGACTCTAGGACGCATCTTCATGGCCCTGCAGGGGGCACTCGGTGTGTGTTTCATGAATCCTGACATCCTGATGCCTCAGCCTGAGCAGTGCAAGCTTCATAGAATCCGCGCGCCTGCCTCCGCACTGAAGCTGTCAATAGAACCTACGGCGTAGGGCTGGGGCTCCGTTCGTTCCTCAATAGGCTTCAAATAATCGGCCCAATTTCGAGCTTTTTCTGCAGGTGGTGGCCTACCTCCTTGGTGTGAACCGCTTCACGAAAGTCGGTGCGCCATTTGCGGAGTCCAAGATGTCACAAAGCGAGCTTGTGTGAGGCTGACACCCTCGGGTTCCAACTGCTCCCACGAATCGGAAGATCTGGCTTTGAAGCCTTTGTGACTTGAGATGCGGGAAAGTTTAAGACACCAAACCTGAAGCTGACTTCATCACTTCATGCAGCGCCAATGTTGATGATGCCAGTATCCCACGTCGCTGGAAACAGAGAACGTTCTTGTAGTGCACCACGACCCGGAAGCCGAAGGGCCGGCGAGCCAAGTCCGAACACGTGCCTTCACCGCACCTATGTACGTACTTCATTCACGAACTAGACTCTGGACTGCCCCACGTACTTTAAGCCCAAGAGCGAGCCCGATGTCCTCATTCTGTTCAGAGACCCAAATACAAGACAACCCATCAGACAAGCCTCGGCTCAAACGCGCAGCTCGGTGAGAAGGTACGCTGATCTCGCACGGGTCGCTTACCTGCTGGAACTGCACCGCCGGGCAGCGAGGCCCCTGGGTCTTTGAACAGTTCGTTCAGTCCGTGGGTACCCAACTTTCGATTGTCTACGTCTAACGACGCGGTTGAGCTGTGCTGAGTATCTGCAGCCCAGGGTACCGTGCGGTAATGACGAAGGCCGACCAGGATAAGAGTCGTAACAGTCATGGTGGTGCTGTAGTTGATAAGCAAAAAATTTCCTTCAATTGGCACCCCGAAGCCCGCAGAGCCCAACAAGGAACGTACCAGATCACCCTGCGGACGCTCTGCGAAGATCTCGGGGGCCTCGGCGCCTTGGCACGGAGCAGCCAAGTGACGGTTCTTGCAGGCTCCCCGGTAACACCGCAAGCAATAATGGCATAGTGGACAAGTCTTGCTCAACTTAGACCGGTTCGGAAGAGTAGCACTTGCAACACAATCAAGAAGAAGGAATGCAAAGACCAATACATGCGTAACAGATTTTCGGAGTTTCTTGGCTGTCATCAAAACCCAAAGTGTTGAGCTTCAGATTTGATGAAGTTTGCCCCACAGGAGCTCTATGATTTGTTCCTCTTAATGAGCTCAGAGCGTAGATGCTCATGTGGCTGCCGTCCAGGGCCCGAGAGAAGAGGATTTGCGAAGTGCTTGGAGTCAACTCGTCCACATTATTCCTTGTGTCCTCCTGAGCTGTCTGCCGGGCCACACCATGTCTTTCGCACAGCGTTTGGCGCACAACTCTGGGACTTCCAGGCAGCAGATCATTCAGCACTGGGTGAGGCAGCAGGTGGGGAACTTCGAGACAGAGTGTGGCAAGGTCAGCGATCGCGGAGGCTACGTTGCCCGATATGACTGTCGAGTTAATTCAATGCCTTGTCTGGGGCACCACCGGGAGATCGAGCCGTTCCGCCTGGCCTTGTTGCAGGCATTGCAGAACCATGGATTTCGCAGCTTGAGCGTTGAGCAGGTTACACGTCTATCGTGTCAGGTTTTGCACGTGGCTGCATCCTGGGACCAGCTCGACGAAGCCGAAGGTTGCCAGGGTCCTGCAGGCGGCATCGTCGCCTCGTGCGGCATTTGTCATGAAGACCGTCCTCTCGTGGCACTGGCTCCGTGCGGCCATGTTCTCTGCAGTGGATGCCAGCAACTGCTCAGGGACAAGCCGTGCCCCTTCTGCCGGCAGCCAGTTCAAGCAGTGACCAGGGGTATCTTCGTAGACTGAGCTCGGTAGGAATGGTAGAGCTTTGCATTATTTGGTCTCGAAGGTATTGACGTCCTTGCTTTGCTGAGACCACCATGTGAAGCAGTCCATGCTAATTACATGTTATCGTGCATTGATCCTAGTGCGAGTGTTGACTTGTTCGAGCCGTTGTCGAGAGTTGGAGGTGGCCCGGTGGGATTGGTATTATTTGCCAGGTCTCATCGCACCATAAAGCAGAGCTCTTTGGTGTTAGTGTTGGAAGATTCGATGGTAGAGCAGTTATACACATATCATTTAGATGGCACTGTGCTGCCGGCTGCAAAAAACCAGCCGTAGCATGATGCATGCTCGGAGGCTCACCTTGAGCTATGGAGGAATGAGATCCGTTTGGGGGTCGAGCGACTCATGCCACCAACAGCCTGTGGCCTTGGAGTGTTGGAGCATCGGTCACACTTGAAAAGTTGCGTTCTGGGCGGTGCAACCCGAAGTGGGATCTGACCGACAAGAATTGCACGTAGCTCTGTAGTAATTACAGGAGATTGAAGTCGATCTCAGTTTCCGAGCTCCCTCAGCCAGAACTGGCAGCTTCGAAGGCAAACAAAGAGGTTTAGTTCTGTCCCGGTGCCCAGGTATGGGTGGCATTGGCCTCGCTCTGTATCTTGGACAGACTGCTTGAGTTTGAGTTTAAACATAAATAATGAATCCTGACAGCGAGGCTACTGGAAGAAGTTTCCCTCGTACCCGCACCTAAGGAACATGTACTCCGCGCTTTATGAGCCGGCGAACTCCGAGGCACAGAGATGCGTATTGGGGTGTGCTTTTTGGGTCTGAGAAGCATAGAGAAGCACCAAACAGTCTGATGTCGTATTATATATGCTACATAAGAAGCATACGCGCAACACAAGATTGTGCAGTATACTTATACTCGCTTGAACATCTACCAAAGTCCATGGCATAATAGACTCAATAATCCCAGGATGCTAGACTTATAAGATCCACCATCTCATCAACACGATAAACGCTCGAATATCCGAACCCTTCGCCCTCTCACTCCACACCCAACTCGGCAGCTGAATCAACGGACCCTCGAAACGCACATCCTTCCACCCCACAGCCCCAAACCGAAATCCGAAAAAGGAAATACCAAAACCCATAGTCTTGCTTACATGAAGTTCCAGAAGTTCGAAAAATAGCTTCTTCGCAGGAGGCCTTGACGGTGGACTTCCACTACTCAGAGATGCCTTGCTCGATTTATTTTCCTTTTGGGCGTTTCGGCCCGGGTGTTTGAGGATCAGGATTTTGGGGATGAAGGTCGAGGTCCAGGGTTTGTGTGTTCGGGTTTCATCTCAGCTTTGGCGCAAACACCTACGGTCTCCCTTGCAAGGCACTTGGGGACGCCACCTGGGAAGGTTTTGGGCCGTTGGGCTCAGAGTTTGGGGTTTGGGGCGACTTCTCTTCAGACTCTATCTCCACCCTGTTCAGAATTTATGATTTTATAGGGTTTAGGGTTCAGGGTTAAGGGGTTATAGGCTATAGGGTTACAGGCCTGAATATACGTTTATAGGGTTTCGAGGTCCTCTAAATCCTGAAGCCTGAAACCCTGAAACCTTCCTCCTCCCTCCTCCCTCGCAGTCGCAGCGCCGAGGAACTTCTCCCTGGAGATTCCGATTGCCGAGAGCAAGGCTCCCAACATTCTGGTGTGAGATCGACCCCCGCAGACCGAACGCATCCCCAAAAAGATTCGAGAGTTTAGTAGGTTTAGGGATAAGGTAAAGGGGCGTAAACTTAGACTATAGGGTTGCAGGGTTTGGGGGGGTTCAAGGTTTAGGGTTTCGGGTTACGGCTGAGAGATTCAGGCTCATTTTTAGGACCTCCCTCGGCTGGGCCAAGGAGCGAAGACCCCAAACCTCCCAGAGTCTCAAGCTCGTGAGGTTTTGACCAGAATCACTCCAGGGTTTAGGATTTAGGCTATCGCGCTTAGGGCCCCGAACTCGAGGGTCACTCTTGCACCCTGACAGTTTTGGGACTTTCAGTCTTGCTTGAGGAATCCGAGGCGGCTGTCAATACGGTTCAAGTGTGCCTTATGCGCATCTGCATGCAAGTATTAAGAATGAGTACATGCATAGCTACTCGGGATCATGATCCCTTAGCAAAGTCGCCTCCTGATCCTTCAAGTGAGCTCTGATTCTGTGCTGCGTTTGGCGGCCTAGGGACAGCTTAGACATCGCAGGCACGTTTGAACCGGGCCTTTGCCTGCGGCCGAAAGTTTCAAGGCTCCAAGTGCCTCTACAGGGTTTAGGGTTTAGGGTTTAGGGGTTTGGGGTTTAGGGTTTAGGGGTTAGGGTTTAGGGGTTTAGGGTTTAGGGTTTAGGGGTTTAGGGTTTAGGGTTAAGGGTTTAGGGGTTTAGGGTTTAGGGTTTAGGGGTTTGGGGGTTTAGGGTTTAGGGGTTTAGGGGTTTAGGGTTTAGGGTTCAGGGTTTTTTTTGCTCTGCGTGCCTGTGTTCAGGGTTCTAGGGTTTCGAGGTCGCTTAGGCCATTGTCCGTTTAGGCGCTTTGGTTTGTTTATGGGACGTTTGGAGGTGCCTGGTGGGGAGCATCCGTACCTATCATGGGAATGAGGGGGAAGAAGGGTAGGGGGAAAGATTGCCTCAAACAACATCAATCTCTTCCGCCCTCTCCCCGGCCTCCGCCACAAGGGAAGTTTCCAGGGCAAACCACTTCACTTAAGACTTCGAAGATTTGCGATTCGTGAGGATTCAGGGTTTAGGGAGTATATTCGATGTATGCCCAAGAACCCGAAGCACGTATGGATATTTGGAGCCTTTGGTGAGTGGAAGGGATCTTGGGCGCTGCTTTTCACCCGACAGCTTCATCCTCAAGCAGATGCCGGAAACGGATACGACTTGGATATCCCTGATATCCTACCAAACACGCTACGAAAGGAGGCTTCGCCCATCATGCCATCCCTTCGCCAGTTTTGATAGTCGAGGTAAGCGATCTGAGCAGCCGCTTTGGGATTGAGAGGCACTGCAGGGCTTTGCATAGTGTCTGAGGGCGTTGTGGTAGTTTTCGGTTCGTAGAGTCAAGGAGTGCTTGTGTTTTGCATGAGTTTGTGACTGGGGTTTGGGTTCGTGGTTGAAGCAACAACAGTCTGGTTGTTACAGTAGTGTTTGCAGTGGTAGCCGTAGTAACATTGCATAGAACTGCAGCAGACTCCCGGACGAGTAGATTGCAGTACTCAACTCTTCCTCCGTCCTGGCCCCGGGCCAAATGCAGAAGCAAAGCGTTTTGGAGAATTTGCCTGCAGGATCAGTCAGCTTAGTTGATACGGGTTCGTAAGTACTCTCAGTGCTCCAAATGGGGACACCCGCTTCAAGACCTCGCTTGTAGCCGGCTGACTCCTTCCCTGATCTTCCAAGCATAGTCGCCCACCGGCAACCCTGAGCCACAGAGCCTTGTGTAAACCCCAGCCCTGGCCTTTCACGGCGGCAGTCCTCGCTCGTCTCAATCGCAAAGCCTGCCTTCGCTTCGAAAGGGTCAGGTGACGCAGAGGGGACGGTTCGGCATGCATGCAGCAATATGCATGGCTTGTGAAGACATCTATGATTCTGCTCCATCATAGTTGGCATCCTGCCACTGCTACTGCTACTGCTACTGCCACCGCCACCGCCACCGCCACCACCACCACCGCCACCGCCACTGCATAACACCTTCGTAATACGTTCGATTTTAATCGCATCGCTATCCGGAATCTTTTTCAACCTGTAGTGGAATCTCAATGTACCCTCCAACGTCGTGGCCTGGAGACTGATCATGCTAGCTGCTGTTCCTGGAACTGTTCGTGCTCCTGTAGCAGGAATCAATGAAGATTCTTGCCATGATTCGCAAGTATTAGTACCTTAGGTCTGCTTGATACTAGCACGATTGTCATGCTCAGTTTGTTATCATCATAATCCGATAACAGTTGTTCTTTCCGCTGTCGGGTCCGCTACTCTAAGAAGGACAAGCAGTCTTGGTACCGTGAGAAAAGGAAGCAGCAATTATTGTTGCTGCTGCCGTGTTTGCAACCATAAAGTTATCTCATGACTCAAGACTCCGACTGACATGTCTATGTTAATGCCGTGTTTGTTGCCGCCGCTGCTCTTGTCAAACTTTGTCGAGGTTCATATTCTGCTACTGCCGAGATTTTTTCATTGTTGATGCTTGGTTCAAGTCTCTGCATGAGCTGGCCCGCCACTTCTCTTGGTTCCAGGTCGTTGCCAGTTGCCAGTGCTGCCGACGTCCGACTCGGTCCCTAACAGTTTCAATGTTGATCCCCATCCACTTCAAGCTGCAACGGGGCAGATGAACTGATAATCGTCAAGATAAGCTGGTTTGCATTCGAGTTTAGTCCGGAGTGCATGACTTTGTCGAACCATACGAGACTAGGGTGACTTGAGAAAATCAAGAGGCCGTAAAGCTAAAGCTTCGAAAGTTCACGGTGGATCAGCTCAGCCAAAGATGCGCAACAGCCGCTCGATGAAAAACGATAAGAAGCGCGTGCTTTGGTGGTGGCTGCAGGCTTCGGGGTCTGTCGTCGGGGTTTCCACGATTTGGGCATTTGATGCGCGAGGGGTCTCAGCTTTGGGATTGAGGATTTAAGGCTGCAGCGCTGGCTTTGTAAATGGTAAGGTTTTGGGTTTGTATTCGGTCAGTGGGAAAGGTTAGGACGGTTAGGACAAGGACGCAATAACCACCTATGTTGTTTTTCACCTGTAATCGACGAGCTGAGCCCGCACTTGCCAGCTCTGTGTTCATTCGGGGCATCTTTCGGTCGTGCCAAGCTGTTTCAGTCATATGGGAGTTTGCGAAAATAGGGACCCTAATACAGTACCCTAATAGTAAGCATGCTTATTATAAGGATCCCAAAATAAGGTACCCCTCATTTCGGAAACTCCCGTGTCTGTCCAGTTCCCACTCCAACTGACCCACAACTTGGACTCGGAAACCTTCTGCATCTCTGTAGAATGCGAGCTCAGAGCCTTCCGTCGACTGAAGCAGGGTCGGAGATTCTCAAAACACGGGACTCTGTAGTAATATAGAGCCTTCAACATCGAACTCACAGATACCTTGCAAACGCTCATAAGACACATATATGTGTGTGTATATATATATACACATGTCTGAGGCACCGAATTTTCACCAACTGCCCCTTGTTAGATGTCGTGGCATCTCTCCAAGACTCACCAGGCCAAGGCCGCAAACCCTCTGAACCTGATTTTTTTCGCAGTAGCAGTAGTCTTGCTGGTAATATGGGGCTATGAAATTAGAGTGGGCATGAGTGGGCTTTCGGGGTACATTCTCCCATAAGCAAATTAAGCACTACAAGGGGATACTGTTGCTGTTGCTAGTTATTCCGACCCCGTGATAACTTGGAGGATCATGAGACTTAGTAAGTAGGGTTATAAGTACCTTAACCGGGGTTGTAAGTATAGTTACCCTAATTATAACCCTAGTTACTAAGTCCCATGATCCTTTAAGTAGTAGCGCTCCGAAGTCCTTGCGGCCCTCATCGCGAAGCTCGGATGCGCCGCGCAGTTTTCCGGGCTCCAGGTGGCTTAGTAGCTGAAGGCTGTTTGCCTGCTTTGGCCCCCGGTTTATTTGATAGATCCGTGTCCGACATGGATGGATTTGGCACCTCGGTGGCAATATAGATGCATGAACGAAGGGCAAGATGACTCTTGTCGTGTATCGTAGAGGCGTGCTTCTTTTGTGATGTTGCATGCCCCTGCAAATCAACACATTTTCGGATCGCTTACGGTTACCAATGGTGGTTTGCAGCGTCCACGCAGGCACTTCGTGAGTGGTGTTGGTGGCATTTCGTCATGCTGCTACTACTCCGACGACGACTACTACTTCTCATGCTTCTGCTGTTGCTGCCGTTGCAGCTACTTCTTCAGCTACTACTACTGCGACGACGACTACTACGACTGCTGCCACTGTTGGTGCTGGAGCCATCTGGCCACTGCTCCTCCTACCGACCTTTGCTTCTGTTGCTTTTCTGTAGCGGGTACCTTTGCTGCTGATGGTGCAAAGATCCAGGTTTCAGTTTGGCCCTCTTCGGCGTGGCTTTCGTACCTCGTTTGGCATTGAGAAGAGATCACTTCTTGCCTAGATGTTATCGGATAGCAAAATGGCATGCGAGCATCAATCGCAAGCTTTCGAAGCTCACCCTTAGATGTTGACTTCGGCAGTTGTTGATCAGATACTTGGTTGGGCCATGCTTCCCGGGATGATCATATCTGGGACACAGAAGATCGCTGTGAATCTTGCAAGTAGTTCCTGAAAGGGTTTTGTGTATCGATGGCATCGACCTTAAAGTAGCTTCATGATTGGGGTTAAGGCGCCCCGTAAGCCTGAGCCGATAAAGGCCTACCTGAATTGACATTTGCTTGTGATCCAGCGGCTATGTCTTCTTGGACTTTTTCCACATAGAGGAAGCTTCATCTGTGGATGAGTTTGTTGGGATACTGCATCCATGGACTTGTTCTAGCGACAGAGGGGCTGAGAGGTGAAATCCCCGACTGAAGTGCATGCCTCTCTCTCGGAACCAGGATTGTAAAGCTACTCCACACTGACAGTTGCGGCAAAGACTCCACCGGACCCAACTCGGTGTGACTCATCTTAATAATAATAATGATAATCATAATAAAAATCATAATAATAATAGTAATAATAATAATAATAATATTAATAATCATAATCATAATCATAATCATAAAACAGACCAAAGTCAGGCCGCACATACCAGAGGCTGCCCATTGGCTCCCTTGCACACTGTGTAGAGAAAGAGTTGCTCGGGCAGTCGACAAACAAGTGCTCTCTGAGTATCCTGAGTCGTGCAACAACATCTCTGATGCTACAATGCTGGTAATGTACAAGTCTACGTGCACTTCGTAGCGACCACTTGGCATTCATTTTCGATTAAGTTTGTGTCTTTCCATACAGTCTTTACAGGCTCCAGACGCTGTGCTGCAAACGTTGTAAGGTCCGTACAGGATATTGTGCATGAGGAGTGCTGTATTGGTACCTGCTGGAATTTACGTACGTTTCATGTACAGGTACGACCTCTGGAACAGACAGTCTTGCGTTCTGCGTTGCATGCAGTATGGCTGGCCAATCTACCTACCTATGCCTAGAGGTCTCTTGTGGTGAACTGGTTGCTACCCTCAAGGCCTGAAGCCCCCTCCCCAAAAATTAGCAGAGCCAGTGGCTCAGGTTTTCCGGGCAGGGGCGCTTCTCTGCCCCGCGACATGCCCAGGGGGCACGACGGACCTGCAACCGACACCGTGCCGGTACCACGCTAACAATTGTGCTTCGTCAGCAGATTCGACGAGGAATCGAGACATTTGGAGCTGTGTTGCAGAGCGGTTGTCAGGGTATCAGCACTCCGACTGCACAACAGTCTACAGGACAGTGTGAACACTGTTGGCAACGACGATGATCTTTCGATTATGCTGATGAAGAAGATGATGATGACGATGGTGATGACGACGATGTGGTTGTGATGGTTGTTGCGGTCCAGGAGCTCCAAAACCGAAGTTGTCTTAAGGTTTATTCCTTAGTTGAAGGATACTGGACCAGGCCGAGGGTTTGAGGTTTAGGATGTAGGGTTGAAGAGCCTGTTCAAAGCTGCACTTCGCCCCACCGCAGAGGAATTCTGTCTAGCTGCAGAACCTAGGACCACAAATTCCGAAGCTTTGGTCATTTCGACGGCAATTGAGCTACAGAGAAGTCTTATCTGATTCCACCGTACGGCAACATGCAAGAAAGTGCCCGGCAGAGGCATTATAAAGCCCCAGATATCAGTCTTGAGCTTTGCGACACAGGCCTTCGACCCGTAATATTGATCGGGGTCTTGATGCTAAGAATAGGCTTTCGAAGTAGTCTATACTCTCCTAGTTCCTTGTCAGGAGCTATTGTTGATAATCGTTCAGTGGGGGTGTTTGGAGCCCAGAAGTCCCTCCTCGGCTCCTCCCTTGCGAGGTATACTTTCCACCACGGCGAACCCCAGCCGCGCCGGTGCGCAGGACATCAACATCGTGGTCATGAACCCGCCCTTCGGCTCACGACTCAAGGGGGATTCGGGGCGACTACAAGGGTGGCTATAGCGGTTAGTACTGGTCTACTGAAAGGCTTGCGAAAAGGGTAGCTTTGCAGCTTGCTATGTGGCTGGGGTTCAGGAGAGACCCTACTGAGTGGGTTGAGGGTTTTTTCTTTTTTTTTCTGGGCTTCGGCAACCGGGGTTCGGGTAGACAGGTACAGCAGTCAGTGATGTGTTGTTTTTGTGCGTGACTCTTGTTAATATGGACTCTCCGCTGCGAAACCCCTTCCAGGCCCTGAGCTGCTGATTTGTATCACTCCCAGTCGCCACGCTCATCAAGTCTCACCCACAGAGAACGGACAAGGGTCCCCACTACAAAAGGCGTCGGACAATTATCAACAATACCATGTAACAGCCCTGTTATAGTGTAGAGATGTTGTAAGTGTCCCGTGCATAGAAATAAATCCTTCAAAGATGCGTGTTAAATATACTTTACATATCCCATAGTACCCCGAACGAATATCCGCCGGAAGCCTACACGCAGCTACTGTTGAGGCGACGTGACAAAGTCGCTAAAAAAAGAAAACCCACTCCGAGGAAGTCACCACAGAAACCCTAAACCCGAAACCCAAAAGTCGCCACAAAAAGCCCTAAACCCTAAAGTCGCCACACAAAAAGGACACCGCCGGGCCCTACTATAGATCCCTTCTGGGCCCCTTTAAAGGAACCCTTTTAAAGGAATTAAGGGCCCTACATTAGCCCCCTTGCTCCTTGAGCCCCCAGGTACAACGGCCCAGCCGGTGATCTCGCGACCATCTCCGAGCCGCTGCTCAGCGCTGCGGCGCAGGAGATCGAGGACCGGAAAAGGGGCGTTTCTTAGGGTTTAGGGTTTAGGGGGTACGGGTTTAGGGGTGTATAGGGTTTAGGGGTTTAGGGCTTAGGGTTTAGCGAGTACGGGTTTAGGGGTTTGTATAGGGTTTGTTTGTATAGGCTTTAGGGGTTTAGGAGTTTAGCAGTTAGGAGTTGAGCGGTTTAGGGTTTAGGGGTTTAGGGTTTCTGAATGAACATAGGGGGCTAGCACCTCAGAGCGGAAAAACTCTTTGTGGCGACGCAAGTTCTGTCAGCCATGCGGGCCTGCAAGCCTCTGGGTTCAGGACATGGTTCGGGGTTGAGGGGCCGAGTGGACAAGCACCGTCAGTCGTGTTCGGCTGATGGAAGGACATACTATGTTTTTAAGGTCTCGGAGATGAGCCCGGCCTACCCCCGATACTCCAAGCCCTTTTGGCTTCGGCGTCATTCCGCTGGGTTGTATGGCGTAGGACAGCCTGAGCTCCTAGCGTTAACCCCTTCGGTTCCCCGAGGAAGCTTCTAAGCCTGAAGCACGGAGGACAGCAGCTTCCTCCCGGGCTATCGCCTGAAGATCCACTTAGTGGATGGCGAGTGCTCCGGGCAGACGCCTGGCGAAGTCGGGAGTCGACAGGGGGCATGAGACAGGCGTATGTACACACGGCTACATGGGTATATAGTTGATGACGGAGACAAATACGTAGGTAGGTGGGTAGATAGGTACATGGATATGAGACAGTGTGAGAGAGAAAGAGAGACAGACAGAAAGAGAGAGAGAGAGAGAGAGAGCCAGCGAGAGACGGAGAGACAGCGAGAGCGAGAGCGAGTCGGAGATAGATAGATCGGTGGGAGTCAAAGCTAGATATGTGAACCCTTCGTCGAAGAGTCGGCCATTCGCTCAATCCCCTCTGGTTGTTCCGCATCAAGCGAGAGACTTGAGCCCCCAGCATCACTGCGATAGCTGGATTCTTGGGTCGGTCAGGAACTGAAGCTTGTCGTCCTGAACCCCTTGACGCCCTGGCCTGTAGGCCCTAAGCCCTAGACCCTAAACCCTTGTTAGAAGCCTTAAACCCTACAGAGCATCAGTGACCCCCAGGATTGCTACCCGTCGTGTGATCGAAGCGTTCAGCGAGGGCCAACCCAAGCACGCTGTGCCGACCTCGTCGGAGCGACAACGGACTGTTGAATCTGGAGTTTAGGTCTCGGGGTTCATAAACAAAGGGCTCCTTTTAGGGGTCCTTTAAGGGCGCCGCAAGGGTTCCAAGGAGCTGTGGAGTGTAATGGGGCGTAGGGGCCTGAGGATTGGGCTTGGAGGTCCAGGGATCTTTAAGGGATCTTGATTAAGAGTTTCAACATGGTGTGAGTTGACGAGGGGACATCCTTCTTTTGCCCTAAACCTTGGCTTGGGGCTTCCAGGCAAAATATCAAAATCTGTTGCAAGGATGAGAAAGCCCTCATAGAACCCTGTAGCGGCCTGGTTCATGACTTATGTGACAGTTTCAACCCTGCAAGACCCTTAAAACAGAGCGTCATAAACTCTTCCAGCATTTTCTATAAACCCTTGAAACTCCTGATAAGAATCGGCCGTGCCTTCGTGAGCTTCGGGTGTTCGGCTGGGTCTAGACTTTCGAGGGTTTTTGAAACATGTTGGGATCTTGCGGCTCGTACTTCAGGTTGTTGGATTTTCGGGTTTCGAAACTTCTGGGGTCTGGCGGTTCATGCTTCAGAGTCTCAGGTTTGGGCGTTTTAGGGTTATACCTTACCTCCTGACGAGCTTGAGGTGCTGGGTGCCGCATGCAGCGGTGCATCAGAGGCTGCACCTCGGAGCACGAGTGGAGGGCTGCTTCGAGTTAGGGGTTCGGGATCCCGGGTTCACGAATTCGGGTTCTGCCTACTCGCTCATAGAGCCCCGAAGAATGTCAGAGAGGAAGATGGAAGAAGCAACCCATCTGTTCATGGACCGCAGCAGGGTTTTACGACTCAGGGCGGAGTGCAATGCTTAGATTATGGACTTGTCAATTGGCCTTCGAAATCCAAAGCCCGGGGTATCGGAACTCGACCGAGCAGAACAGAACGCCAGCAGTCAAGGTAAACGATGCGCTTTACTACTACAAGGTGCTGCAGGCCCTCTGCCATCTGACGTTTCATGCAGGATTTTAACAAGGTTTGGGAGTGATGTGGGGAGGGGCGGGGTTCAGTCGCTACACGATGCTCCGAACAGGGGCAGGCTTTAACCGCAGGGGCTGGCTCGTTGGGGCGTAGCCGAACAGTTCGAGAACCGCTTGGGCCGCTTGGGGCTGTTCTTTGTGCGGATCCTCTCTCAGGGCCTCCTGTAGGATAAAACCGTCGCCCTTACAGCTCGCCCCTATGAACCAAATCCTGGGCCATGCATCTGCAACCTCAACTGCCAAAGATAAGCCTCAATCAAGTCAAACGCACCAAGCCCCATACCCTCTCTCGGAAGTTCGATGTTTAGATTGTATTCGCCATCGAAGTTCAGCAAACCTAAAACCTATCCGAAAGCACCTGTCTACGACCCCAACCCTCAAACCTAGGAGCCGTTGACCCCAAACTGCAAGCTCTTACCCACCTTGGGGGCGCTGGGCCATGGACCCAAAGCATCTAAAACACCCCTAAACCCCTAAACCCTAAACCCCTAAACCCTAAACCCCTAAACCCTAAACTCCTAAACCCCAAAGCCCTAAACCCGAAACCCTGTGGGGCAGGTTTCCCCGTCGTCGACCTCGGTGAGCCTCAGTGATCGCCTCCGGGCTGCATCCAAAACGGTTTTTTCTTCGGTTTGGGCAGCCCAAACGGTTGGTGTTTATAAATCCTGCATGACCCATAACAAGGAATATACCATAGTTTAGGGTCTTCAAGGTAATGCAGGATTTATATCATCAACCGAAGGAGCCTTGCGTGCATGTCCTGGGATGTTCTTCGCAGAATTCTTCTGGGTGCTGTGGGTGTTTGCGAGGTTTTGTGGTGATAGAGCGTTTTCTGAGCCGGTCTCGGGCTTGGCAGAGGAACGAAGATGTGGACTAGGGCGGTATTCTAGTGTGAAGAGATACCAGGATTACGACAATCCCAGAACAGGAGGCCAGCTGAGTTGGCTTCCGTCTAAAGTCTTCGAACTTCAGGCCCCCGCACTCCCGAACCCATGGTTTCTACAGAATTGTAGGGTTTTGCAGGGTCTCACCGCAGTTTTCGAGGGTTCTTTTGAAGTATAAGGTCTTCATTAAAACGGAAGCCTGCCCAATATCTCGATACCCAAATGTCCGTATGTCAACGCGTTTGCTCAGGCGGTCGTTTTCCTTTCTTTACCCGTATGGCGCCCTCCTATCGCTTCAACGTCTACGCGGTCTTCGACGTGTTGAAGATGTTCAACTTCAAAAGCGGCCTGGCTATGTTCCTGAGGTCTGAAGGCTTAAGGGTTGTGATTGGTAGGCTTTTGGCGTAGGCTTTGGTGATGTTCGTCCCTTGACTTTTCGCACACAAGCTCCAATCGCCGCAGTGGGGTCTGCAGGATGCTTATCAACACCAGTACAGTACGTACCAGTAATCTCAACAGCTGCCATTTTCAAGACCCTTAGAAGCCATTCCAAAATCTCTACACGGCCCACAAAGACCTTACGACACCTCTAAACCCTAAACCCTAAACCGTCGTGGAAAGACCTTCGGAGCCTCTTTTGCCTTCTGTCCTTCAGGAGTCGGAGTGGTTCATGGGCCACTGAGTATCAGCGCCACTCGGCCGGGCTCAGGCGTTCCGCGTAGGTTTTGCAAAGGGCGCTCATGGGTTCGTTAGAGGTTGGGCTTCAGGGCTTCAGGAGTCTGAATTATCTGAATTTGGGTCCGAACGTTTAGCGTTTTCGGGCGTATGGGGACAGTATAGTATAGAGTATAGGGTTTCTGTGCTGAAGGGTAGGATTGAGCGATGGTCATGGATAAGATGAGCCACCCTCCGATTTTCCTGTGTGAGCAAGCAGGTTGAGGGCGCTGCCAGGAATCTTGAGTAAAATAGACAAGGGCCTAGTTGAGTCGAATTGAAGGATAGTAGAACTGGCTTTCGGGACGTGAAAAGTGCGGCAAAGGTTAGTTAGCCACTCTGAAAAAGTAACGTTAACTTTGGAACTATGCGGCCTGCCAGGATGGGGGCAGGGTTTTTTGGGACCACGTTTGTGGTCTGTGTTCCGATCAGTTGTTAGATCTTAGATACTGATGACGGCAACGCCAATCCGAACCAAATCGGCAGACCTTTGGTATCTGTTCAGGGACGACATAAAAGTTGGGAGGCTTCACTTGAGCTTCCTTTGTCATGTGGGTGGTTGTCAGAATTATGGCCCCTAATTGGATACTGTACCCTAAATACTAGGTGCCGTGTTATAATAAGGACCCCCAAAAGGGGCCCTAATTTTGACAACCACTTATGTGAGTCTCTTCCAGGTGAAAGATGGTCATGGTAATGGAGAGGGTGCACCCCAAGGTACTCGAAAAGTGAGGGAAGCGACAACGGCAGCCAAGATACAACAAGGGGGGCGTGCCTCAAATACAGAGTCTCTTATACCCTCCCCGAATGCTCCTTCATACTCTAAACCTTAAACCCATGCGCACATGCCCATACGTCAAGCCCTGAGCCCTCAGCTTGCCAGCCCCGTTTGGCAAAGGTCCTTGCTCGGGATTTTTTCATGGAGCTCGTGTCGCTGGGCGGACCACAGAATACTCCCAGGGGGTTGCTACAGAAACCTGAATAGTGATCAGTTTTATTCCTCAGGGTTCCTTGGTATTACATAGTACAATGATACTAGAGTATAATTACCCCAGAACCCTATTCAAATTAATAAGGCTCCCACAGTACTTGAAGTGTCGCAGGCTGCCCAAGCCGCCCATGCAGGATATCTTCTCGAAGACTTCCAGTCTTACTTCACGGTTGATCACGGAAGGTATCTTAGGAAGTCCTAAACCCTAAACCCCGGTGGTAGGAATCCCGTTGCAATGGCTGAATGCAGGAGCGCCTCCCCCTCCACCACACGTGGTAGCCAGGATGCAGCTGCAACACGGCATAAGGGTTGAACAAAAAACCCTAAACCTTGAATCTGAATTCGGGAACCTAAGATCGCTCCTCCGATTGCTCCAAGCTGCTGTTCGAAAGGCAGCGGGACCTGGATGCGGGTACCTACCCCTGGACCGTTCTTCTTCGAAAGCAGGTTCAGGACATCCATCGAAGCTTTTCGGAGCCGGCAGTGCCCTCTTTGGGTTGAGGGTTTGGGGGTACACATACCACGCCTGATCTGGCTGGCTGAACACCCCACTGCTGTGCCTTGCCAGGCCTCATCCCACTACTCCCAGCAGATGAAGGGCCCCCATGAACAGATCCAAAAGCGGTCTGTTTCATTATAAGCAAGCCAAGAGATCCCCCATGGAATCCCTGTCTTGTGTGCTCAAGCCGTTGTTTGTTTTTTAGGGTTTAGTGTCTAGGTTTTAAGGTTTAAGGGCTCTCGAATTCCCAACATCTGCAGGACCTGGAGACGGCTTCTGAAGACACCTGGCATGAACACCTTTCGTTTCTTTGCATGTGTGGTTTAGCCTAGCTTTCCAGGGTACTGACAGGTTTTAGCAGGATTCTTGGCGGGATTTACAAAGGGCCAAGATCCCGAGCAGGGTACTGACAGGTTTTAGCAGGATTCTTGGCGGGATTTACAAAGGGCCAAGATCCCGAGATCGATAACAAAGTGAAGAATGCATGGGTGGGGACCTGGGTTGTCGATTCCTGACAAAGGATGGCCAGGCCTGGTAAAGAATGTACTTGGAGGATCATGGGACTTAGTAAGTAAGCTTATATTACCATAATTATAACTCTAGTTACTAAGTCTTATGACCCTTTAAGTAGTGTTTTTTGCATTGGGGTTGTAGGCTTCGCCTTTTTAGGGTTGGGAGAAGACTACAAATTTTGGTCTGGGGTTTTTGAGCGCCGAGTAAATGCACCATGATGCCAATCACATCAGCCGGCAGCTCGAAATCGCTGCAGCACCCTTCAAAGAGAACTTCAGGACGAGATCGGAATTAGGCACCTAAGGGCCAAACCGGAAAGCCAGTAATTTGCCTCAGCCATCCCTGGGCCCTAAACTGGCACAACCCGAGGCGGCTGACTTGGTGCAGAAGCGTGATGCCCGCATCAACCTGATGGCTCTTTACGAGGCTCAATGTCGACACATGCTCGACAAGAGTGCCACGCCTTTCCACTGGCGTTTATCGCTGCTGAACTCTCACCATGGTCCTGGTCTTGGTTGCAGTGGCAGTGGTCGTCGCTGTAGTCATCGTAGTAGTACTAGTTCTGGTACTATCAGCTTCCATTTTTGAAGCAACCGCCTGACGAGAAAGTCTTCCTTCGTGGGGCCTTCCCTAATTCAGCTCTCACAGGGGTTCGCACGCCTGAGCCCGAACTCACTCACAGGCTCCGGAGCGTGGGAATTCTGGTGTATCACACTGATTCCCGTAATCCTTTAGCCGGATCTGAACCTTCAACTTGAGCTAGATCCAGGAAACCCGATCTCGGAACCCCTGATCAGTCGAGAGCCCTAAGATCTAAAACAGCCTAAACTTCCTAAACCCTGAGCCCTGAATCCCAGAGCTGCCTCAACTTCTGGGTTTCGGACGCTAGTGCAGACGGAAAAGAGCCCATAAAAAAACAAAAATCCCAGAGCTGTGCCCTTTGTCGCAGAACGATGGAGTCGTTCTCCTTTGCCAAGCCTTCCGACGAGGGATGCTTCTCGGCTTCCATGGGCTCAAGGAGCAAGGGGGCTAATGTAGCGGCCTTAATAATTAGAATAGGGTTCCTTTACAAGGGTTCCTTTAAAGGCGTCTAGAAGGGATCTATAGTAAGGGGTCTATGATATAGGGGCCTTAACAACATGAACCCCCCCAACCAGGTAGCAGTAGCAGTAGCAGCAGTAGTAGTAGTAGTAGCAGTAGTTGTTGTAGTTGTAGAAGTAGTACTAGGAGGATCTTTACCATCCAAGAGCGACCCACGCCGTTGATTGAGTCAGAGGTTTTCGCCCGACTACGTTTGGATGCTCTCATCCGGCTGGTGGTTGCTTGGCTTGCGCTAACGCCTTTTGAGGCGTTCGCAGGGTGGGTCTGTAGGCTTCTTTACGCGGTCCGGTCTCAAGGCTTCTGAAGACCATTCTGCGGCTTACTCCCCCGGAATCCGTTTTAATTATGGCGGTTCGGTTGTGCTTTATACAGCCTTTCCTCTGCAGGTTTAGCGGTAGGGTCAACCAGTTGAGAGCCATGCGTACAAAGGTTCCAGTTTTCCAAAGTCAGCCCTCGGTTCTGGAATTTCAGCCGTCTAGAGTCTCGACAGAGGTCTTCGGGTGCTGCTTCAGGTTGCAGTTCAGGAGGCAGAGACTGTCTCCCAGCCCACAGTAGCAGCAGTTCAATGCAATGTAGTTCACATCCTGCTCTAGCAATCTACGAACAGTCGACACGAAGCTCCGTATCCTATAAGCACCCGTGTGCATTCAGGAATCAGAATTTTGCAGTCCGCCTCGCCGAAACTGCAAGCTGCAGCTTGGAGCAACGTCCCGCGCTCTTTTTGTTTGTTTTCGAATACTGGGGTTTTGCAAACTCTCCTATGGATGAAGAAGCTTGGAACTGCGGTTTAGGTTTGGGGTTTAGGATTCTCCTGCTGCTCTTACTGGCTAGTACTGCTGGCGCTGCTACGGCTACTGCTGCTGCTCCTACTCCTGCTCCTCCTACTCCTCCTACTCATACTCCTTGTCCTACTCCCCTATCCAAGTTTTTCATAGTAGTCAAACGCAGCAGTAGCAATACCTGCTACCAACCTTGTTGATTACGCTGGCACAGGTAGCAGTATTTCTGGCTCGAATTGTTATCACCATAGTGCAACGATGATGAACATTTGGCATTGTGCACTTTGTACATGCCTGTGACAACTTTTATCAGAGGTACCAGCAATAGTAACGCATAGCATTGGGGATAGCGATGTGCTGTTACTGTATGCTCCCCAATTGTCCTTACGGCAGTGGACCATCCCAACATGATTCGCTGCAGTGTTGTAGTAGGTTTGAGTAGACCGACAAAAATCAGAAGATAAAGTTGCACCGATGCAGCAATGTTGCGATGCAGGTAGGTCATAAACTAGGTTTTTACAAGCCAAGACTAAAGCTGACCGTGCTGAGAGAAGCAGCAAGAACTCATGCGATGGCCGCAGTTTTCACATTTCCCAGCCACGTTCTCGACAGAGGCCGTAAAGGACCCTTGCAGATCTTGTCCAAAGCAGCTAGACAACAATCAGGCTTGGTTGAGCCTTTAAGGGCACCCAGCAGAAATCCACAAAGCTCTCGCTCTCAGGTCCATGCACAGCAGACGAGGTGATCCAGGCAGCCTATGGCCTCATGGCTTTTGACATGGGTCCCATGATGCACCTCGGCTACCGGGCACCTGTTGAGTAGATGATGTTAGCGGTAACCATGGGGAAATCTTTGCAAGCAGTGATAGTAGGAACGAGTACAGTGAGATGAGCAGTCGCATGTAGAGTAGAATTGAAGGCCGACAAGAAGTCGATGGTGATGCCATACTTGTTCCCTCGTTCTCTCGAAAAGCAGAGCATTCCTCTTCGCGAGACCTTTCCACCTGTGAAATAGTAACAGTATTCCTGCTACACTCCTACATGCCTATGTGGGATTGTGTTTGTGGAAGCAGCATCTCCGCTATGTGCACAGCCCAGGAACACAAACGATGTGCACGGTCTTTCGGGAAGAACGCTGTCAAGCATCTACTCCGTGCCACGGCTTCTTTTTGGTGGATCTGTCCGTCGTAGCTGCATTTCTGAATGGTGCAAAAAGGGTGTGTGCCAGTTGTAGCGCCGGAGGTAAGTGCAGCTTTAGCCTACTTCTTCGGGTCATTGTGCTGGGTGGGATGAAACACACCCCACAGCCCGAGTCATCAGCCCCGCTTGAATCTGCTGCCGTGTAAGCCTGCGTCCACGCCCACCAGCCTTAGCCGCAGCCCTAAACTCAAGCCAAGCCTAAAACCGCAGATCCCGCAACCAAAAAAAAACCCTAAACCTATAAACGCATAAATCCTAGCCCTAAAGCAAAAAGACCTAAACCCTAGACCCCAACACCCCAAAACCCTGAAACCCCAAAAAGCCCCACATTCAGCTTCTTGTTGACCTCGTGCAGCTGCTCAGGGCTACCTCAACGCGGCTGGGATGCAATTCGTTGAAGCTTTCCGCTGCCAAGATTACTTAGAAGATCATAGGACCTGGTAACTAAGGTGATAAATACGGTAACTATACTTATGATGACATATAACCCCAGTATAACCTTAAGGGGTCTAGGGTCTAGGGGTTGAAGGGGTTGAAGGGTCAGGACTCGGCAGTTTAAGGGTTTAGGGTCTGTAGGGCTTAGCATGATGACCTGTCTCAGCCTGTGTCATGTTTCTGAGTAGAGTCAAGTATGACTGCCATGTCGTTTCGCCGGAGCATGACCGATGGGATCGTAATGTTGGCAGTTTCAGTATTGCTGCTTTGTTTTCCCAGCCGATAGAGCATCACCGGCATATCTTCAATAGTGTGACTTTTACAGTAGCTCATGGTATACCAGCAGGAGAACCACCTCGCCAACAGGAGCCATCGGGCACTAATCATGCACAGCCATAAACTAGTAGCCGTGGCAGCAGCGCAAATCGGGTCGTTGTTAATCTAAGCATCAAACCAAGTATAGACCCTACACCCAAAGGCTTGAAACGGTGTTTGATCCTTCGGAAGCTGAAAGCCTTGGTCTGAACTGCTGGTGACAGGATTGTGCCGCCTTCGGCAACGGGCGCCTGGGCTGTTGTATCGAAGTTCGAATAACTAGCAATGCATATTCCTTCATAGCCACTAAAGGTGGTGTGGTAGAACCTTCCCCACAGCATCTTCGAGAATCTGGGCTCCTGTTCTTGTGACATGGGCGGACACATTGAGAGTAAAGGTTCTCCGAAGGACCTCAGCTGCACACTGCAAATTTGGGGGCTCTGCTTTGCCGCAAAGAGACGTGCGCACGGGAATAAAACATCAGTGAACTGGACAACCTTCAAGCCAACCAGGCAGACATCCTGACTCGAAATACGAGAACACTCTAAACACCCGGAGTATGTATACCCTAGCGCATCTCAGGAAGGGTATCTGCTCTGTGGAGGCTGCAGGCTACACATACGAGCCTTGCCATCCAAAGCCTGACAAGCTTTAGGATTTGAGGTTTAAGAGTTTAGGGTTTGGGTTTCCGGCTTTGGATTTTCGGGTTCAGGGTGCAGGGTCCTCCCGCCAGGGTTGAGTCATTGACGGGTCGAGCATGTACGAACCCGAAACCCCAATTATGCCCATGTGAGAAGCTAGGTTTAAGACGTCACAGGGTTCCCAGAGCCCCAGGGAGCTGTCCATAGCAGGGCTTAGGATTTAGGGTTTAGGGTTTAGGGTTGGGCATCAGAACCGGCGGCTGAGGGTTCGGGGGCGAAGAGCTCTGTTGGAGGTCTGGAGAGTAGGGCTTATTGCCACCTAGGGGTGAGGGCTAAGATAGGGCCTTCATAATTAGAATAGGGTGTTGGGGTATATTATACAGATATTTGTATTGGAATAAGGACCCCCCAAAATAGTATAGGTAATTATTGAATCCCTATAATAGATCCCAAGACAGCTCTGGGGACTCCTTTTCGAGATGTCTCCGTGCGCAGGGATTCGCAGGGACTCTTGGGCTAGCCTTTTTGAATTAGGTAACTGTACTTAATAAGTATTATTACCCTAAACCCTAAACCCAATTATAATTAACTTACAACTGGCTATATCCCCAGTTGAGGCATTTATAGCTGTGCTTACTAAGTCCCATAAACCGCCTTGTTGCACCCGTCAGGCGGATAGAAGCCTCTGAAATGCAGCCCAGCGCGACTTCTAGAGATTTCGGGGGCTTACCCAAGAACGCAGGATGAAATCCATGATGTGGGGGTCCGAATGAGAGCATTTGGGAGCCATTCAGCCAGTCGCAGAGCATGTTTCGAAAGTTCTCACTCGACGCAAGCGTTTTGCCAACCGCGCCTCAAGCCTTCGACACTAAACTCCAACATCGAGACCGCAAGCCTGGATCTGCACTCGCAGACCTAAAAAGCTCAAGCCACGGACCCCAAAACCAAGACCCTTTTTAACCAAGGCTAGAAACCCTTAAGTCAACTCAGGACGGACTGTGGCATCTGGCCCCCTGGCTTCCACGGAAACTCACGGGGTTCAATGTCGAGGTCCGAATGACTCGTAACCTGGTCCAGGCTTGCACGGAGGGATGAGGGTTCGAGGTTCGCGGCGTGTTGAGGTTTCTGGTGTATCCCACCCTCCGAACTCGAACTGTGGCATGTGGCTGCTAGGTTTCTTAATCCCGAAGCCCTGGATGCTGAGGGCCATTGGACTCCAAGAAAAGGTCGCAACCTCAAAAACTCCAAGCGTCTTCTGCTGAGGCCTCGGTGTTTCACGGCTTCCTGATTGGCAGGAGCAGGCCTTTCCTTACCGCTGGTTAGTAGGGAATGGAAGAATGGTAGAAATACTAGCTATAATTATACCCCATTCCTCCATTCCCTACTAACCAACGGTAAGTTTCGCGAGAGCGAGAGGGAGAGAGAGGGAAGGTTCGATGTCGGATCCAGGGTTGAAACGGTGATATGGTTGATGATATAAATCCTGAATTACCCATAATAAGGAATATACCATAATTCCCATAGTTTAGGGTCCTTAAGGTAATGCAGGATTTATACCATCAACAGTAGAAGAGCCTCGCAGGCCGTTAGACGGTTGGTCAAAGTTTGGGCGTGGCGTTGAGGCTTGGAAGGCCTCTGCTCACTGTGACAAATGTCGTTTATTAAGGGGACAACTTCGTGGAGGGCGATAGACCTGTGCTGTAGGTTTGGGGCTGATTGGATAATGACTCACTGAAGAACCCTATACAGTCCTATATAGCGGTTGGGAACATACCCTGGCCCTTTTCTAAGGATTAGGGTGCCAGGGGAATATGTCGCCCCAGGATTTGGCGGCTCCCAAGCCCCACACCCCACTTGGGAGCGGCCGTTCTGGCTTCAGCTTGGGAGGGTTAGCTGTCACCTTAAGCCGTGCACCATAGACCCCAAACTGGACCCTTGAACCGAACCCGCATAGCATCGTCTCCACGAAGTCCCAAAGGAACGCTTAAAGGAACCCTTGTATACTACCCGAAAAGCGATTTCTTTTTGAACTTGAGAGGCCCTATAGCGAGCTGAACACCGACTTCTCTCGCGAGTCTTTGTACAACATCTCCTTGCAGCAGGCTCCGCGATAATGTAAGGGTTTGCGGCGTGCATAGACTTGGGGACGTTGCTTGAATTCGTGGAAGGAGAAAGTTCGTAAGTAGGCTTAGGTTAGCTTCTCTCTCTCTCTCTCTCTCTCTCTCTCTCTCTAGATTGCTGGCTAGCTAGACAGCTAGACAAACAGGCACTTAGATAGGTAGACAGATAGATAGATGGGCGGCTATATACGTTTCGAAAGCTTAGGTCTGCGGACTGCGCATGGTGAGTTAAGATGTGCATGCCATGCTTGTCGATCTACTTCGTGCCCGGGTTGGGGTTTGCAGTAAATGAGGTTCTTATGGCTCTTCGCAGCGAGTACTATGGTTAAGTCGTAGTGGTGTTAGCAGCTTTGGTTTCGGTCTGAAACCTTGAAATTTCAACGGCCGCATAGGCGGCGTTTTGCGATCCAGGATTCGACGGTCTAGGGCTGGGTCATTTGGGTTTCATTCGTACACTGCAGGGAGTCGCTGCACAATTGCACCCCCCAGCCTCCCGAGCTCCCCCACAACCAGCCCATGCTGCCAGGATTATATGGGAGCCACCGGACGGGTCCGCATTTTCAACGATGTGGAGCCCACGACCATCCCACCCTCATACGGAGCGGATGGTTGAATTTTTCGCAGGTCGTGTTAGCGCCGAGGCGTAGTCCGTTGACTTGCACTTTGGGGTGGTTTGGGGAGAGTAGGTCTTAGAGGAGTAGTGACACGAAGTTCTTTTGGTCGTACGATAGGGGTGCTTGGAGAGGTTGCAGAAACGGCAACCGGATTCTAGATTCTAGATGTAGACTCAAGGCAGGATTTCAAGAGAAGGATGGATTCCGAACAACCCCGCGCTCGTGCGGGATGTGGGAGCTGCTTGGAGGATTTGCGGTCTTAGCAGGCAGGCTCATCATAAGTCAGGCTCGCTGATACCCCTACTTAAAGGATCATGGGACTTAGTAACTAGGGTTATAAATAGGGTAACCATACTTATAACCCCAATTAAGGTACTTATAACCCTACTTACTTAGTCCCATGATCCTCCCAGTACTTATTCTAAGGCCCCCCCCCCCTGCGTGACCCCTACTATAGGAGACCGAGAGGGCAACATCCTCATGAGGCAGATTGTCGGAACCACGGCCCAGGCCTAGGGAAAAGAATCAGGGGGGCTCCCTAAGCAGGCTCTGAGTCTTTTAGAATCTGTAGAAGCTAGAAGATGCTAGAAGTATGATAACCCCAACTGATGTGCTTATGCCCTTTGGTTACAACCTACTTACATTTACAATGATGACGTGCCATGATCCTTCAAGCAGAAGCAGGGCGAGGTTCAGCCCCGCAATGAGGGGTTAAGGTTTCTTGCTGAGGGTTCGGGGTTTAGAACCCAGAGGCTCTGTAGTCGAAGCCTACCTTCATTTTAGGCAAAGTCTCGAGTCGGGTTTAGGGTTCAGCGTCTCGGGTCGGTGGGCTCCCTGCATGGTGCATTGCTTTTGAGAACTGAAGTGCAGCCGAAAGGCATTTGTTGGTGGCCGCAGCCTCCAGATTGGATTTATCTGTTCGGACGTTTCGCTTTCCCCTAGAGAATAGTTCACATTGAAAGTGTTTGAAGTGGAGTGGTGCTCAGCATGCATGTGGAGATGATTGTGTATAGCCACTGCCTGAAGACTCGCCGGAATCAATGGTTGGTGTCGGCGGTTTTGCTTTATCCGAACAAAGGGAAGGAAGCCGGGATTGCATAGTCCAAAATGCTGGGTCGACGCGGACTTGTATGCCTTAGCCCTAAAGCTAAGAGTTCGCGCTCTGGCCCGAACCTGAACACCCAAAAACCTGAGTCGTGAATACGCTTTCCATGCAACGGTGTCTGCAGTAATAGGGTGACCATGACGTAACAAGTCCTTTCGCCTGTTATGGCAAGAGTAGCAGCATAGGAATCCTTCTTCTACCGTACCTGCAGCCGCAACCCACCACCCCCACCACCACCGCCACCAGTGCCACCCATGCCACCCACTGTCACCACCACGAACGCCACCACCACCACACCACCGTCAGCATCGTCAGCCCGACCCTTGGTGCTCTCGACCCCCGGACCGCTCAAATCTGTCAGCCGCTGGAGCAGCTGGGCTTCTGGTCGGCTGCAGGCCCGGCTGTGAAGTTAGGGGTTCCCACGAGGCAATACTACAGCTGAGGCTCTCGCCCTTCAATAAATCTGCAACTTTGTCTGCTGATGCTCCCAGAATTCCGAAATGCTCCTAAGCTATCAAGGTGTAGGCCTCAGTTCCCACCCCGAAATCGGAATAGGGCTGTAGAGCTTCAGGGTTTCGAGCCGTAGAGCTATGGCCTGCAGGGAGTCAGGGCAAAGCCTTGGGCCCCACATCTGCAACAACTCTAAACCCTAAACGCACATGACACTCAGACAGCCAGGCATCCTGTGGCTGACGGACCTCGTTTGGAGCCGGACAAACAGCAGCCTTGCTCTTAGCATCAGGTCAATCCTAAACGCTAAACCCTGATCCCACAAGTTCCAGGGGTTGGGGCTTCAGAGTGTAGGGTTTTAGAGTTCAGGGGTGGCGCGCCAGGGATTTAAGATTCACGGTCTGGTTCAGGATATTGTCCGAACCCTCAACTTATTTGTTGTGCACTGTCCGCAAGACCGTGGTACAGTCGATCCTTGGGGTTCAATCGCTAAGCATTTCCAGAGCCTCGTCCTGGACGCCTTGAGCCGTACTTAGGGTATGGTAGAGGCCCCCAACAGAATTTCCTAGCTCTGAGAAACCAGGACGCCAAGATGCCAAGGCCGTCGTTCAGATGGCAGCATGTAGGCAAACGCACAGGCTGTCGGGTTTCTAAGAGTCTAAGAGTGTGGGATGTAGGATTCCGCCACGAGGGGTTCAGAGCGCAGCATGTAGAAAGTTGAGTTCTGGTCTCCAGAGCTTCGGCCCTGAACCCTAAATCTGGCTGGCATTCTTCAGCAGGTGAGCTCTAGCAGGAGTCAGCGCTGATGCTGACGCGACTTCCTACTAGCCAACCAACCAAAGAACTGGATTGAGCTTTCGGGAGTTTTCATTGTTGCGGAGGCTTGGGATCTTCGGGTGCTCGACAGCTCAGGGTTTGATAGCCGTAATGATTCATCACATGAGCGAGAAGTAATACCAGCTTTCAGTTTAGGATACTCGAGGTATGCATGGACTATGTATGTATGCAGGCATGCATGCATGGATGGAAGAATGAATGCAGTTATGTATTTGGTATGGCATGGCATGGTATGGCACGGAACTCAGATACTCTCGAAATACCATCCAGAACGCGCTAAGCCCAAAGGTCAAATCGTTGCTTGCAGCAGTGGCACCTGCGACATGTCCACAGCGTTCATCCCTCGAGCAGCTGGGGCTTTACTTAGTAGAGTCCGGGCAATGCAGCGATTTCTCTTAGGGTTAAAGATGTTAAATGCGTGTGTTTGGGGAGTTTGAATAATCTTGTCACCCTAAGGATGAAGACAGTTTTTCTGAGCACCACTCTAACATCATCCCTCCTTTTATAACCCAATTTGCTGCAGGCAGTTTCATGAGCAAGCGCGAGAGCCGGAGCGAAAGGAACGGCGGGAGTAAGAGCAGGAGCCAGGAACGAGAGCAAAAGCAAGAGCGGGAGTAAGAGCAAGAGCAGGAGCAAAAGCATCAACTCAAGAGCAGGATCAAGAGCAAGAGACGACTCAAATCAATCCCCAAGCCCTGCATTCCTGAAGTATGTTCGGCTTCTGGGACATTGTGAGATTCACTGCTTCTTCAGGATCGCAGTAGCCAGTGCCCCGCCGGGAGCACCTGGATCCCCGGCTGAATTGGGCGACCATTTGGGGATTTAGAGACTTCAGCGTTGAGGGTTTTGGGATTGTGTTGGGTCGAACTACAATAGCCACAAGCAGTGAAGTCCGTATACGCGTTTCATGCTGTTCCTTCTAACTTTCTAACCCTCAACGTCACACCGTGTCTCTAGTCTGCAAAGCTTTGCTTTCTCGGTTCAGCAGTTTTTGGCAGAGGGTGTCGGGTCCGAATGCCTGGGGCCAATATGGCAACTTGCACTTGCATCCCACGTTTGTCTTTTATGCAGGCTCGTTGTTGCATCATCCGACGTCGTGCGGATTTCGAAGCCGCGGAGCCCAAACCCGCGATGGGCAACCCCTATTCCTCAAATCCCCTAACCCCCTCGAGGCCCTAGAGCCTACGCGCTAAAGCAGCAAGCCTTACATTACGTTCCCCAGCTCCCAAAGCCCTCGAGCCCTGATCCTCCCATGAGGTCCAACGAGCTCGGATGCGGGGACTGTCCGACGGGTCGCTTCGCCGCCGCTTGCCTGACTCTTCAGGGGGCTACTATAGGGGCCTTAGTAATCGGGACAGGGTTTCAAGGGGTATCTCTTACGAACCCCCAAAGTAGTATAGGTTAAAGTATAGGTGCTTATTAAGGCCACTATGGTACTCGACGAGATGGATCTCCTTTATCTGGCTTTCATGGATGGTACTTCCTGTCCTCCTTTCGGCCCAGCTAGCTTAAGCCTCTTCGTGCCTTCAACTCTCAACCCCAAGCTGAGCTTTCAGGCGCAGACTTGTCGCCGAATCTGAGCTTGTGCGTCTTCTCAGGCCTGCTGTGTTAGAACTCATCGAAGGGGTTCTGCACCCTCAACCTTGAACAGTACCAATTCTCGAACCGTCTATAGTCAATAGTACCGGCAAACATACTACTTAAACCCCCGGAACCCCAACCTCCTCGTGGACACCCCTCTTGCCATGGCAGAGTCAGAGTCAGCAGAATCAGACCCACGCCTTGCTGATGGTGCGACGATTCTTGGCAGGTTTAGAGCTCTTCGGATTTAGGGGCCTCGGCAAGAACGGCTTGTGGAGCAAAAACTTAAGGATAGTCAGACAGTGCATGTCCGGCGGGTCTCGGCATGAAGAAGGGTTCAACGCACGGAAGCACTTTAGATTGCTTTCCATGGGTTAGACATGATGGGTTTCCCCATGATTGGCGGCTTGAGTCTTCATTTTCCTGGCACCGAGGATGGTATGGCATTCTATTGAGGTCTTTGTGGATGATCCGTGTGTGGGTTGGGAAATCGGCACAAAAGTGGAATCCTCGTGGAGGGCCTTGCGAAATGGATGGAGCGGTAGAATCTCGGTATTCCCAAACGGGCGTAAGCCTGACGAAGAGGGATATGTTGGCGCCTTTCTCTGGGTTCGCCCGCCTGCTGCGATGGAAGGGAAGGACTGGATCTTTCCGGATCTGCAGGAAATGAGATGGCTCACTAGGGACAATGCTGAATTGGCGCCCCCCAAACCGGCACCGTATGTGTTGTCTAGGTCTGAGCCAAACAGAGGTCGGAAAAATTTGGTTAGTCATACCATACTCCGTCAAAGGAATTGGGTCACTGGCGGCAAACTTCGGATTGTTTGCGAGGCCTCTTTGCTGCCGGTGAACTTCACGTCCCGAGATTTGCCACCGGGGATTTTCTCCAAGGAGCCAGAGTTCGTCACATTCCTCTTGGCAGATGGATCGAAACTCCACTTTGACAAGAGGCTCGTGGTAGAGCGTTCGACGCATTTCGCGAACATGCTGTCATCAGAAACATGGGTCGAGGGTCGCACCAACGTCATAGACTTGCGGAGCAACGAGCAGGCGGATGTGACCAGCATGCAGGCGGTTCCTTGGCTTGAAAGAGCTGAAATATGCTTGTCAACCCCAATTTTACACCCTAGACTAGGATGGAGAGTTGGCCATCAGACGAGGTTCTGAGCCATTTCGTGTCGCAGCGCTTTGGTGCGGCTTGCAACGACGAGCTGGCATTTTCCGTCCGGAAGCTTGCGGATCAGTTTTGCTTAGATGACTTGGTCCAAGAGGTGGAAGCAGAGCTCGTGCCAAAAGTTTGCAAGGACAACGCTCTTCAGTTTCTGGGCAAAGTCCTCGGCAGCGGGGGCGTCTTGGAGGCCCGGTGCCTGGAGCTGGTGAAGGCAAATGCATGCGAGCTCCTTGAGAAGCAGGGGTCCATGTTGGACGAAATCATCGATGACAACCCGGCCCTGACGAAGTTCCTGATGCGAGTCCTCCTGAACGCGGCTAGAGCTGCGAAGTCGTGCGGAGTGTGAGAGCTTTGCTTCTGGGATCTTTGCGAAAGAGGCTCTTACTGTACTATTCAGAGTAGTACCTACATTAGGGACCTCGCTTTCGGAAGCTCCGATGCCCGATTGAGCCCAATGGTTTTGCAGCCGGGATGCTTCTACTGTTTATACACTCTTCAGGTTGCTTACTACGTCCTTTGAGCTTTCCAGTAACTTTCCAGCAGTTTGGTGGGTGTTCGCGCCCCAAGCGGCTCTCTCAAAGCATGCATCGCAGCGCCTGCACCCCAAACCCAAAGCTGCAAAGCTCGCCTCCTGCGATCGCTTAGCACATCCTCGGCTTCATGTGCTGGAGCCAACCGAGTGTATGCCGCTTGCAGCTGGGAGCTGCAAAAAGGACGGGGGAGCTGGTGTTGCAGACTGCATGGGCTCCTGGGCTCCTCGCCGAAACCCTGAACAAGGATTCTGTGGAGTCGAATATTATATATTATACTATATTATACTATACTATACTATACTATACTATACTATATTATATTATATTATATTATATTATATTATGGCTTAGAGGCTTCGAGATTTAAGCATTCGTGTGGGTTTCTGGGGCTCTGGGGATTTGAGTTTAGGGGCGCAGGGCTTCGCGACTTAAGCAGGAGCTGGCCTGACGCAGATTCATGTAGGCTTCAGTTTTATGAACCGCAGTTCAAGTAGTAGGGTTTCTGGGGTTTAGGGTTTCTAGGATTTAGGGTTTCTAGGGTTTAGGGTTTCTAGGGTTTAGGGTTTAGGCGTTCTAGGTTTTGGGGTTGGTGGTTTTAAGGGCTACCTCGAAACCCCCATCCTGCAGTGAGGGCTTTCGTCCAGCCGGGTCTCGCGCTTCGACTGGGCTTTGAAGCTGAGGGTTGAAGGTGACATCTAGGCGTTAGGGTTTAGGTTTAAGCTTGGTTTAGGGCTTAGGATTAAGGTTTAGGGGGTTAAGGTTTAGGGTTTAGGGCCCACCCAAAAGCTCCAACACCTCAACCTGGCACGTGGGCTTCAGGCTTGTGGAGTTCAGGATTTAGGACCTCGGGAGTATAATGTTAAGGTTTTACAGGTTGACGAGCTGAGGGTTGGAGGCAACGGCAAGCAGTCCGAGCATCCATGAATCATGGCTCTCAGCAATACCAACGCGAAGCAGCCCTCTCTGCATGAACGCCTCATATACAATGGCAGTTGATACAAGCTGTTGAGCCCCAAAGTTCAGTCACAGCTGCCAGTCTTGCGTTTCGGGTTCATGCTTGCTAGGAGTCTTGGTCTAAAGCGCTCCGAGGGTGTAGGGTAGCAGGCAGCATCATTAGAGGCCGCCTTGGCCCTATGCCCAGCGGAAACTCGAACCTGATTACTAACGGTCAAAGCTAGTGTCCAAATGTCTCCCAAACTGGAAATTCGTAGCGGTCTCGTTTGTCATGCTCTGCAGATGCTTGCAACAAATGTTTGCACAACTTGCTGTGGCGTTCATATTCCTAGTTGCTCTAGTTACATTACCAATCCGACATATGCTTGCACAGATGCTAGCCAGAACGCCAGGTTGAAGATGTTCTTCGCCTTTACCTTATCGATACGCCCGAATCTCCCAAGACTCTGTAGCAGGCTTGCATCTGTGTGGATGATCTTTCCAGTGAGCTAGGCAGCTAAACCTGAAACGTGAAATTTAAATGCCATGCACGCACCCAAACTTATAACTCTTTGGGGAGAGTTTTGGGTTTAGGGTTTAGGGTTTAGGGGGAGAGTCCTAATGCCATGGCAGAGTCAGAGTCAGCAGAATCAGACCCACGTCTGACTGACGGTGCGACGATCCTTGGCGGCTTTAGAGCTCTTCGGGTGCAGGGGCTTTTGCAAGGACGTCTTGTGGAGCCAGAACTTAAGGATAGTAAGCTAGTGCATGTGTTCGCTGTTAGCATGGTAGGTTTGGGGGCCTCAGTATGAGGACGGGTTCAACGTCCGGAATCACTTTAGTGTCGACTTCCAGGGGTTCCCCAATATTGCTAGCTTCGGTCTTCCTCGTTCATGGCGCTGAGGTTGGTATGGCATTCCGCCGAGGTCTTCGTGGCGAACCCCTGTTTCGGATGGGAAAACGGCACAAAGGTAGCATCCTCTTGGAAGGCTTTGCCGAATGGGTGGCATTTTCGGGTCGAGGTATTTCCAAATGGGCACAAGCCTGCGGAAGCGGGGTCTATCAGCGCCTTTATCAGAGTCCGCCCGCCTGCTATGTTGGAAGGGACGGATTGGATCTTTCCGGATCTGCAGCGTGTGAGATTCCTCATCAAGGGTGAGACTAAACTGCAAGGCTTGCTTTTGTCGACGTCGCTCCCTTACGTGTTGTCTAAATCTCATGTAGACTTTGGTTGGCCGACGTTGGTTGATCATGCCACGATCCAAAAAAAGAAGTGGGAAACTGGTGGCAAGCTTCGCATTCTTGGCGAGGCGGCCTTCCTGCCAGGCAACTTCTCTTGCCGACATTTGCCGCCGGACCTTTTCTCCAAGGAGCCGGAGTTCGTCACATTCCTGTTGGCAGATGGAACGAAACTCCACTTTGACAAGAGGCTAGTGGTAGAGCGTTCGAAACATTTCGCCAACATGCTGTCATCAGAAACATGGGTCGAGGGTCGTACCAATGTCATAGACTTGCGGAACAACGAGCAGGCGGATGTGACCAGCATGCAGGCAGTTCCTTGGCTTGAGCGCTTTACAACAGGCTTGTCAACCCAAATTTAACTACGTTAGACGGTGATGGAGAGCTGACCATCAGCCGAGGTTCTGTGCCATTTCATGTCGCAGCGCTTTGGTGCTGCTTGCAACGACGAGCTGGCATTTTCAGTCCGGAAGCTTGCAGATCAGTTTTGCCTCGATGACTTGGTCCTGGAGGTGGACACGGAGCTCCTGCCAAGAGTTGGCAAAGACAACCTCCTTAAGTTTCTGAGCAAGGTCCTCGGCAGCGGGGGTGTCTTGGAGGCCCGGTGCCTGGAGATGGTGAAGGCAAATGCATGCGAGCTCCTCGACAAGCAGGGATCCCTCTTGGAGCAGCTGGTCGATGACAGTGACAACCCAGCTCTTGCGAAGTTCCTGATGCGAATCCTGTTGAATGCGGCCGGGAGGTCCTGAGCGAAGTGTCAGGGCCTGCGGTGGGGGGGCTTTCGGAAACAACGCTTACAAGAAGGCTCCTAACTTTTTAGACTCTACTTAGTAGTTCACCCCTAATTTTGGTGATCTCCGAAGCTCTGAGCTCATGGCGAATTCCTTCTGTTCCCATGGGCGACTGACTTGTGTCATCAGCGCAACGTGTTTAACCCTATAAACTATAAACCCTGCGCATACCTACACGGTTAATGCAGGGGCCTTGATCGTTAGAACAGGGTTTTGGAGATATCATACTGTAATTCTAATAAGGAGCCCACAAAACCCTATTCTAAATTAAGGCTCTTACATGAGGCCCTTGGGCGATCTTGGGGGACTCACTACAGCACCATGCTGTCGTAGCAACCCGTAGGATGCTTGTAGATATCGTTTATTTCACAGCCTGCTTACTATTACTATGCCTCTTAAGGTCTTCATAAAAGGCAATCGGGTTTTGCAATCGGGGTATGACCGGGGAATTAGGCATCACGCCCTCGTGACGTCCCTGCGTAATCATACTGTAGCATGCCTCCCCGAGCCCTGTTCCAATCGTACAGGCGCCGATGCTATGCCCACAGAGGATCTTCTAGATCACACCGCACAGCCTCAACGACCAACAGCTTTTCAACAAGACACAGATACACAGATACACAGATACACAGATACACAGATACACACACACACACACACACGCACATACCCAGTCTGAGCTGGTTGTTTTGCCATCATCTCTCTTCACGCTTCGAATTGTGCTTCGAAGTGTGCGCTCTTCGAGCAGGCATACGAAGCTTGCATGCAGAATCACCACAGAAAGTCTTCAGAAGCTTGCATTCAGAATCTCCACAGAAAATCTTCAGAAGCTTGCATTCAAAATCTCCACGGAAAACCTTCAGAAGAGATATGGTTGTTTTCAGCAGGTACGTTTTCACACTTACCATCGGAGGTCTTCGTTGGCCGCAGCTCCGATGGTAAGCCTGCGGCCCCCTGCATCCCCTGCATTCTCGTATATGCTTTACAGAACTGTCGGAAAAAATGTCTTCCTTAGAAACAGGAATTCCACACACACCTACCCGGTCAGAGCCGGTTGGTAATGATTCACTCTCATAGGCTAAGTTCTAGACAAACATGATGTAACATCAACAACACAACAATAACGACGCGGACGACGAAGAGAAGCAGCAAACAAACGAACAACAACATCGACGACGACGAGGAGGAAACGACGCAACAACCAACACCACAATAACTGTGGCTGCAACATCTACACGAACGACAAGGACGACGGGAACGAATAAAAGCAACACAGGAACACGACGACGACACGACTGAACGAAAAATCAATAATAGCAACACAACAGGCCCGCTGCTTTCCGAGGAAAGCTTCGCTACCACAGGGGATGCATCATACTAGCTGCTTGGCGGTCTTCAGTGAAAACATCATCTCAAACACCACCTTCAAGTGCCAAAGGAAGTGGTATTCAGAAGGCACAGTAATGTAGCAGCTTGGAGGTCTGCAGCGAAATCATCATCTCAAACACCATCTTCAAGTGCCAAAGGAGGCGGTCTTCAGCAGGCAGATTAATGGATACATCATCTGGTAAAACACATAAAGATAGTCCTTTCATCATAGCAGCTTGGCGGTCTTCAGCGAATACCAACACCCAGAGCACCATCCTTTGCGTCAACGGAGGAGGTATTCAGAAGACGCATTAGTAATAGACATCACCAACCTAAGCGCTCAAGACTACTATAACATCGGCGGCATCATCCTACATGTGTGTCAGAGCTTTTCGGACGGCCTGATTCCGAATCTTGACACACCGCCTCTGCAATAGTTACATTACCAGGCCGCAAAGGTTCGGGACTGCAGGAATTCTCTAGAGGTGGACTTCAGAATAATCCGTAGAAAGTTAGGAGCGCATTCATTCTCAGGAGGTATTCATCAAACGGAGGTTCTTCATCGTTCGAATGTTTTCATTTGTTTTCCGCGTTCGGATACGTTCATCAGCTGGGAGTATTAACATCTCGTCGTTCGGATGCCTTCAACGTTAGAAGTAGACTGAAGTCCACTATTCAGAATGCTGACCAGGGACTCAGGGTCTATTCATCATGCCCCCCGCAGACCGAGGGTCCGGCAGCGCTTTGGCAGAATTACTACCGGGAATCACACATACCCAGTCTGAGCTGGTTGTTTTGCCATCATCTCTCTTCACGCTTCGAATTGTGCTTCGAAGTGTGCGCTCTTCGAGCAGGCATACGAAGCTTGCATGCAGAATCACCACAGAAAGTCTTCAGAAGCTTGCATTCAGAATCTCCACAGAAAATCTTCAGAAGCTTGCATTCAAAATCTCCACGGAAAATCTTCAGAAGAGATATGGTTGTTTTCAGCAGGTACGTTTTCACACTTACCATCGGAGGTCTTCGTTGGCCGCAGCTCCGATGGTAAGCCTGCGGCCCCCTGCATCCCCTGCATTCTCGTATATGCTTTACAGAACTGTCGGAAAAAATGTCTTCCTTAGAAACAGGAATTCCACACACACACACACACACACACACACACGCACGCACCCTGCTAGACTCCTGCACCGCGACCCGAAGCTGCAAAGCTTGCTGATTTTGCGAGAGTTCTTGGCTTCACGTGCTGAAGCGAATTCGTAGCCTTTCAGCTGGGAGCCGCTGCGCGAAAAGAAGTCTGAGCTGCTCCTCGTCAAGCCGAAACCGGAGCCGGGACTTCAGGAGGTTGTTGGGTTTAGGGTTTAGGATGTAGGGTTTGTCTAGGTATCACGGTTGACACGTCGTAGACTTGACAAGGCAATGGTGCATCTTGAAGCTCCGACTTGGCCCCGGGAACCCTCCTTTCAGGGCTGTGCAAGCATTGTTGCGTCTGGCACTTTCACTTTGAGGGTTCGGGCTTGCAGGTCAAGCTTGAAGTTAAGGGCTTAGGGTAATCCTAAACCCAGACATCGACCAACCTTAAAGATCCGATCCCTCAGTCTGGCCTGGCCTGTCGTCTGAAGTGCTGTGGAGTTCAGCATTTAGGGCTTCGGTTTAGGGTTCAGGGTCACGATCACCCCAAGATAAAGAGTAGTTGCACAGCAGGTTCCTTGAGCCACAGAATCAGATGCCTCGTAGGCTGCTGTCCCTGAGTCGCCCTGCCAGTCGTATTGATCCCACAACAAGCTTATGTGGGAGTTTCCGAAAATAAGGGGTACCTCATTTTGGCGTCCTGCAACAGGATCCTACGATTTCGGGTGCTATGTAAGAGGGCCTTACTTTCGGAGCCCCTCATGTTTGCAGTATGTAATCGCAAGAACAACAACGAGAAGAATAGATGCGCACCAACGGCGTCAGCTGCATGGCCTCGATTCCTGCTGTACCTGAAGAACAAAACTGGAGCATTTTCCAATCAAGCTTTGGAGCCGTGACGCTGGCAATAAAGTTCGTACAGTAAGCAGTAATCGTATCTGCTCGTAATCTAGATAACCAAAGTAACACTAAGTTGGAATATCTTGGTAGAAATTCCTTAAACCCAATCCCAAGCACCTAAACCCCTAAACTCCAAACCTCAAACGTCCACGCTGCAGAATGTGAATCCTCTCTAAGCAGCCAATCTATTCTTGGTATCTAGGACCCATAGTAGGCCCTTATTCCTTCTTTTTAGGGTTTAAGTTCCGTTATAGCAACCTTCATGCAAAAAGATGCCCAGGCGCTTGGAATGACGGAATGCGAGTCCTGCGCTCTGGGATCCTTCAGTGACCCAGCTATGGCATTGTGGATTTAGAGTTCCGGTTCTGCGGAGTTCAGATCTTGGTCCAGGACTTCGTACTTCAAGAGATTTTCAGCTCAGGGCTTCGATCTGATCTCTTGTTCCGTTTAGAGCCCGTGGCTGTCAGCCGTGTGGTTTCGGAGCTGGGGCCCTGGCTGCCCAACGGAAGACCCTAAACCACAAACCCTAAACCTACGATGCCTTGCTGCGACTTTAGAGCGATGCCAGGCACATGTACAGATAAAGCGGCCTCCTGGTCGTGTATTTGCAAGCATGGCTACTACATGTAGTTATTGAGTTGCAAACAGCACGTCGGCGTGCAGGCAGCTATGTTGAAGCAACTGCATGCGTTTTCGAGTTCTGCGCTCGGCGGGTATTAGTAATGTAATTAACATACAATCCTTCTCGCGCAGCATTACTGATTCACCCAATACCGAAAAGCCGAAACCCAGGAGCCACATTGAAGCATTTGACAAGCAAGCATGGGAGCTGCCGTGCTATCATTGAGTTCATGTAGTCATCATATCTGGTCGCAATCTTGAAACCAAACCAGAGTAGCAATAATCGCAGTCATCGCACTGGCAATCCTCTAAACGCTGATCCTCGAAACCCCCAAAACCGAAAGGTGCCAAACCCCAACCTCGTTCAACCCTGAACGGAGACTTTGGGCAAGAAGAGCGGCTTACAGCGCCTTTCTAGTGGAACCCTTCTCAAACAAACCTTTGAAGAGAAAGCGTTAGTATAGAAGCCTACACAAATTACCTATTTCATTCCTCAGGGCTCCTTGTTATGACTATAATTATACTAGAACATAATCCAAAACACAATTCAAATTAGTAAGGCCCCTGCATTACAATAGTACCCCTGTGAATGCCTTGTAGTAGCCCTTATAGACCCCTTTGAAGGAACCCTATTCTAATTATTAAGGGCCCCTTTAGTAAAACTTTAGTAGGCAACGAGAGCGGCTTGGCTGCGTGCTTCCTCTGTCCAGCAGGGAACGTTGGCAGCCCGGCAGCACAAGAAGCGCAAGGGTTTGAAGCTAGGATTTAGGGTTTAGGGTTTAGGGTTGAGGATTTAGGGTTCAGGGTTGAGGGTTGAGGCTTTAGTGCGGAGTGTTTAGGGTTGAGGGCCAGCTGCAGATGTTGCTCATCAGTGTCGTTCTTGGGTTATTGCGGCTTCTACCTTGCAGTTGTTATCACCGTCATTATCACCATTCAACGTCTGATGAGTTTCTCAACGGACATAAAGGAAACCATAGCCATGACAATCTTCGCAGTACCTGCGGTGACAGATACAACGCAAAATGTTGTCTACTACTACTGTTTTCTTGTAAAGATCCTAAATCTTGAGCCCGCTACCGCTAAAAGAGGGCCTTAGCGCATGCGACTTCAGGCCAGGCCTGGAAATTGAGCCTTGAAGCTTCAAAGAGGGAGCAACCTGACGTGAAGGTTGCTGTCGATGATGGCCTCTTCATGTCCAACCCCCTAAAAATTATTTGTTTTCTTTCATATTTTGGTGAAGGGAGCCTTGGTCAGAACAGTCCCCCCAAGTGCACTTGCTCCCCTTTGGGGCAGGGGACGGTTCTTCGGTTTAGGGTTTAGGGGTTTAGGGTGTAGGGTTCTTCCTGATAGATACCTTGCCGGGGCGTGTTAAGGAAAGCCCTCAAACCTACAACCGAAACCCCTTAAAACCCCTAAAGCCTAAAACTGTAAGAAACCCTAAACCCTAAAAGATCCTAAAAACCCTTACTAACGCTAAAACACGAATAAGAAAAACAACACCAGGCGAAGCTCTGGGAGCAGAAGAATGCACCGTTTGTCATGAAGGCAAAAGGGGGTTCTTCGGTTGATGACATATTATTACCCATAATAGGGAATATATGGGAATTATGGTATAACCCTTAGATGATATATTATTACCCATGATAGGGAATATATGGGAATTATGGTATATTCCTTATTATGGGTAATGCAGGATTTATATCATCAACCGTTGTGGGTTCCCTGAAGGGTTCTCTAAAGACTTGTTGAACGGGCTCGCTTCAAGGGATCTATAAGGGTTTGAAGGGTTCTTGAGTTCTTTACACAAAAGCTATTTCAATGGTTCTACAAAGGGGTTTTTAAGGTTCTTTAGATAAAAACTCTAGAAGGGTGTTGTATCCCAGTTCAGGGTCACGGTTGTAGGGTTTGGGTCTAGGGTCTGGGGTTGCAGAGTTTGTTGTTGCGGGATATGGGGTTCTAGGACCTTTACAATGTTGATTCCGAGGTTAAGGTTGTGCGGTTTCCTTGAACCCTAAGCCCTAAACCCTAAACCCTAAACCCTAAGCCCTAAACCCTAAACCCTAAACCCTAAACCCTAAACCCCTGGGCGCCTTAGGACTTTGGGGCTTCGAGTAGGGCCTCCGGACGTGAGCCTCCAGGATATTTTGCCTTTTTGGTGCTCGTGTTTCGCAGGTTTAGGGTTCTGGGTTTCAGGGGCTTGCGGTTTCTTAGCCGTCTAGGGTTATGCTGGGTTCGAGACGATAGATCCTTGATTTAGCGTTTGGGGGCTTTGGGCCAGAGGGTGATGCTGAGGTTCTAAGCAAGAGTTTTCGCAATGGTGACGCTGTAGTCCGAAGGTGCTTCTGGCTGGTGTAGAAAAGTCGCATTCGGAATCATCGCGCGAGCAGGCATGGCAAGGCTTTCACGGCTTTCACCATCCCCCGGAACTTCAACCACCCCGGCATTCCGTGGCCACAGCTTGCATCCGTGGCACCCACACACACACACAGATCCAATCACCCTGCAGTGATGGTGCGTTCCCCATCAAAGTAACGGGTGTTATAGTCTAATGGTATACTCCAAATCCTGTTCGAACTACTAAAGTCTTAACGCTCAATGCGGGTGCTCTCATCCCGACCCACAGCCTTCCAAATGCGCTCCGACGCCAAGTGTGGAACCTCGTGGGTTTTGCAGACTTCTAGGATTCCTTGAGCTTTCTCTAGGCTGCTTTCATATCTGGGAGGAGTTCAATATGCTGTTTTGCTTGGCTGCCGTAGTGATGCACATGGTGGTGCCTTCAGGGCTTGGGCCGTTCAGGGCTTGAAACCTCGAAAAATCTTCAAGACGTAAATAGAACAATGCTGGACGATCCAAGCCTCTAGGGTTCCTTTCAAGGATACTATAAGGGTTCCTTTAAAGGGTACTGTAAGGGTTACTTTAAAGGATCTATAGGGGTTCAGGGTTTATTGGCTCAAAGCGGCCGTCGGAAGGCTTCTTCATGAATGAGTCTGGCCAGTCTGCCTGCCTCAAGTGCAACGAAGGTGCGCCAGGGCTCCTGGTAAAGCACCTCGTTGGCCTACGCGTTGAAGGGCCAGGTACCGATTTGAGATAGCAATCGAACTTCCTCTGTTACTAAATTATAAATATGTATGTATGTCGCAAATGTGTGCTTGTTCTGTAAAGCCTAGACTATAGATGACTTGAGTATCGACTCGAATACAGACCTTTGGGGGTTTATGAGATGAGAGCCTCAACTCGAGGGACCTGTTTTGGTTTTTGGTCCAGAGCTTACGGCTTTTAGGAGTTCAGCGGGGATGTTAAACAGCTTCAGCACCTGAAACGGTTCGAACAGCTTTAAACAGGGGTATCAGATTCTATCCGTGTAACTGTGGTGGTTTGCATACTCGAGCCTCCCAGCAAGCCCTAAACTGTACAACCTAATCAACATCTTCAGCATCCAGGTATATATGAAGGGGGCGCCACTTCCAGGGTGCACGCGCGCCCGTGTCCAAGGTGCACGCGCTTCTGTGTCCAACCTGCACGCGCAGCGCTGGAAACCTGCGCAGGGCCGAGTCATCCTGCATGCGCCGGTAACGCCCACCCCCCGTGTCCAAGCTGCACGCGCAGCGCGGGAAACCTGCGCAGGGCCGAGCTTTCTTGTATCCGGAGGCCATGCAAACACAGACAGAAAATCCATGCCACTGTAGACCAAAGTGCTGGAAACCTGCGCAGGGCCGGGCCGAGTCATCCTGCATGCGCCGGGTACGCCCACCCCCTCTCGAAGCCGTGTCCAAGCTTAAAATCCATACCAACGCAGACCAAAGTACTGGAAACCTGCGCAGAGCCGAGTCATCCTGCATGCGCCGGGTACGCCCACCCCCCGTGTCCAAGCTGCACGCACAGCGCGGAATCGCCTAATGAGGGGATGTGTTTAAGATATAGATAACCGGAATCGCCAAAATGAAGGGGGTGTGTTTAAGAAATAAGATAACCGGAATCGCCAAATGAGGGGGTGTGTTTCAGATATCGGATAACCGGGATCGCCAAATGAGACGGTGTGTTTAAGAGGTCAGTCGCCAAATGAGGGGGTGTGTTTAAGAAATAAGATAACCGGAATCGCCTAATGAGAGGATGTGTTTAAGAAATAGATAACCGGAATCGCCAAAATGAAGGGGGTGTGTTTAAGAAATAAGATAACCGGAATCGCCTAATGAGGGGATGTGTTTAAGATATAGATAACCGGAATCGCCAAAATGAAGGGGGTGTGTTTAAGAAATAAGATCACCGGAATCACCAAATGAGGGGGTGTGTTTAAGATATAGGATAACCGGAATCGCCAAATGAGACGGTGTGTTTAAGAGGTCAGTCGCCAAATCAGGGGGTGTGTTTAAGAAATAAGATAACCGGAATCGCCTAATGAGAGGATGTGTTTAAGAAATAGATCACCGGAATCGCCAAAATGAAGGGGGTGTGTTTGAGAAATAAGATAACCGGAATCGCCTAATGAGGGGATGCGTTTAAGATATAGATAACCGGAATCGCCAAAATGAAGGGGGTGTGTTTAAGAAATAAGATAACCGGAATCGCCTAATGGGGGGATGTGTTTAAGATATAGATAACCGGAATCGCCAAAATGAAGGGGGTGTGTTTAAAAAATAAGATAACCGGAATCGCCAAATGAGGGGGTGTGTTTAAGATATAGGATAACCGGTATCGCCAAATGAGACGGTGTGTTTAAGAGGTCAGTCGCCAAATCAGGGGGTGTGTTTAAGAAATAAGATAACCGGAATCGCCTAATGAGGGGATGTGTTTAAGATATAGATAACCGGAATCGCCAAATGAGACGGTGTGTTTAAGAGGTCAGTCGCCAAATGAGGGGGTGTGTTTAAGAAATAAGATAACCGGAATCGCCTAATGAGGGGATGTGTTTAAGATATAGATAACCGGAATCGCCAAAATGAAGGGGGTGCGTTTAAGAAATAAGATAACCGGAATCGCCTAATGAGGGGATGTGTTTAAGATATAGATAACCGGAATCGCCAAAATGAAGGGGGTGTGTTTAAGAAATAAGATCACCGGAATCGCCAAATGAGGGGGTGTGTTTAAGAAACAAGATAACCGGAATCGCCTAATGAGAGGATGTCTTTAAGATATAGATCACCGGAATCGCCAAAATGAAGGGGGTGTGTTTAAGAAATAAGCTAACCGGAATCGCCTAATGGGGGGATGTGTTTAAGATATAGATAACCGGAATCGCCAAAATGAAGGGGGTGTGTTTAAGAAATAAGATCACCGGAATCACCAAATGAGGGTGTGTGTTCAAGATATAGGATAATCGGAATCGCTAAATGAGGCGGTGTGTATATAGGAAGCGCAAATGAGGTCTGTGTGCGCCTTGGACGGTCCGTGTGTGCGCCTTGGACGGTCCAAACCTTCAGCCTAGACCGTCCAAGGTACACGCGCCTAGGCCGCATCCGCAACCGGAGAAAGCTGTGGTTGAGAACTTTTTTCTGAATCGGAAAGTGCTGAATCCCTAGCAAAAAACAATGAATTGGAAGCCATGTGTGCGCCTTGGACGCGGGAAAGGCTGTGCGCAGGCGCGTGCGCCTTGGACGCGGGGACGCGTGCGCCTTGGACGTGCTGGCCCTCTCGGTTCCTTCAAAAGGCTATAACTACGTCCCCTAAACCCTTAAACCCTAAACCTTAAACCCTAAACCCTATATAAACTCTGCAAAGTCCCTTTTGGCCACCTGTAGCAGCCGCAGCCAGGCACGTACTCTGACGAGTCTGGTCTGACCCAGTGCCGCGACTGCCCCGCCGGCCGCACCACGAATTACCAGGCCAAGAAGTCTCAGGGGCCCAGAATTGAGGGTTTTAATCTACCAGGCCAAGAAAGAAGTCTCAGGGGCCCAGAGTTGAAGGTATGATATGGTTTCGGGTTCAGGGTGAAGGTTTGGAGTTTTAATAGTTTAATACGGTTACCAGGCCAAGCCTTAAGGGCCCAGAGTTGAGGGCTTAATGTGGTTTAGGATTCAGTGCCGAGGGTTTCGGGTTGAGGGTTTAGAGTGGCTCCGGGTTTAGGATTTTGGGTTTTTGGAGTGGAGGCTTTGCTGGTGGAAATGTGGAGTGGTGATCACTTGTTGGTGCCTGCAACACCTTATGTAAACCCTAAACCCGAGGCCGTTTCAGCAGTTTCGGCGGTTCTTGCTTCAGTGCTTAGTGTGCCCGGGGCCCTGTCCCGAAGTCCTTTCGCCGCAGCGTCCCGCCGATCTATTCTAGGGGTCCGAGTAGTTAGGAATAGTATGCTGTTGGAGCCCCTGTTCAAAGAAATTAGTATCATATACTCCAAAGCCCTACTCTGATTATTATGGCCCCTGTAATATGTATTGGGGTCGGAAGAACTAATGGAGGACGCCCTCCCACGGAACCCAGTGCCAAGGGTGTGGGGATTTAGCCGATTTAGCCATTAAGGGTTTTGGGATTTAAGGTTTAGGGCTCAACAATTACGGTTTGGGGGATTGGTCACTGGGGGTTTTCGGGGTTGGGGCTCCGTTTCTTTATACATACTGAATCTGTTAGAGTTTTGAACTCTTCCCCGTGGAAGGTCTACTAGACCCTTAAATGTAGTACCTTTTCTTGGTTGCCTGAGTTTCTTCTTATTATTATTTTGGGGTCCTAACCATAAGATAGGCCATACAATAAATTTAAGGGTCTAAGGAGGTGCGCGCTTATTAGAATCGCTGTTTTTCGCGATTCCCCGGCTTTGGCTTTGAGGAAGGCGACTTGGGGGTCTAGCGCTCCAGCTGCTGGACAGCGGTTAAGGGTTCAGGGTTTAGGGTTTAAGGTTCAAGGTTTGGGGTTTCGAGTTAAGGTTTTAGGGTATTAGGGTGTAGGGTGTAGGTTTAGAGTTAAGTGTTTAAGGGTATTGCACACATCCAAATACCCAAATGGTGCGTCCTAACGAAGACGAGCCAGCAAGGAGCAAAGGTGCAAAGTCCAACTTGCTGAACTGAAACCCTACAAGTCCAGGTACTACAGAAGCCTGGGTAAGTAGCTACGCTACGTCATACCCGTTTCTTCCCTCACCCGAGCCGTGAGACTTCAAGCTTAAAAGCCTACCTCTTCTGCAGGGAGCGCTGGATGCACAGGCCTGGGGTCGGCGACGAGTTTGTATTCAGGGTTTTGGAACTGCATTGTGGTGTTTCTGAGTAGGAGTCGGGAGGAGTTCACGGGGGTTCCTTGCTGTCGGTTTTGGAGCTACGCCTGGGACCCTGGACCTCAACAGCTTAAACTGCTTATCTCCCTCGTCGGAAAAGTAGGCTCCTTGAGGGGAGCCAGAAAGGGAGAATCCTAAGTCAGAGCCAGAGCAACCCACGTACATTTCGTAAGCAGGCCTCCAGCTTGGTATTTATCAGTCATCCGAATATACCTGGAGCCAGAGCCGGGAAATCCTGAAAAAACGTTCTGCGCGTGAACTTATGTTAACCCACGCCCTAAACCCGAGAAGCCCTACGCCCTAAGGCCCGAAGGGCCCCCTAAACAAACCCTGTAGGCCGAAATTCCTGAAATCCCAACCCCCGGAGCTCTGAGAGACACTCGAGCCAACTACCCTGGGAAGGAAGTAAACAAAAAGACTGACCCGGAAACTCTCAAGATCAGATTCTGATGCCCTACAAGCTTGAAGCCGTCAGACGACAGGCGGGCTGCAACCCTAAAGCCGCCTCCTTCCGTTAGAAGTCTCTGAGCACCCGAAGCATTGATATCAAGGATGGCCACAAGCATAGTACCCCCGACAACAGTTGTAAGAGTCGTGTAGCAGCCATCGTATTCGTGATGACAGTTATGCATATTAATATAATTACGGTAGCGACAAGACTACTTTTCGTGGTAATAATAATCATAATCATAGTCTTAATCATAATCATATTCATAGTAATAGTCATAATCACAATCATACTAGTAATGTAGCCTCTGAGCGCGCAGGCGTGCACCTGCAACGGCGACCTCTGGGAGGGCCAATGTGCCTTGGAATCGCAGTAAAGCTGCCATCTATCAGGGGTTTGGGGTTTTGGGGTTTGGGGTGTAGAGTATCATACCGCAATTATCACCGTGACGTCGATCAGTGCGATCCTCGTAAACAGGAGTAGAAGTTTGCTACTCATGGGGCTAGACCCGCAATTTGCAAAGCTTCGGTTGCCCTGTTTTAGATCCACCTAGTAAGTCTGAAGCTCCGAAAATCCCACAGCTTTTCTGCTGAGCCCGATCGAGGGCTTCGGGCTCTGGGTTGGTATGTTAAGCCCCTGGTTCAATTCTTGGCACCGCGTGCTTCCGTCCGATCTTCGGTTTTCGGTTTAGGGGTAAGACTAGCCAGAGGCACTGGAAGAGCCCTGATGCTGGAACATGTTTGAAGTTTGTATAGGTTCTAGAGCTTGCGCAACCTACACCCTAGACCGTAATCCCCATACGCACATTGCTTTCGGGGTCTGGCCTTGTTCGCCACTTGAAGGCATCCGCTGCTTGGCTTCTTGGCAGCATCCGGGCCTGCTGTTCGTTGGCTTAGTAGCTGAGTAGGTAACCTTAAACCTTTTCGGGGTTTATATAATCCTACCAGAAGTGAAAAGGTTAGCCTTGCTTGGGCTAAGGTACTCAGCCCCTAAGTTCCGAGCTTTTGCAAGTTGCCTGCTGCTGCCTTACACTTCAGCCCGGGAAGTGGGCAAGCCCGTGTTCAAGGCATCTGGGTGTAGCCAGCGCCCCTTCCCCATGCGACGGTTCGCTCAGGAAAGAAGTAGCATGTGATTGCGAGTGTAGTACAGGTTGACGCATGTCCTGCCTAACACCCCAGGTTTAGGGCTGTTTCGCTTTTGCAGGTGTGTTCTGGGTAGTACCACCTTGTTTAGGGTCTACAGGATTTAGATTTTTTTAAATCGAAGATTGACTGAATCCCTAAACCCTGCACGCTAAGCCCGAAAGCTGATTGTCAAAAAAAGACACACTCGAACCGTGGACCTCTAGATTGCAAGAGCTAAGCGGCCCAGGCAGCATCCGGGGAACTTCACGAAGGGGGGGCTTCAGTTCGCTGAAGGCTTCGAAGCCTTCGAAGATGAAGGTCGAATGGGGGGCTTCGAAGCCCCTTCGCGCCCAAGGGTCAGAAGCCCCTTCAGCTTCGCAAAAGACGAAGGGGTTTTGAAGGCTTCGAAGGCTTCGAAGGGTAGGATGAAGCCCCTTCGTCCTCGGCTTCGAAGCCTTCGAAGCCCCTCCCCCCTTCGTCCTCCCCTTCGAAGCCTTCGAAGCCCTCTTCGTTCTGGCCCTTCGAAGGCTTCGAAGCCTTCGTCCTTGCCTTCGAAGGCTTCGAAGCCTTCGATCTCATCTTTGAAGGCTTCGAAGCCTTCGTTCTCACCTTCGCAGGCTTCGAAGCCTACGTTCTCACCTTCGAAGCCTCCGCTCTCTCCATCAAATTTTTCGAAGCTTTCGGATAAAAGCAAAGTTTGAAATGTCAAAGTTTGATTTCTCGCATCAAACTCTGCTTTTTGCAAAGTTTGCAACAGTATCCAGGCCATTACTGAAGCTTTTCAAAGTTTCACGCTGCTTCGAATACAGATGCATAAAAACGGTTTTTCAAAGTTTGCACATTGCATTCTGCAGCTCTGACAGCGATCTATTTTGCAGCTTTTCTTCTCTTGCTACACCATGGCCAGGTCTGTGCCAGCTCTCCGATGTGTCTACTGACCATTCGACCTGTGCAGGACGTCCGAGGAGCAGAAAACGATGTTCGTTTCCCGCTTCTCGCGGGCAGAGCACGTAGATACGCTTGTGAGCTGGATCGAGGCGCAGAATCAATGTCTGCTGAAGTTCGCATTGCTGTCATCGTAGGGGCTTCCACCAGCCATGTTGACGTCCCTGGAGACGAAGCTTCGCTTTGCACTCGGATTGTCGCTGCGTGTCCGCCTGCTCCAAAATCTTCTCAGGTCCGATTTTTCGCGCTGCTCTTCCGAAGAAGAAGTGCTGTCTATGTGGAAAGGCCATTCTTCGTGCATAAACTGTCTTGAAGATTGAATTCTGTGCTCAGATGGATGTTGCTGCTCACGGTGCTACCAAAAAGAGTTTGATTCGTTCTGCACTCAAACTGCGGATGACCAAAACGCTGGCGCCTCGGCTCGCTGTTGTTGCCTGTGTTTGACGGCCTCTTTTGGTTCGAAGGACTGGTGGCCCGCTCACGCGGGGCGATCTGATCCGTAATTCGCATCGTTCCAAGCTCTCCAAGTATGCGCTGCTGGCTTGGTTGTTCGTGTGCATCGGTGGCTCGGGGGCTGCTGCCCTGCTTCTACACTGTACTGCCAGCCACGCCTATAGTTCTGCTTCGCGCACTTGGACTGTGGGCTTTGGCTCGAAAAAGTCTCTGTCTGCCTGTGTCGAAGCATCCCGCCTTTGTCTTCTGCGCATCTGCATGCCATTGCTCTCGGTGCTACTCCCGCTCCAGTGTGTTGTCTGCCCTGCAGTGCTGCATTCTACATGCCCGGTCCAAGTTAGCTTTCGAGCAACCCCAACCGTGCACTTTTCGGCGTGCTGCTGTGCACGCTTGGCGGCGTGAGCCATGGTCGCTGTTCTTGAGTGCTGGGCAGACATGGTAGACTCGTCTGACTCGGACAGTGAAGAGTCTCCGTGCCGCCTGTCCGGGCCTTCCGCCGCGGCTGCGCAGGCACCCGTGGCTGCCCCCGCGACCGATGCAGCTCCGCGTCGCCCTCCCTTTGCAGTCTTGCTGCGCGCCTACGTCTTCGGCCTCCTCTACGGTCGAGGCCAGACGTGCAGCCTCATGATTTCAGATCTTGCAGGAGCAGTTGCGGGGAGAACCACGCAGCGCGCGTCTGGCGTGCCTGCTTGTGCGGGACATGATCTTCTTTCACAACTTCCAAAACCCTTGGGCTGTCCTGCAGCACGTGCATGACTATGTAGCGGCGGCTTCCAGCGGTTGCGCTTCCGCAAGTACACTGCGCCTGTGGCGTTTTCTGTTGCTGCTCGAGTGCAGTCGCTGCGCGTGGCTTCACCCTTGCTGCTGGCAGTGTCTGCTGCCTTCGCCTTAGCGCTCTGAGCATTCTGCTGCGAATGATGCGGTTACCTGCACGGGACCATCGCGACCGTCACAAGTACGGTTGCAGGCACCTTCCGAGGCAGCATTTCAGGAGCGGGAGGAAAAGGCCGTCGTTGTCGGGTGCCGCTTGTACACGCCTTTGTGTCCTCGCAAGGAGATTGCAGTCTAGGAAAAGCCGGGGGGGGGGGGGGTTTGAGCGGCGCAGCACTTCTCCCCTTGCGAACCTTTCCAACCGAAGGTATTTTTGCCATATATCACCAAGATGTTTGCCTCTCGTTCTCCGAAGACGTTTCCTTTAGGATTTCTTTTTCTTTTTACCCCCTCTAAAACGTTGTTTTCCTAGTAGTACTAGTAGTAGTTGCCGTAGTCGTTGTCGTAGTCGTGGTCGTCGTCGTCGTAGTAGTAGTAGTAGTAGTCGCAATGGTTTTTCGTCATCGTACTGATAGTTCTACCAGTTCCCGTCCTTGTGGTTTTTCAGCACAAACAATTGTTTTGCCCGAGCAGAGCTTTTGGTTTTTCTTCGCTTACACCACTACTACGTCCGGCCTTCGCCTCCAGCAGCCTTTGCATCTGTGATTCTCTGCCACTTTCGTTTGTAACTCCCCTAAACCTTTTCGTTCGGCTTTCGCCTCTACATGTCGTGGAACAGACGTTCTTGCTCGCTTTTTCGCCGCATGGCAACGAAAACCTTGCAGTCTACAAAAAAGCGGGGGGGTTGGGGGAGAGGCCCTTTTGCAAGACGACTTTTCAGTCATGTATGATTATATATTTTTCGTTTGTAACCCTTTGTAACCGTTTTCGCGTGGCTCTCGTCTCTGTATGAAAAGCACATTCTAATTCACGCGCCAGGCATATGCGCGAGGACCTTACGCATAACGGAAACAACGAAGGGCGCCTTTCTATGCCGACATAAGCTATTTATTGCTGACTTGCTTGCCTTTGGCTTTTCGACCCCTTTCGGTTTGTTCATGCGTCTCTGTTGTCTTCATTTCTCGGCACCCTCAACGTTTTCGTCGAGCTCTCACCTCTATATGTTAGCCGTTTCCGAAGGCTTCGAAGCCCCTCCACTTCGACGCCTTCGAGGCCCCCTTCGTCCCCACGCCCTTCCAAAACTTCAAAGCCTTCCAAACCCCTTTCGAAGGCTTCGAAGCTCCTCCCCTTCGAAGGTTTCAAAGCCTTCGAAGCCCCTTTCGTTCCCACCCCGTTCGAAGGCTTCGAAACCCCCCCCCCTTCATCCGCCCCCTTCGAAGCCCCCTTCGTCCCCACCCTTCGAAGCCTTCGAAGGCTTCGTCCCCACCCTTCGAAGCCTTAGTCCTCCCCCGCAAAGCCTTCGAAGCCTTGCTCCCTCCCCCCTCCCCCCCGCCCCCTTCGACCCTTCAGCTTCGAAGGCTTCGAAGCCCCCTTCGCCGGTCGCTGGATGCAGCCCCAAGCGGCCTATGCCAATCTTCGGAATCGTCTCAACTTCGACAGTCTCTGCTGCCCCGCGAAATCGCGATGAAGCCCCGTTTGACATAGTCTAGGACCCAGAGTAGGCCCTTGTTCCCTTTTTTTAGGGTTTAGGTTCCCTGATAACCACCTTTAAACCAAAAAGGGCACCCTTTTTATTCCTAGGTTACTTTTATTATAGGTCTAGCAGTATGACTCGTGTCCTGTCCAGCTTCCCAGGACACCACCAGGTTCGAGCTCGGCACGTGCGTCACCTGCCAAGAAGGACTTGTGTGCCACTTGGTAGCATTTCCCAGAACCTAGAACACCGAATATAGGGGCCTTAATAATTACCAATACTATTTTGGGGGCTCCTTATTAAAAAGATAGTAAAATAGGCCCCAAAACCCCATGTAATTATTAAGGAGACGATAGTAAACTCCAACAACCTAAACCCTGATAGCCCGCACCCTGAAAGCCCAATGCCCAAAGCCCAAGCCCGAAACCTGCTCAGCCATTAGAGGCAGGATGCTAGGGAACATCGCAAGCCTAGCCATTTTAATGATTTATGGTATTACTGTGACCCTCAACCCTCAGAACTTCCACCCTAAACCTGCTTTGGGGGTCGGAATGATTAGGAGTAGTATTCCCTCAGACTCCCCTGATATACCACCGAAAAATGCTGTTTTAATTGTCAAGGCAGGTACATTACGCCTTAATGTAGGAACCTGATTAAGAAACCCTGGGCCTATAACCCCAAAATAGTAGGATTCATGTAAGGAATCCTAATAAAGGCCCAAGGTTTCTTAATCACGCTCCCACATTAGACTCTCTGGTTCTTAGTAGGGGATGGGGGTTTGGGGATTTTATAGGGGCTGCTCCAGGGATCCATTCCCCCATCCCCTCCTAAGAACCAGACAGTACCTAGGAACCTAGGAAACCCTAAACCCTAAACCCTTAAACCCTAAACACTAAACGCCTTAACCCCCTAAACCCCTTAATCCCTAAACCCTTATACCCCCTATAAATCCTAAACCCCTATAAGTTCGAAACCTGAAGTCCAAGGTGATGAGGGTAAGCAGCCGGAACTCCTTCCAGGCGGGAGACACGCCGCGAGGGACCCGAAAGAGTGAAGGGTTTGGGGGTTTAAGGGTTTAGGGTTTAGGGGTGATTAAGGGTTTAGGGTGTTGTTTTTTTAAGGGTTTAGGGTTTAGGGCCTAGGTTTGATTATTGTGGCGAGGTTTCCAAAGCTCCAGTGCAAGGCTCTTCGAGTTTTGTTCGCTGAGGTTTGGCGCAGTGGAGGGGACAGGAACATGGGACATCATGGGGCTAACGGAGCCCCAAGCGCAGAATCCTGAACTCCCCCAAGATGTGGAGGCTTCCATCTAGGGGGGCACAGGTTTAAGGTCCAGGGACGGGCGTCAGCATTTAGGGAGTAGTATTATTCCTCCACATATTTCCTGGTATCTGTACAGTAGCATATGCCCGAAAACTCTATTTCAATGAGGGGTCCAGAGAGAGGCTGACTGGCTTGTTGTCTGAAGCGTGCGGCAGGTTACTATACAACACCCGAGGCGCCGTTCGATGTCTACAAATGCCCCCTGGGTGCACTTCAACCCTGGTTGCAAGGGCCGGGAGTGTGTGTACAGGTTGATGGGGTTTAGGGTTCAGGGTTTTTCTATCATTGTCTTCGGGTTTCATAAAATGTGCGTGGTGCGGATGCCATGGCAACCACACTGCTAAGGCTGCTAGGTATTTTGATGTGCTGCTGCATGCAATCGTCCTGCTTCACTCGTAACTGTACGATTCCCCTGCAAAGCCTCAAGCCCGAGCCGTGATACAGCTCTTTTGCCCCAAACCCCTAAAGCCCTGCAGCCCTAAACCCCCAAGCTCAAGATCGCAAAACCCTCAAGCCTCTACCCCAAACCCCTATACCTCAAAACCCTAGAAGCCTAAACACCTCTTAACCCCACAAAAACCCTCAAGCCCTCTACCTCTAAACCCCTAAACCTCTGAGCGAGCCCAGGTCTTCCAGCGGATAAGTGCCCTGGTAAGGCGCCAGGCGCGGCAAAGCTTGGGATTTCAACGGAAAGTCCAGTCTTTCGGAGTATTTTGGGGTTTCGGGTTCCGGATTTAGTAGGGGCTTTAAGGTTTCGGTTTCAGGGCGTCTAAGGTTTCGCATTTGGGGGTGGGGTGTGGTTCTTCAGATGTTCGGGGCTTCGGATTTCGGGGGGTCCGGGCTTTTGATTCCTCGGTTCATGGCTTCGGGTTTTGGTTTGGGGTTGGGGTCTAGGGTTCAGGGGTTCGGATTTCGGCTTGAAGGTTCAGTTCTTCGGTTTTCAAGGTGTCGGATGCAGGATTCAGGGATTGGTTGTGGCTTAGCGTTGAGGTGTAGTGTTTGAGGTTGGAAATATTGCCGATTGGAGGGGTTCAGTGGAGCTTTTCTACATTCTACAGTGTCCTTGCTTCATAGGCAGAGATGGTTATCGTAAAGCACCTGTTGCTGTCGTAGGCTATCATTGTCATAACAACAACTCCACGACAACCCTACCGGTTCCTCTTCAACTTCGCATGCATGTCAGGCCATGAAGGGGGGCAAGGTGCAGGGGCCTAAGGTCTGGGCAACCTCAAAACAGGAAGTGGAGATGTCCTTGCTATGTGACTGGCCCATAAGTGCTATGTCGAAAGCAAAACAGATCCTTGTAGACCGCAGAAGCTCAGCAGCCATATGACCTTCCGGGAATAAACCGGTTTAGGGTTCAGGGTTCACCTGTGGCCCACAAGACATGCCTTTCCAGGGAACTATACACACATATATATATATATATATATATACTTTTGTACATTATATATATATATATATCTTCATATATCATAATAAGGAACCTCAAGAAGGGAGGTCTTTTCGGCAACAGGTAGGGTTAGCCGAACATCTCCAAGCCTCTGGCCGGAAAACAGGTGCTTGCAACGGCGGGCGTGTGGGCGTGGCGTGGATTGAAGAAGGAAGTTGAGGATTTGTGGGCTTAGGACTTTCTATGGTCATATTCCCGGCGAATGTTGGCAAAAACATCAAGGAGGGGCTTCAAAACCATATTCAATTCATTAACTTAATTCCCCCCCAAATGCTTCAAGTCAAGTTGAACATCCGGAATCCAGCCGGCTGGCACGCGCCACACACAAGCTCCGATTCACCCTGTTGTGAATAGAAGCCTTTTTCCTGCCAGCGCGACAATTCAACCCTGGCGGCCAGTGTTACGGTCTTAAACTCTACATCTCTGAGTCCTTTATCCCCAATCTCTCTAAGTCGTTCACCCGGAGTACAAAACTCCTCAATCTCCGCTCAAGCTTTGTAGAACGTTTTCCCTTCTCAAAATCGTTCAACCCCAATGTAACCTCATAGAACCCTAAAAGACCGAACTACACCCTTTAAACAACCCTCGCAAGATTCACGTAGAATCTTCACAAAACTCTCTCAGCACTCTCCGATCGATTCTTGATCTCCTGCAAAGGTCCCCTGCACTCAGTGCCCGGATGGCCTGTCTCTGGAAAACGGCGTTTGCTCCGCCTGCGCGAGTCTAAGCCACTCGGCTTGGAACTTTTGGGTTTAGGCTTTCGAGCTGCAGTTTTTCGGAGCATCTCGATCATTGGCGATTTTGGGGTTCGATGAGGGTTCTACAAGAATCTTGCAAAGGAAGAAGGAAGGTTCGACACAAGCTGTGGTAGTTGAGGGTCGGCCTCAGCCTGCTTTTTGCATCCGAATACGCTGAAGCCCTGAACTCGCCCCATGGGCTGTCTTTCTTTCGCCAGAGCCGGGCAGCCAAGCTCGACTTCAGGCCTTCTGAATGGAACATGTAGGGTGCCACGGTCGAGCTTCGGATCGAGTTCAGGTTCGAAAGCAATTTCAGAGGGCTAGCAATAAGGAAATATAAAAATTTTGATACATGATTATATGTACATATATATATATATATATATATATTTTATGCATATCTTGCGGAAGGGGTCAGGCCAGGCTCTAAAGCCTAAGCCCTAAAATGAGGCAGCGATGTGGTGCCTTCGGATTTGCATGCGTAGTCTAGTCTTGCGGAGTCTGGGGTGATGAAAGCATCAGTGGGTCAGAGCAGAACGCCCGTTTGGGGTCAACCATAACCGCTGCTCAGGTACAGCAGGTTGGGTCGTGTCGATGCTGATCGGCATGGTTTGTTTGGCAACTTCGCTTGGAATCCATCATGTCGTTCTACTTTGCCACATGCTGTTTTTATCATAGATGGTGCTTCCAAGAATTTGGCTGCAATCATGGAGACGTGAGACTTCGGTACCGTTCGTGTTTGACTCCTGGAAAACATTCGTTTCTGAACCAGTGCACTCGCTGCCACCCCAAACCATGGTTGTTCTAGCTATCTTGCCTGTCTGAGACCGTTTAGACCAGGTTAACACCTTCTAGAGCCACATGGCAGTTGTACGACAGTTTGTGAAATCAGGTTATGTCCCCGACTCAGAGAGTTATAGTCGGATTCGGTAGAAGTGAAGGGTTCATTCAGGGTTGTGTGGAGTACATCTCCTGGGGCACAAAGTGAGCAGAATCTGGTGAAAGGGTGTCCATTCTGTCCTAAATACAAACTGGAAAGGGCTCATGGCTGAGCCCCCCATCTCTGCCGATCGTGACTAAGTTTGCGCTGGTGTGACCGAGCGCTTCGGAGGGGCTGTATATGGATCAAGGTTAAGGTTCCCCTCACTTCAGTGTCTGACACTGTATTTGGACGGCCCTCACTTGGAGAACGTCTCATATCCCAGCCCGGCAGTGTGGGTTTTCGGGTTTAGAGTTTAGCGAGAAGGCTCGCCTGAAAAAGATCGCAGCCTGGAAACTCCAGAGCGAGCCGAGGTAGCGTGCTACTACCTTATGAACTCGGCAGCCACCGCGAAAGCCAGCATGATACTTGCCGAGATGAACTTCCGCTGTGCTCAGGGCCTATGTAACCCTTGTGGAGACCTGGGCTAGGGTTGGGAGTTAGGCTTGTAGCGTTTAGGGTTCAGGGTTCCGTCAGGCTCCAGAACTTCGGAGATGTCTCTGGGCTGATATTTGCTACGACCCCAACCCCTGGACAGGAAGGAGCGGAGAAACAACAATGACTCAGATACTAGTAGCCATTGTTGTAGTCACTGTCTCAGATCCGCGTTTAAGTCTATTCTTACATAAACTTACGCCAAGCAGGAACTCAATTCCTAAACTCTACCCCTGGGAGGGCGTTCCCAGTGCAGGTTAATTAAACACATTTTCCTAGACACAGGCCAGTAGCCATCGTTGTTCGGCGTCCGTTGCCTCGCGAAGGCTTACCTGCCTCGCCCAATTGCGAAGTTCGGTTTCATACTGGAGCCTTACCACAAAGTTGAACGAAATCCTTTGACTGAGTCGGTTTTGCCGCCCAACGCCCGCTCAAAGATTTTAGGCCCCGAAGGCCCGGAATTAAAATAGGGCAACTTGGCAAGAACTTCGCGGCTTGCTCCAAAGCCCCAGCCAGTTCATGCCGCAATGTGCGACAGCCTCCAGTGATGCTCAAGACGAGGTTGCAACATGCCATTTTTAGGCGATTCCCTAAACCATCATCCCCAAGCTCATAAGTTACTCCAAGCCTAAACCCTAAAACCTATGTACACTTTAAATCCTGGCCCGAAATCCTTAAACGTCTAAACTCGAAGTTCCAGGCCCGAAATAGCCGCCTTCCTTTTCAGGATGCTCGCCACAACTTGCGTCCTTGCGATGACGATCAGCATGCCCCCGGGAGCTGATTTAATCAAGGGTCCCAAAGAGGAAAAGGGGTTTAAAGTTTATAGGGTTTGGTGTTTACCCTAAGTTCTATACCCTAAATAGTTTAGGGTTTAGTGCTCAAGGGGTCCTACGCAGCAATAGAAGGTTTCCTCGGGTTTAGTCATCTAGGGGCACTGAGTAGTGGTACAAGTATATTGATGGTCGTTCAGGGTTTTCTGATCAAGATTCGCTACGGTCTGGGGTGTAGGGTTTTGGGGTAAAGCCACAAACACGAGTACACCTTCGACTGTCGGTTGAGATGACGAGAAGATCGAGTGACGACTTAGCTTTGGGTGTTTAGGGTGTTTGCATTCGAGGTCTTAAGATTCAGGGTTCAGATTCGCGTCTTAGAGTCTTAGAGTTTGAAACACTGGCTGTAAAGCGTTCAAAAACGGCCTGGAGCTCAGCAATAGCAAACCGGCATGGTGCCGCATCCAGCGTGATTTCTGAAGGCCTCACCCCTCAGAATTATGTCACTAACCACCTGCCGGACTTGCTACCGCCCGGTCGACTGAGCGAACCGGCACCTTTCGGCATGGTATGGCCAGGTGTCAGAGGTTTGCAGAAGGACGACTAAACCCTGAACCTTAACCCTGGACGCCCTGACCTGAAGCCCCTCAGCCTCAAATGAGCCAAACAAGTTGTAGCCAGTTTTGGAGGAGGTTCCTCTTTGACCAGCAATCTCCTTCTGGCCAGAGTAAGTAAGAACTGACCGTATCATAAGTTGTAAAGCCCACCCCAAACCCTCGCATACTCGTTTACAAGCCCAGTAGCACAAAGGCTCCAAAGCGTGGGCATTGTGGGAATGATCTCATTCGAGTGGCCCAGCGAGCTTGCCTGGCTCTTTGACGCCATGATCCTTGGCACCTTGTGATTGGGATTCTAGGGTAATTCATGGTAACTTCATGGAAGTTTTAGAACACGAGAAAACCCCTACATAAGACCCCTAAACCCTTAATCTTTACATAGAGCCATATTATCCATATCCCTAATGTCAGAACCCCAGAATGGGGGAATGCTAGTGGTGGGGAGTGCCCAGGCAGAGCTTGGGCTTTCAGGATAGGTAAGCCTAACACTAGAGCGACCACGCAACGCCTCAGATTTTCAATGTTTCTCGAACCCGGCCCTACTGCTTGAGAGGGTTTAGGGTTTAGGGTTCAGGCAAAGTTATCCCATGTTTTTTTAGTCACCTCTACTTGTAGCTACGCATCCTTAGATCCCTGAACTCCAAATTTCATTCTCCTGAACACTGAACCGCAAGCCCTGTCTGCCAAGTCCACGGATCCCTAGTATAGTTTGCCCAAAGCTCTTTCAAGATATTAATCGCGAGCCCAGCAAGGAACTTTTTCCTGCTGGATATTGACTCGCTTGGTTTTGACTGCGTGGCTGGCAGCCCTATCAATCGGAACCTTGGTCGTCAAACACCAGTTCATCTGTCTTGCCCCTTGCAGTGTTTATAATCCGCGACGCCGAAAGACCCTGCACGGCACTTCTGTAATTGCTGCTGTTGCTGCTCCTCCTGCCGCCACCGCCGCCACCACCACCGCCGCCGCCACCGCCAACAACAACACAACGACGACCACAACTGCAACTGCAATTAGAGTGATGAGAACTGAGGCTCGCGATGCTGATGCCCATGGTGTTGATTATTATTGCAATGCTATTTCACAGCAAGGAACCATGTATAGATTTTGAGCTCGACCAAGAAATAGCCGAGTAGCTAGATAGCTGCACAGCCAGGTAGACACTACAGTGCTGTTGATTTTCAGCAATACTCAGTACCAAGAAAAGCAAAGGCAGGAACAATTGACAAATATCCCGATCGAAGCAACGGCAGCAGTTACAGCTGCACTGTTCGTCTGGTGATGGCCATGGTCACGAACCTGCAGCAGGTTTGGTACAGAGATGGTTCGTGACTGTGGTTGCTTTTGCCGTTGTTTGGGTTTGTTGATGGTGATGATACGGACGAGGCTAGCATTGAGAAGCAGCAATTCCCAGATCATGCAGAGTTAGTGATGACAAGGCATAATACCGTGCAATCGTTGTTGCTACTGCTCTCAATTGTTGCAAAGGTTAGTGGTTAGTGTTAGAGTTGGTGATGTGGACTTTGGTTCAGGGAACCTCAGCACTCTGTAGACATACCGAACTTCACCAACACAACCAGCGTGTCTCCGAAAGCGACCCCGACACAATTTTTGAGAAATCCCAAAATCCCTAAACCTAAACTCCTACAGCCCCAAAGCCTAAAGCACCAGAGTCGTCATAGAACCTCATAGCAACCCATGTAGAACCATCATGCTTAGCCCTCTAGAGTAACCCCCTATATAGCAGCCAGTTAGAGGGCCAAAAGGAACCCCTGCGCCGCCCTCAACCTTTAGAAAACCTAAACCCAACAACCTGGACAAATGAGACCCTTGCAGGAACCAAGAGAACCCTAAATCCTGAAACCCCTAAACTCCTGAACCCTAAACCCTTAACCCCAAACCCTAAACCCTAAACACCTAAACTCCTAAACCCTAAACCCCTTAGTCTAAATCCTCAGAGGTACGCCTTCAGCGTTGCCGCTTTGCCCTGCGCACTCCTTTGGCTCCTCACGGCGGCTTTGCCGCTGGGCTTCCATGTTCGGCCTCGAGCTTTCTTCTGGCCACGGTTTAGGGTTTTGGGTTTAGGCTTCAGGGGTTTAGGTTTTAGGGTTGAGGGTTTTATTGTTCCTTTCAGGGTTCTATACGAATTACTTCAGTAAGAGTTACTATAGGGTTGCATTAAGCGTCAATAGGGTTGAGGGTTTAGGGTTCCCAGAGAGCCCAGTACGCCTTAATTAAGGAACACAGCTTAAATCATAATATGAAGCCCCTTATAATTTAAGGAATATAGCTTGAATCATAATATGAAGCCCCTTATAATTGAAGGTATATTGCTTAATTAAGGGGTATTGGGCTCTCTGGGTATTGATCCTTTCAGGGTTCTATAGGGGTTACTTCAGTAAGAGCTACTATAGGGTTATTTTTAAAGCGTCAATAGGATTGACGGCTTGTGCTTAGTTCTGCTCTGGCATTTTTATTTCAGAGTTCAGGGTTACGGGTGCAACGCGGAGGGGTCCATACTCAGGGTGTGGGGTTTAGGGCTTTGGGCTGGGGTGGTTGACCTATTCGGTCTAGGGGGAGGGTTTGATGGTTTCAGGCCTAGTCAAGGATGCAGCGTTCGAGTTTAGGGACTGTGTGTTGGATTTTTGTGAGCATCAGTGCCGGTGTCGCAGCATCAATGCCAGTGTCACTCACTGTGTTCGTTGTGATGTCGCCTTGAAAATGCCATATTCCCGGGGTTTCGTGGTCGCCCGGATTGTAGGACCCTGCCAATATATCACTCATTCTAGCAACGGTTGGCCGTTGGCAATATTGTGACGGTCATCATGGATGTGGGCTGTTGTTGTACGCGCTATGGTCAGTTCAATATTGCTCGATGTTGCGGTTTTATGCTTTCAAGCATGACTTCCTTGTGCGTAGCAACGCTTGAGTTATCGGAAAATTGTTATTCTTCAGGCGAGTTAGCTATTACCTGTTGGTGCTGGTGTGATTACCACTGCCTTTGCAGGATTGCTCCGCTTGCTAAGGCATAGTTGTTGTTTTGGGTAGTGGGCCGGGACCCACCTATCGCCCCCTGCTTTCGCGTGATATATAGTTTCCGTACACCCTGAAACCCATGTCGCTTCATGATTCATCACCTAAACCCCAAAAGCCCTAAACCGTCGAGCCCTGAACCCTAAGCCCGCTTCCAGCTCCTTGATCTGACGGCTCAGGCTTAGCCGCGTCTTGCCCTTCATCCCTCGACATCGCCGGTTCGAGATCCCGAAGACGATCAGCACCATGGGGCAGGCGAAGCTTTTCCATGCCCTACCTTTAGCTCAAAAGAGCTACATGTCAAGACATTATTTTCATGATGTCCTTTCTGTATGTATGCAAAATACTAGCGTATACATTGGGATCTGCCCCCGCCCAGTAACAGTGGGAAACTACTTTCCTTATATATATATATACACCCCCAGAAAAAGCACAACTGTTTGGAGGCCTCTGGAGTTCCCAGTTTTGGGGGGCCCCAACTGTTCAGCAGGTTTGGGAGTTTCGGGAGCCCTCGCTTTAGATTCCAAAGGTTGGCATTTGGAGTTTCCAGATTTTGGGGCCCCCAACTGTTGACCAGGTTTCGGCATTTGGAGTATCCAGTATCCAAAACTTGGGGGCCCCAACTGTTCAGCAGGTTTTTGATTTCGGGAACCGAGAGTTCCAATTCGGTAATTAGCCCAAAGGCAAATAGTGGAGGATTGAAGAATTGATGCTTGGTGCTTTCGGAGGGTTTAGGATTTCTGCAGAAAATGGACGAGAGTTTCGGAATGCGCCCGGCCCCAGGCCAGCAGGGCCAGGGTGCTATCTGGCCAGGCCAAATCTGCAAACTAGATTGCAAAAGGGAGCACAAGAAAAGCACAACTACTTTGCTTGAAATTTGGATCAGGCCAGCAGTTTGCCCAAAATCTCCAAACTAGAACGCAAAAGTGAGCACAAGAAACGCACAACTGTTTTGCTAAACTGGAGCACAAACCCGACCACAAACTATGTATATGTATACGGTATACATATACATATGGGTTGTTGTCAAAATTATGGTCCCTTTTTGGATCCTTAATATGATACTGCACCTAATATTTAGGGGTACCCAAAAGGGGGCCATACTTTTGACAACTACCCATATACATAAATCCTAACGGTAAAGCCGGGCAATTTCCGTCTGTCTCGAAGTTCAGCGTGTAGGGTTGAAGGTTCAGGTCTCCGTCAGGCCCCACATGCAGGGTTACTGCGCGTTGCACCTTAATTTCCATTCGAAACCTTGTGCTTCTTGTTCTGTGGTGGTCATTTTTTTGGGAGATGCCCGCCCCGCAAAGACTGATACCGCGCATCTCCAGCAATGAGACATGTCGCTGCAAAGAGCTCATGCCAAGATGCGTCTTGAAGAGACACGGCTGTGATGCCGGAGAATTGCAGAGTTTGCAGTCTTCGCAGGTGCCAGGTTCTGGGTGTCACGGTGGTTCATTATGTTATGGATTAATTCAACAATAGGATTCTATATATGAGCCCCAAAAAGGAACTACTTTGGGGCCTTGGGGTAATTTAATTATTGCCAATACTACTTTGCGGGGTCCTTATTGTATTTAGTTTTAGTATAAGGGGCCCCAAAACCCTGTGTCGAAGGCTCTTCCGACTGACAGCTCCTGCACGATGCAGGTGGTGCAGGTGTCCTTCACCATCGTCAGCAAGATCGCGCTGGAGCCCATGATGCGCCTCTGCCTACATTGAGTCAGTCCTGATAAGTCACAGGATACGCTGTGTGTACAAATTATCCCAGAGTGTGTGGTAGGTAGAAGGTCCAGTTGTGCAGTGGTTCAGTGGCATGGTGCATCTTACACGGGAAGCACACCGCCCTATCCAACCCAAATTAATCTTGCCAAATCTATTTCACGGATGCCCACCCTCACGTTGTTGTGCTTTTTCCGGCTGTAACTCTTCGATGTGGCAATCAGGTGGCCTTTGTTGAGTTCTCTGTCCTGCAAGGGTTTCAGGCATTCAGTTGTTTTTTTTCATTTCTGCGACGTCTTTGCACGAACGCGGACCATGTCTGTCTTTCTGTTGTCGGCGACCAAAACAAGTCTTGTGCACTCACGAGTCGAGTTTCCTGGTTGAAACCGTGGTTGCCTTTTGTGGCTGTATCCACTCAAGCAAAGAGAAGCAAGTCATGGTGTGTGTACAATAACATTATGTTATGTTATATATGTGTATATATCTAGCGATGCTAGATATGTATATATATATATATATATATATACATGTACCTAGGTGCGCATGAGTGTGTGTATATATGTATATGTATATGTATATGTATATATATATATATATACAGGTAGTTGCACCTATCTTCATTTCTATCCCTGTACCTTTACATTTTCTGTTCTGTCTGTCTAGCTATCTATCTACCTACCTGGCTAGCCAGCTAGCTATCTGTCTATGAAAGTATATATATATATATATATATATATATATGCCTACCTCCCTACCTACCTACCTACCTACCTACCTACCACCTACCTATCTATGTCTTGGTGTCCATCCATCTGTCTATCCCATCTATCTATCTATCTATCTATCTATAAATCTATGTTTGTTTGCACAAGCTCGCCCCGGCCCCTGACCCGTCGCTTTTTCTAATGCCTGTGGGTCATCCACTATGTGTGGGTCTGGTATGTGATGGGCACCTTCCATCTCCTTCGCTTCTAGCGGAATATTCGCCATTCTGTTGCCAGATCCAACTTGAGCTGTGGAACGAGCGCAAGCAAGCTCAACCAACCTCATGCGACAAGAACCTAGTGTCGGAATTCGGAATAATTCGACAAGCTATGCACTTAACCTTTCCCATCTGCGTATGCCGTTGTGCACCGCCGCAAGCTCCATTCTAATGGTTGAGGCCCTTATGTATTGCATTGCACACATGCAGCAATCCGGCTCCGGTGAGTAATTCGCAGCGAGGACGCTTCTAAGCAGATTTTCCAGTGCACCACGAAGACGACTCAAACTTCTGCAGCCCTAAAAGCCCTAAACCAAAACCGCCTCAAGCCCAATCTGCTCGATGTTGCTTAGGAAGCATTTTCGTCTTTTTATACGGTATTAACCAAAATGACTTCAAAGATCCTCCCTTTCTTTTGGGGCTGTACGGGCTTCTAGATCCCTCAAAAGAGCCCTTGAAGGATACCCCCATCACCCTCATAGTCGTAGACCCCTTGTGGTAGCTTTCTGGAGTTTGGGGTTTGGGTTTTCGGGGCCTTCTTGGGACCCGAGATACTCGAAGCAGGTGCTACAGTCACCCCAACGGCAAGCACGGGCTGCTAAAGCACAATGGCATCTTCTGCTTCGTGGCCCGGCATCATCGCAGCGGAGGGCTCTCCACTTATTTGGACTTGGTCTAATGACAAGTCATAAACCCCGATATAGTCGTGAGACTTCTTGAGGGTGGCTTCGATGGATGTCTCCATGAGCGGGTCCTGCATGATCACCGTACAAGAGTGGCACCTTATTGCAGATGTAGCCGAAGAAAACCCTGCTGGACGCAATTTTGGGTGCCTGAACCCTTGGTGCGAATGCTCTAAACCCTAAACCCTAAACCGTGAAGAGTCTCAGGTTTTTGGTTTCAAGGGTACAGGGGGAGTCTTTGGTTCTGTAGCCCGGTGACACTTCGAAAATTTGTCGAAGCCTTTCCGTGATTTCAAGATTACCCCACCTGAAAAATACCAGGTTTCTTTCCTAGTAGCGGTTTCTCCTGGTACCATCAAGGCCCCCGGAAAGTCGCAGAGTTTGTCTAAGTGCTACAATGAAGACTGCTTGTTTCATGAGCATCTTCAGTCGTTTTGGCATTCCATACAAGGGCCTTTGGATGAATCTTTATATCTGCTGAACTCTCGGGATCCCTACGACCTAAGAGGCCCTGGTCGTGCCGAAGCAGCTAGGGGTCCGGTTTGAGGGTTTGGGACAGGGCGATGTGAGTTTCAATCCTGCAGCCCTGCGGCAACATTCAGCGTCTTTGGGGTGTGAGTCTTATCCAAAAACAGGACGTTCAGGGTGAACGCCCCGACGCTGGGGCTGAAGCCTTAGGCCAATTGGCGCTTTGAGCTCAGAAAGTCAAGTTCCGCGAGTAGGCCGTGTGGCGCCAATGCTTTCATAGGCTCGATCAATTAATTGTCCCTCAATCTGGTTTGGGGTTAGGGTTTAGATTTTAGACGGTCTGGAGCCTGGATGCAGGATATCTTGTATCAGTATTATTGTTATTAGTGTGCTGCTGCTGTTGTTGTCCGTTGTCGTTGTTGGTGTTGCTGTCATCATGCTCGTGGTCATTTATTAGTACTACTATTTTTGATTCTCATTACTATCTTTGCTGTTCTCATTATCAGTGATATTAATAATACCAGTATCATGTTTGTTATTATAATCCGTGTTATTTATTGTTATCATTACTATTGCCAACGTCATTACTACTGTTGTTACTACTCTTGTTGTTCGCATTGATACCTTTGTGGTGGGTAGGACAGCCCGGAGCACACGACCATGTTCTTCCTGGGAGTGATCCTGCTCGCCGGCCTCATCAGCTTCTATGTGCCTGATCCGCGAAGTGAGAGATCAGCCTTCTGGTTTATGGTTTCGAGGTTTGGGGTTTGCGGTTTAAGTTTCGTTGCTGTATGTGGTTTGGGCACTCCTTTCAGGGTGTAGTGGCTCTGGTTTGGGGTTTGTGGTTTTGGGGATTTGGGTTTTTTTTGGTTAAGGGTTTAAGTTTAGCTAGGGTTCTGCTACACAAGTAAGGAGTTTGTCAGGTCGAGCTTCGGGATTCATAGCCCTCATAGGACCTGGGGTGTTTCAGTCAGCTTCCTGCATTGGGGTTTGGGGTTTAGGGTTTAGGGTCCTAACTTGGGGATTCGCTTTGGGTGAATCTAGTATATCCAGGAAGTGGATTGCAATAGAGTGGAAAGGATCCCTGGCCACTGCGAGAAGTGCGTTTCGCTGCCGTTTGGCTACATAACTTAACGTTCTCATCTCTACCTCTAACTAAAAGGCCCGTCAGCAGAAGAAGCTTGCTGAGACGTCTTCATAGGCTAAGATTTTGGGTTTATGCTTCTAAGTTGTTTCAACAGGAGCACAGGAGTTTGTAAGAGAACCTCAATATGAAATAAAGCTCCTGGTTGTCCCCGTACACAAGTCTCTCAATGTCCAAGAACTCGAGGCCCTATAGTAGAAGCCAGAAAGTTGGAACATCATTATCCTCACGCCCTTAAGGTAAAGGATAAGGGAATCCTAGCACTAATCCTCCTACATAAATCTATGTTCCAACTTTCTGGGGTTCACTATACATGCCGGAAGAGCTCATCACTCGTGCTGCACTCGAAACCCGAACTCCTCTGAAGTCTGGAGGCCCTGGCCGTGTTTGGCACCGTGTGCCCCGGACAGGGTTTTAGGATGTGGCCAGCTGGGAGGGGTTTTGGTATGCTGGTTTGTAGTGTTTTGTGAATTCTGGGGCTATTTAGAGCAGCCTCTAGAATGAGGGTTTGGTGTTTTCGGTGGCTTTGAGACTGAAGGATGCTTCGGGACACGAGATTAGCATTGTATTCTCTGCACAGGCACTAGAAGTCACTAGATGCTACACTGCGGGGCAACGTCGTCAACATCCACCTTCTCCAGGCAGGCATGGCCATCAAGATGCAGCTATAGTTTTGTTAGGATTTATTTTTTATTCATATAATACCCAAGAGAATACTTAAATATTATTTTTATTATGGTTCTAAGGGGGGTGTAGGCAGTTGGTTTCAGTAACTACTGGTAGATTGGAGCAGGCTGTGTGTTTAATGATCAAGTTGCCCAGTCGACAACTCGATCGTTGTCAGGTGGACTGCCAAGCAGACTCCCGTACCCCCATACTCCCAAGGTAAGTATAGGGCTCAAGGATATCTGGATTCTCCGGGTCCTTGGATGCAGGATCGGTATGAGTGGGTTTCAATGCCACTTTGGCATGGAAGGGCTTTTGCAAGTGTCTCTGTTGAGGGATCTTTTTGATGTTTCCCTCGGGATGGTTCTAGACTAAAGCGAGCGGGGTACACACATCCTCGAGCCAAGCCCCACAACTCCAAAGTTTGCACAACCAGCACACCCTACAGTAGAAGCCCAAATAAAAGTTGGAAACCCCATAGCCTCAATCCTTAAACGTAACGTAAAGGGAATCCCGGCGCTATTTGGCCTTAATCCGGTTTCCAACTTTATGGGGTTTGCTGCATACCCGAAACCCTTAGACCCTACAAGGCATGCTCCTCGGGCCGCCAAGAAGGGCCAAGCCGGTTTCCTGCAGTGCATCCGCTTCCTCATCGCGCGCTTCCGCGTGGACTTCTGGTGGTATGGAGCCTCGCCACCGGATTCGTTTTTGGTTGGGAAGGGGTGGGGGCCGACACACGTGTGTGAGGTGTAATTACGGGTCATGCTGGAACCCACGGAAAGCCCAAGAGCATCCAAGATCCCTAAACTTTGAACGCCCAAGCTCGGCATCCGATTCTCGAGATGAGGAACCTTGGTGCTGCCGCGTGGCCTCATGCTTTCTCTCTCCATTGTGCTGGCTGCTGCCTCTTGCCATGGTTCGGAGCTAATTGGGCTTGGTGTTTCGTTTAGGAGCTTTGAAGGTTTGAAGGCTCTGGCACTGTTGTCATGAGAGTTCGTCCTAAAATGTTCTACATGATCTTTTGCAGTTTGTCGGGGTTGCATGGGTCTGCCGAGGTCTGATACAAGGGTTTGAGAGAAATGGGGAGGAGGGTTGGTACACTCTTCACAGGATGACTCGGTGGCGGCGTTAGTTGTGGTAGCAGTAGTTTCGTTCGTGTACATCCCAGGTTGAGGTACCTTCCTTAAAATACTAGACCGGAACTCTGAAGGTATATTCCTTGATTCAGGGCACTATATGGGTCGAAGTAGTTCGTACTTATATCTTTAGGGGTCCCTGGTGGTTTAAAAACAGCGCACGGTGCAAGGAGCCCCAACCCAAAACCACTGAACCCCAAACCATAAACCCTAAGCCCTGAGCCCAAGGACTACTATTAACGAAATTAAACCACTGAACCCCATAAACCCAAAGCCCTAGACCCTAAACCCGGGCAGACAGACAAAGATACGTCACCCCAACTTAAAAAAATACCCTAAACCCTGAGCCCCTAAACCCCTAACCCTAAACCGTCGAAGCCCTGAAGTGAGCCCAAGGACTACCCGTATGTTCAGATGCTCCTCATTGTTTTTATCATCCTGACGCACCTTGGCCGCTATTTGTGAGGAGGTTGGGAGAGACAAAGGAACTACTCCTGGTTCATATGCACAGGAAGGGTTTAGGGTTAATTTAAATAAGGAATATGCATTACCAGTCTCATTAGGGGCTCTAATCTAATTTTTAGGTATATTCCCTGATTAATGGGTATTAAGAAGGTTAGGGTAATTCGGGTTCATATTCGAGTTCCCTTAGGCGTTACTTCAAGGGTTGTATCGTGCTTTACTATGCGTCTGTAGGCTTTCATTCATTCTTGGCACAAAGGTTCATGATGTTTTTTTTTTTTTTTTAATGGGCTCAGGGCTTCTGTTTCTGACAAGGTTTATGATGCTTTGTTTTTTTTTGGGCTCAGGGCTTCTGTTTCTGGTTTGCCAGGGTCTCTAGGGGGGTTATGATATGTTCTGAGGTGCTTGGGGCTCGGGGTCAAGTTTCCGGGCTTCGGTCAAGGGCTCTGCGAGGTTCTTAATACCTTATTTTGGGGATCCTCATATGCTGTATTAGGTTTGTCATGCAGGGATGTAACATCCGAGAAGCCCAGAAAATCCCGAAGGAACCTTGAGAGGAATCCACGAAAAGGAATCCGAGAACATTCGACGGAACCCAGGCCAAACGGCCCATGGCCTGAATCATAAAAACCTAAACCCAAAGCCAAGAAAACCCATAACCGTAGGAATTGAATTTTCTGACGGCGTTCAGGGTGTTTTGCAGCTTTGGTGTCTGGGGTGTTTAGTGTGTTGAGTGTTGGGTAGCTTGCATCTTCACCCCGACCCTGAAAACCCAGCGCTTCTGTGCAAGTGTTACCCTGCGAGCGCAAGTTTACGTAGCCTGAGCCATAGTTTCAATAAGGCTTTGGGTTTATTACAGTATATCATAGTATAACCGTATATGTAGGGACTGCAACTCAATAATGAATGCTCATTCTTCCCCAGCAGACATGTTCATCGGTGCGTAATTACTGTGAGCGTTCGGGTCAAAACCTCGAAATCCCCTATAAGGGTGTAGGGTTTAGGGTATATAAGATCATCAGTTGCACTCAGGGAGCCCTGAACCGTAAGCCTTCTTGGCGTAGCCTGGATTCCGGACTCCGCTTGCCCTCCCGGAATTTCAGAGAAAGTTGAACTACTGTTGATGATATAACTCCTGCATTACCTTAAGGACTCTAGACTATGGGAATTATGGTATATCCCTCATTATGGGTAATGCAAGATTTGTATCATCAACCGTACTTTCTTGGTAGAGTGTAGACTGTGTCGCACTGCCGAAGGTCCGGCAGCCGTAGCCTAAAGCAACCTCGAAGCCCAAAAGAGGGGGCCGGAATAGTAAGTAGTAGTATTCCGTCATAGTATGTTCTATGTTCCATATAGATATGTGATACGACTAATAGTTACAAAACCCCCCCCCCCATTCTATTCATTAAGGCCTCCTATATTGAAGGTACATGGTGGTGCAGCTTATCGTGTGGCCGTGGAAGCTTCCAGCCCTCAACCTTTTCGATGGCCTCGCCAGGGTCTCGGAGCTCAGTATCCGAGCCAGCTTGAGTTTTATCTTGAATTGTGGCTTTTTAGTTTTTCGACCCTGTCTACTCTAAATTTCACGGGATCCTAGGCATAAAGTTGGTTTTCCAAAATACAAGACTTTGAAAGGCGTGTATAACCCTTAGACCCCAAAGTCCAAAAGCCACAAGCCCTGAAACCCTAAGCCCCTAAACCACAAACCCTGCAACCCTACTATAGGGGCCTAAAATAATTCCACTACTGTTTTGGGGTTTCCTTACGATACAGTAGATTAAAGCCCCAAGCCCGATTCTCATCATTAAGGCCGTATATCTTGCCAAACTCGTAGACCCGGAATCCACGAAGTCTTAGCTTCGCGGGGTTCACTATGCCAAAGGTCAGCGTTTGCCTCATCATGATGATGTCTACCATGGGAGCCTTTACACCCGAGTTGCCACCGGAGCCCCACGGCTTTTGTTCCCAGGACTTTGGGTTTAAGGGTTTAGGATTGCTTTTATGGTGGTGTTGCTATGTGGACTGCAGCGCTTGGGGGGGAGGGCATTCAGCTCAGGGCGTCAACTGGGTATTCATGTGCGCAGGATGGAGGGGTCTGAAAGGTGTCTGGCGGTGGTTGTCTTCGGGTCGTATAGTGAAGGGAATCTAATCGCATGGATTGTTTTTTTGGGCCCCGTTCTCAAGGCTTTAGGGCGTAGGAGTTTTCGGAATTTTACTGTTGAGCTTCAGGTGGTCGGGTTGCAGGGGGTTTGGTTCTAGGCTTTGGGTCTTTAGCATGTTGAGTCTGTCAGGGGTTTGGGCGTGTTAAGCACACAATGATATATAGGTTTACAGGCGTGAGATTGCTGATGTTTGCTTGACTTGGACTTTTACTGTCGTATTAGAAGGGCATGGAGCCTCAGAGTTGTTACTACTCGGAGATACTGCAACGGCCGTAACAAGCAGGTCCGGGTATTTCTTGAGGCATGTCGATGCGTCATCCATAGAGGTGCCATGCAGGAATCACTTGGCTACTGGATTTGCCGCCTGCCGTCGCAGCCGGGGTCAGGTTCTGCTGAAACCCCGCAAAACGAAATTGGCCTTGGGGCTGTGTGTCTGTGTTTTTTTTTTTTGGGGGGGGGGTTGCAGAGAGGACCTTCGGTTCATGGTCCAAGGATTTCGGGTTTGGAGTTTAGGGTTATCTACAACCAACTTTGGCGATGACGATTATGACAGCCATTAAATTATGACAGTTACCATGATTCTGACTTGTTCTTGTTGCGACACGAATTGATTTCGGCAAGGTTTGAGGTTTCAAGCCTTCCGAGGCTGCGCGAAAGTCTTACGAGCGTGTCCCTTGGAATCGTCTCTCGGCACAGAGCTCTGGAGAGACAGCGGTGCCTTGTTTGGGAGGAGCTTGGTGATTCCGGTTAAAATAAATGCCACGTCGTTCATCATTGCCGCTTTCCATAATGGTGGCGGTGCTGCACCTCCAGCGTTTGCTCCATCGCTTCCTAGCTGACTGCTGCTGCTGCTGCTCCTACTACTCTTATTTTCGCTACCACTACCTCTGCCTATATAACTCTACCTACAACCCACCACCACCACCACCACCACCACTGCTGCTACTACTTCTTCTTCTACTACTACTACTTCTTCTTCTACTTCTATTACTGCGACAACTACTAATACCACCTTTCTAACTTCTACAAAATACTGCTTCCGGGGCGGTGCACAGACCACGACAGATCTAGGGCTCGACATCGGGGCATGAGAGCATCTGGATAGGCTGCTGATGAGACTTGTTCGGCTTCATACGTTGCAGGTTTCGGCTGGTGAATGACCTGGCCGTTCATGGAGTTTGTCGCTTAAGATCCAAGGCGTCAGGCGTTGTAGGTCATTCTCTCGACTTTGGCCAGTAGCTGCCGGAGTGCCGGGCTTTAGTAGCAGCTGGGAAGGTGCTCGGTTCAGAGGTTTAGTGCTAGGACGTTCAAGCGGCTTGTCGCGAAGAGCAGCCTTCTCTGCAACTGCCCGCAAGGCACAAAACGTACAGGCATGAATCTGCATGACCGATGGAGCAGATCTTTTTTTCCGTAGAGTCTTTCAAGCTTGGAGCCTTGCTCTCTCACGGGAAAACGACGAAGCCTGAACAGTAGCATTCCGAGCTCCCGGAGCCAAGATGGTGATGCTGCAAGTGGTCGTGGTTTTCATGGTTGGCGTCACTGTTATGGCCATGTTCTACCGCCATGCGCTGGGAGGTGCCAAGGACGCCCGGGTTCAGAGAATAGTGCATGCGCAAAGCCATCAACTTCATATGAAGGAACAGCCCACTTTTTGTTGCTCTACATCTATGTGCACGTGTATGTATACTATATATGTAATTACAATTTTGATAGCTGGAAAGATAGCTGGATTTGGGGAGTCTCGGCATCGTGGAGCTCCCGACCCCTATGGTACCCTAAGCACCACAAGTTGACAAAACCCAAACCCCCCTTAGCCTAAACCTCAAAACTAAGCCCAACACCCTAAAACCCCAAACCCTAATCCTTTTCGTTCGCCGGCCGGTCTGCAGACGGACAAAGAGATTCAACAACAAAACCTAAACCCTAAATCCCCAAATCCCACAAACACCAGAGCTTTGCAGGCCGAGCCGAGGAAGGGACCCTGAAACCCTCTCGGGGCTGAGCTCTGGGAGCTAGACTTAAACTAGGGTTCAGGGTTTAGGGTTTGAGGTTCAGGATGGGGGTTTAGGGGGTTGTTTAGCTTCGGGATCTAATCTAGACTAGGGTATTTTAGGCTCCTTATGCACCACCCAAAATCTAGTATAGGGTTCCTCATCAAGGACACATAATATAGTATAGTAACACCCTGCTTGAATTCATCATGACCCAGATTGGAGATTTTGACCCGGCCTTCAGGGTTCTAGAGTAAAGGTGATCTCAGGACGACAATCTGAGGGCAATGTCCAGGGTCTGGAGTCTAGAAGGTTTATAAGGTTTAGGGATGTTTGGGGTTTAGGGTAAGCGGTTTAGGGCTTACAAGGTTTCAGGTGTAGATTCGGTCGAGGGTGTCCAGGCTGAGGCTCCGAGTTTTAAGCCCTCTGAGTCTGCTTTTGCAGGAGTCGGTGATCCTCGCTCTTGGCAAAGTTCCCCACACGGAGGCATCTGGGTTTTGCTTGGGCGCATCGGCAACTAAGAAATGTAGCCTTTACTAGGGTTCTAGTCTCCTTTACTTGGGGTTTCTTCTCACAGCCCCCTAGGTATCCCCACTTGCTAGGCCCCTGTGCAACCCAAAGTCTACAGTCCACAGCCCGGAAAGACCCGATCAAGATCTATAAAGACTTTTCCCTTCACGTCCTGTAGTGTTCTTAGATTTTGTTTGGTTCGTATAATCAACTTCGAAAGGATTGATAGACAAATGCATTTTGACTATGATTCTAGGGGCGCTTAAGCATCAACGCACAGTGAACGATTCACGCTCTGCAGCCAATTGCGACGTTGGCCGGGAGCGTTCGTTGAAAGCTGTCGGTGCTGCGAGACGCAATCAGTACGCTCCGCTTCATTTTGAGGCAAAACACACTTGCATCGCCTCTATCGCGATGCCGACTTTGACAGCATGGTCTATAGAGTTGGGAGGCCATCCTATTGACGAGGAGAGGAAGCTCCACCATGCCATTGCTGAAGCCTAGGGCCTAGGGCGTCGTGGCCTTGCCGCTCTGAGGAGTTGCTTACTAGGTGGCACTTTGGGAAAATATCTTAATTCCTTATGTTTCCTATGGACGTGCTTATATACTAGGTGGCACTACTAATTCCCACTTATGGTTCCTGTAGAGGTGCCTATTCATAAGTACCATTCAACCCAGCTTATCTTCGGGTCGGAGATTTCGGGTGCAAGGGTCGGGACAAGCACTACGGCACCAGAGCCGAAGCCGCCAAGGCCAAAAACCGAATCTGTTACGGTTTAGATTTTAGCGTTTAGGGCTTGGGTTTTAGGGTTTAGGGTCCCTTTTTGGGCCCTTATTATAATACGGCACCTAATGTTAAGGGTACCCCAAAAAGGGACCATAATTTTGACAACCATCCACATGTTAGGATCTAGGGTTTTAGGGTTTAGGTTTAGGTACGTCTAGCGTAATCTTTTAAGTTCCTCCATGTTACTTACACAACATGGTTTGGAATATTGACAATGTGAGAATCTAGCCGATTAGGTGCGAGCTTTCGTGGGCTTTAAGTAACTTGCCTGCAAGCCAGTCGAATTCAAAATCAACTGGCCTTGAGCTAGTCTGTGTGCCCATGTTTCGTGCAGCTGGCGAGTACCAACAAATGAAGGATGAATCTGTATATACCTTCCGACTATGAGCCAGGGCGAGAGAGAGAGAGAGAGAGAGAGAGAGAGAGAGAGCGAGAGGGACAGAGAAAAAGTATACAGAATGAACGACAGACAGAAATGACGAGATGCAAAAATTATGAAAGCACGAAAGAGGTTTCAGAGCGAAAGACAGAAAGGAACGCAGAGAGAAAGAGCGAGAGAGAGAGAGAGAGAGAGAGACAGAGAGAGAGAGAGAGAGAGAGAGAGAGAAAGAGAGCGAGCGAGGGAGACGGAGAGCCGCAGACGCGGAGAGAGACACAGAGAGCGAGCCTCTTTGAACAAAGGGGTCGCAAACTAATCTCAGGCCCTTGAACTGTGCAGATGCTATAGACACGGTCAGCCTGGTTTCTCTCATATTCATGGGGTTGAGAGGCTAGTTAGCTTCTTGTCTTGCCACTCGGGTCCAAGATTACCCTATACTTGAACTATCACTGTTTCCATTTCTGCGTGGCTATTTGATGTAGACCCTAAACGGCAAGGTCTTTGTCGCAAAGACCGGCACAAAGAGCTAACAGCTCCTAACGCTGTCACTGCCAAATGCCTGTTGAATGCCAGATCTTAGCGCAGAAGCTGGGGCACTTCGGAGCATCCCTCAAGGACCCCGCCGCCTTCTTTACATGTCATGTCACCTCTCGTTTCTGGGGGGGGGGGGTTGGGTATTAGAGATCGGGGGTTGAGGGATTTTGGGAGTAGTTTGGGTATCCGGCAAGACTACAGTCTTTTCTACGCTTTAGGATGCGAGATGGGGTTCGAAGGCAAGGACGGCTGTCTTGGAAGGGGCAGCCGTCGCTTCAAGCTTCAAGTCGCAGGGCCCCGATCGCAAGGCTGTCGAACCCAAACTCGAAGCCCTCAAGCCTAATGCTGTCTTTTGACATGAGCCTTTCAGTTTAGATTTTAGATGGCAGTTCAGTGCTTGATGGCGAGGGGCCTGTGTTCTAAACATGGTACTGGGCGGTTTGATGAATATTCCACAGAATAGGCAGCAGCCGCCCGTGACTAGTGGTGATGAACCGAGTCACTGCCTGTTGACCCCTGGACCGGAAAACCGAGACATTCAATGTAAGGGGCCCCAAAACCCTATTCTAAATATTAAGGCAACTATATTATGCAACGAATTCAGAACAGGATATCGGTCCCCCTGCCATGATGGGATACTTAAAGGATCATGGGACTTAGTACCTAGTCTTATACTTAGGGTAACTATACTTATAACCCCAATTAAGGTACCTATAACCTTACTTACTAAGTCCCATGATCCTCCAAGTATGATGTGTGCAACCGCAAAGTATCGCAACCATCACAGAGACGGCAGCGGTCCTGGATAGCAATTGGAAACAGAAGCCCCGAAAAGCAAGAGTGGGGCGCGTGGATTACTCCCACCTACACTCACTATACCTGAAAGTGCTGCGCTCCGTATCTGTGTATGTATGTTTTGTATGCACAATAAACAGCTATATATAGTATTTATTAATTATACTCATACTTCTATATGCGCATATACTTTTATATGTGTACATATATATATATATACACATGTGCATACACATACATAGGATATTTGTGTATGTATATATAGATACATACATACATTCATCCAATGGCGGACCAAACATACGTGCGAGATGAGGATCTCCCGCATCTAGAGATGGTGCGAGTCCTCGAGAACCTCTCCGTCTATGACCTGCGAATGCACCTTTTCCGCAGTATTCGGGCCCTGAGCCCAAACCCTAAACCCTAAGCTCGAACCCCTAACCCTAAACCCTGTACGGTGAAGTGAAAACATGAAAGGAGGACACGCCTCAAGCCCCGAAACCTGAACCCCGCAAGCTTAAACATCCTTATGAGGGTTTAGGGTCTGGGGAGTTATGAGGCTGAGATTCTCCACAGCACCCTCGAAAAGATTTCTGCCTTAAAGCACTGTGCTTTACAGGTCAAGCAGTGACCTTCGTAGCAACAGTACAGTAGATGGTATATCTGTCATCAGTTTTTTTGTCTTCCCTTGTGTCTTCGCATGTCGGAGTTCTCACAGCTCGAGCTGTAAAGTTCTGGGGCGTTCAGAGGCCGCTGTGAGTTCTACAGGATGCAGATGAAATCGAGGCTTGAGCTATTCGGGAGATTCCGAAAATTTGGGGGTACTTTATCTTGGCGTCCTGATTATCACGATCCTACTGTTAGGATACAATACTATGGTCCCCTATTTTCGGAAGCTCCCATTTGTCTTCATCACATCCGAATGAGAAAAGTGGGGCTTTAGGGCTTTAAGGTTTATCGCCCGGAACTGGGTTCTTGTGTTAACTTAAGTTGCCATAACAAGAAAACGATATTATTACTATAGATCCCTATTATGGTAGCTTGAGTTAAGCTAAGTTCCTAACAAGAACCCAGGAAAGGAAGCATGCAAACCGGAAGGGTGGCTTCCATCGTTCATGAGCCCCGGGCTTGTGGGCACTTTACAGCCTGGGGAAGTTTCAACAGCCGACCCTAAGCCCCAACGTCCTAAGCCCAAAAGGTCTGAGAGCTTCGCATCATGCGGGAAGGCATCTCTTCACTTTCTTTGTGCACTCTCCGACCGCCCCACCCCCCCGAGCAAGTGGCAAATCAAATGTCTCAGGGCGCAAGGTTTCGGAGTTCAATCACCCACCCCCGACCTCATCCAAGCAGCTTCGCATTGAGACATGAATGCTGTTTGGCATCGCAAAACTTTTAACCCGTCCACATAATCAAGTGCCAAGCACGCAAGCCCCAACCTTCTTACTCCTTGCTCTGTCCCTGAATTCTAGGAGAGCCCTTAAAGCCAAGACGTAAAACCTCCCTGCTGGGCCCTAAGCCCTAAACAACATGGCGGTCCGTCCATATTCCGCCAGGTTCCCAAGTACATTGATGGTACAATATGCCCGAATGCCCTATTGAAATTATTCAGGCACTTATACTGCTTATTTAACCCCCCCTCCCCGAAGGACCAACAATGTGATGACAGCGGTGGGCGCTGAGGCTTGGCAGTGGCATGGTCATTCCAAAGCTTTACGAAAGTTTCACTCTTATATACAGGGGTTTAGGGCTTACAGCGTTTAGGGCTAAGGTTTGTTGGGGATGGGGGGGGTTCAGGGGATTTGGGATTTCGGGATCCAGGGGTTGGGCTTTGCGGGTTTAGGGTTCCGGCGGTTGTCGGTTCAGGGATGAAGGTTGAATTCTGCAGAGCTTGCACTGGTGGTGACCGTGCAGGATTTTTTCTGACAGGCCCTTTGAAATGCCTGTCATCCTACTCCAACTTCGGTACCTCGTTCTCGTTTTCAGCTTGAGGGCTGGGATTTAGAGGAACGTGCGCTGCTGGTTTTGTGAAACTCTTCCTGTAGAAGAGATTGTGGAGGGAGGCTTCATATTATGTCCCTGAAGGCAACAGCTGTCTACATCATAGGTTCGAGGTGTATGCGGAGGTTTCAGCTTTGCTGTTGAAGTGTGGTCTGCTTTTTCCTTCTCAGGGCTTTTGGTACTGGGATGTCTTCATGAGGCGCGCCTTGTTTCCGACACTCCTCTTCTGGTCAGCTCTGCCTGAAATTGCTGGCAACCGTCGAAAACCCTCAAGCCTGAACCGTATGCGAAGGACGTATATGGCTCCTATCATCCTGTCAGATTATGGCCCAATAGCAGTTCTGGTGGGGTGTGAGGTGTATCAATCAGGGGTCTAATTTGGCTTCGGGTGCGGAAGTAGACATGCTGCATGCTTAGAGACCATTGTAAGTCAGCGCATGCCCTGTTAGCAATACCGCCCCTAGCTCTTCTGCTGACCCGGAAGCCATCGTTCGAAACTGACGATTCCCTGCGTCAAACCGATTGCAGCCTCACACGCAGGAGAAGCCCTTCAAGCAAGCCCTCTAGACCCCAAGCCCTTGAGACTGGTCGTCCTCTTATCGCCCTAAATCCCAAATCCTGATTGAGATCGGCGATGCTTCTCTGATGATCGCAAGCCGCGTCTCTCTGATGTCCCAGAGCTCGCGAAGTGCCTGAGTTGATCTGGGAATCTGGGGTTGAGACGACAATATTCCCGAGGGTTCCATATTATACTTAATCTCTTAAGTTTCCTGCTCGAATTGTTATAAGGACCTAAAGTATCCACTTGTTACAAGGTCCCTACATTATCTGCGAAGGTCCAGGGTTGAGGATGTATGATTATGCTTTGCGGAGCCCGTTTTTGTTAGGACTTCAGCGGGTCTTCACCGAAGCTCCACACCCGAATACTTCGGGTTTGCGTCGCATTTCAGGGCGACATTGTTAGTGCTGTCTGCGACCTCAAGATCTCCAGCCCAAATTCGCGTTTAAGGTTTAGGGGAATACCTCAACCCAGCAAGCTTGATGCAATCAAGATGTCTTTGAACCAGCCTTGTTCTTGAATACATTTGTCCATGCGAGCCACCACTCCAATCCAGAAGGTTGCCTGAGACCCTCGGTACTGGACCCCCAGCCCTGAACAATAACGAATAAGCGCACTCAAAAGCCACACACCTTACACTCTGTGCTATAATAAGAAGAAGTAGTAGCAATAGTAATATTATTAATAATGACAACAAATGGTGATAAGAAGAAGAACAATAGCAATAGTAGTGACAATGACTTGCTTACCTGGTATCGATGCCGAGAATCTCTGGACAGCCTGCGAAAGGAGCGAGAAGCAGAACCAGGACAAGGGATCTGAGAAGCCTCAACCTTACCAAATACCCTAAGCCAAGCATGAAATCATAGACCCCAAAGGAGCTTACCTTTGACCTGGCTGACATAAGCTCAGATTTTCGGCTTAGGGCCTGAAAGGGGTGCAGGGCTCTCAACCCAAAGCCTGAGTGAAGGGCCTGTCGACAGACCAACTCGGCCTACTTTCGTTCGGGGTGTTGGCCATCTCCTTCCGCAGCACTGAATGTAACAATCAGCTGTACCCAAGAATTTACATGTATCTGTATATATACATATACATATAGATATGTGTGTGTAATATCTCACCCCTTGTTCATGGATTCATTTACTTTGAGTTTTTTGGTTCTGTAATTTCACAAATACACACACACACGCATTGGTATGTATCGCACATATACATTTACACATATACATATATACATATACATAAAATTATGTTATAGACATATACATGTACATGTACATAAACATATACATATCCATATCCGTATCCATATGTACCTGTATATGTAGATGTATACGTATATGTATATGTACATGTATATGTATGTGTATATGTATATGTATGTGTATGTGTATATGTATATGTGTTGATGTATATGCATATGTATATGTATGTGCAGTCGCCCCAGATAGAGCTGGCCGCATTTTTGAAAGAAGTTTGTGTATGAGCAGCGGTTATCCAATTTCAACCATACTGGTTCAAACATCGAAGATGAAGATGAAAAAAACAGCTCACAGACGAGATTTCTGATGCTCACATTTCTCTCTCCGCAGCTGCGCCAACGCCTTGCGCTCCGCCGGCTGATTGGGTCAGTGCAGGGTAGGGCTGGGGAAAAACATGTATATGTATATACATATGCATATGTATACATGCATAATACATTCATATATTCACCCTAAGCCCCTAAACCCCCACTGACCCCAAAACTTCTAAACCCCATCGTGGAAAGCAGAAGCTCCCCGCGCCGAAAGGAGTCGACTCGGAGGGGAAGCAGCCTCCGGAGCAGGCTGAGGGCGGTGCAGAACAGGGTTTAGGATCTGGGGTACGAGTAGCAGCAGGTTGGCTATAAGAGCTGCTTAGGTTTTTACGGTTCTTTATTAGAGGGTTCATTCTCATGGCATTTCTGTGTGGAGGCATTCCCGCTGCATCGGTTTAACTCTAACTTCAGGTGCGCCGTCTTAACTATGAGGTATGTTGTTCTTTGGGTTTTCAACATACTTCTTCTTCTGATCCTTGCTCGTAAGATCATCAACCTTTGACCTACCGCCTTCTCTTGTAGGTTGTGGCGACGTGTCGTGTAGCCTTCGCCAGTAGGCGACTGTCACCGCTTTTATTCGAGTGGCAGGCGTTAGGAGCAAGGGTGCGATTGGGGATCACTGCGCCTGCCGTGTTGCACCAACACCATGCTGCTGATGAAGGTGATGAAGGGGCGAAATCAGCGGTGGCCGTCGCGAACTTCCCGTCACTTGCCACGCTGGGCCGGTATTCCATTGTTGTCGTGGCAGGCCGAGGCAGCATTGCCGCGATCAAGAACAAACACATCAGCAGGTTGCGGCTTGGGCTGACGGTGACGGCACGCCAGCTGATCTCGCTCTTGAATGACGACTTAAGGCCCAATACGGCATCGAAGCTGCGGCCCAGGCCTTCGCCCTCCCTGACGCAGCAGAGTTTGCCCAAGACGCGCGCGTCCTGGAATCGTTGTCCAAAGCCTACACAGCCTCGGCCTGGAGAAGGACGCGGACCTCCCCTACATCAAGGACGCTGATCTCAGCCTCTCACGGCCCTAACTGTCAACGAGGACAGACGCTGACTTCAACGATGAACTCGGCATGATGTTTTAGATTGCCTTGCCGGGCCGAATCTCTAGCAAACGGCGGGCTGCTGGGATCGATCAATTGAGAAGACTTACCTTGCCCGCCGACTGCTGCTCGGACCTGGAGTAGGCCCTTATTCCCTTTTTGTAGCGTTAGGGTTTAGGGTTTAGGGTTCAGGGTTTCGGGGTTTAGGGTTTTGGGTAGCTAGTGCTTTAGAGAGCTGGGCCCCGCCGATATCAGCCAAGACCCACGGCTCAAGGATCTGAAGCCCTGGGGTCCCTGGTTTTGGGTTTGAGGGTTTAGGGTTTTAGGGTGCAGTGTAGGGCCTTAAGCCTTGGACCCCGAAACTACTGCCCTAGACGACCCCTGCTGAGAAGAAACCGGGGGTTTCCAAAAGCGTGTGTCCCGGAGATTCCCCTAAAACTTTAAACCCCTAAACCATAAACCCTAAACCCCTAAACCCTGAACCCTGAACCCCCAAACCCTACACCGTCCTATTTCTTGGAATTCCCCACTTGTTGCCTCCGTCCTCACAGGCTCACGAGATAGCGGAAACAGAGGAGAAGCCTGCCCGTCCCTGGGGTGCCGGGGCTGCGAGCAGAGATCCTCCTTTCATAGATTTTGGCAGAGTTCTGCGGTTCAATCCTTAGGGCTTAAACTCTGGTAGTTGTCATAGGTGTCTAGGGCCAGTCTAGGGTGTAGGGGCCCCAGGGGTAAACTGAATTTTAAGATCTGTTTGGGATTCCTTCAAAATCTAGATCTACATCGATGTTGGTCGCATAGATGCCTGAACGTCAACTGCAGGATTCGGATGTCCTCGGTAGCGAATTAGGGCATAAACAGCTGTGGGTTGACCCGTAGGCCCCAGAGTAGCTCCTTTTTGGGAGTACCTTACAACCAATGGTTCGCGGTGGTCGGCGGCGGTGTTTGGTGGGTGTGTAGGGGTGCGGGGCAGACTGGGTAGTTGACGAGTTTCTTTTCTGGTGTTGTATTTTTGCGTGCATATGGGTTCAGGAGTGCATCACTTTCCCCTGTAATTAGCATTTTCCGTTTCCTTCACAAATAACGGCTGGCGCGTTTGTTCGTATTTGCCTGAAGCCGAAAGCTTGCTGACTTCGGGAGTAAACTCTAGTACTGTGGTTCGGGTCTACAACTAAAACCTGGAACTCAAGTACAGACTCAATGTTGAGGCCTCCGCTAGTGGCAGAAAACTTGAGGTTCTACCTCCTCTGCTTTGAGGAGTTCTAGAATTTTGATCTTTGCAGGATCCTTCTTAGCAGACAGACAACTGCGCTGGCAAACGGATCTGTATTTTTCGAACTCCACTCCAAGCCGTGTAATGCGGTCCGAACAACAATAAGTAGTGACAACAGTGCCACTGGTAAGTACAGCAGCGGTTCTGAATATTCTTAATTATTAGTACTACTTTTTCTTACTACGAGTATTACTGTTTCTGCTACTATTACTCCTACTACTACTACTACTACTACTACCACTACTACGACTACTATTACTACGATTACTACGTATAGTACTACCACTACTACTACTACTACTACTACTACTACTACTACTACTACTACTACTACTCCTACTACTGCTACTACTACTACTACTACTACTACTACTACTCCTACTACTACTACTACTACTACTAATAATAATAATAATAATTACTACTACTACTACTACTACTACTACTACTACTACTACTACTACTACTACTACTACTACTACTACTACTACTACTACTACTACTACTACTACTACTTAACGACTGCTGCTACTACTACTACTACTACTACTACTACTACTACTACTGCTACTGCTACTGCTACTGCTACTGCTACTGCTACAGCTACTGCTACTAGTACCGCTGCTACATCATCATCAGAGTTGGCAATTATCATGTGCTTTCGGTGCTATTGTTTGTTTCCATACTGTTGTTATTCGTATTTGTATTTGTCATTGTACTGTTTTTGGATATGTTATGGTGCTATATTATATATACAACGTGTTACATTGTATTGTATTGCTTGGCTATTGTCTTTATCATTATCATGACTGTTAGTAGTAGTAGTAGTAGTAGTTGTTGTTGTCGCAGTGGAATGGAAGTAGTAGTTGTATTTTGAAGTTTGGGATTTTGGGCTGCATTCGAACATTTTTGACCGCGGGATGTTGGACCGAGGTGATGATGCCCCGCCACAGACGACGTGGCTGTGAGCTCCATGCCTTGCAAGATCCGGGGACGGATTCGGGGGTGTGGAAAGTAGCCCTGGCGCTGTGTTGGAGAAGCGAAGAGAGCTCGTGGAGACTCATGCTTATATAGATTCAGAGACAGAGCATGAATCCAAGCTTGCTAGCTATAGCAGCTATAGGTACAGTACTACGGTTATGATTCCCAGGTTTATTTCAAGGACTCTTGCTATCTTTGTTGTTTGATACTGATAGTTTTACGTGCAAATATTCTGCTCAGCGCCAGCTGTCGGCAGTTGGAACTGAGTTCCACACGGTTTTCGAGTCTTCACATCGCGCTGCCTGTTCAAGTGCAAGGTTAGGGGCTCATGGTTCAAGACTGCGAGCTCAGGCTATTTCAGGGTTCTGGTCTATCCTTGTTGACTTTAGTTCACTTGTAGGTAGTGCTGCTAGTTACACGATCTTGAGCCTTATCATGCCGTCTGTCAGTCTGGCCCATGTCCACATGCTGTAGTAGTGGTTCCAAACTCATCAACATGATTCTGCACGGGTGTGCGACAGCAAGGCAAAGGCCGGATCCAACACTGAAACATGTCTGATTTCTATCTTAGACTACCAAACCCTACTGTTTTGTAGGTTCTTATTACAAACCCTAATATGGAATGGTTTAGGTGTCAACTAAACTGAACGTGTCGACTACTTGTGAGACCCTTGCGGCACTTCTGGCATCGCTTTGTGGTTGCTAAGCGACTCCAGACCGATAGGGCCGCCCTGACGATCCGGATTCGGCCGAAGATCCGTAAGCCTTACCTTAAACTACCAAACCCTACTTTTTTGTAGGTTCTTATTAATTATAAACGCAAACTCTAAAACGGAATCTATAGGGACCCTACAAAAAAGTAGGTTTTGGTAGGTTAAGGAAGCCCGGGCCCAAAGCCAACATGAACTCATTTCCCGACCACTCATGGAGGTGCGGCAAAAGGTTTGGTTTGTCGAATCAGCCATTTCAATGGACAGCCCTGCACAACCCTGACAGAAGCGAATTAGCTGCAACTTGCTTGTTGTGCATGCAGGAGAAGCATCCAGAGATTTTCTTTATTCTTTACAAGGATTAGGAGACTCCCCACAAGCGAAACCCGACTATCCAGATACTTTCAGAGCTACCCGACAGTCACAACAGGAAGCGTCGCAAAAAAAGATGGCAACGGTGCATACCACTTAAGTGGATGTTGTGGTGGCGGCAGTAGTAGTAACCGTGCTCCTAGTCACATCGTAGTCCTAGGCGCATTAGGACTAGTACTAGTACTCGTACTCGTACTCATGCTAATTAGTAGTGCTGCAATGCTCGTGCCAGCGCGTGTACGTGTGCGAGCACGGGCACGAGTATTGATACTAGTAGTAGTAGGACTAGTGGTACTAGTTGTACTAGTTGCACTTATGGTACTTGTAGTACTGCTAGTACTAGTAGTGCTTGTAGTTCTGGTAGTGCTCGCAGTGGTAGTGGTAGTGGTAGCGGTATAGTAGTAGTAGTAGTAGTAGTAGTAGTAGTAGTAGTAGTAGTACTACTACTACTACTACTGCTACCACTACTACTACTACTACTACTACTACTACTACTACTACTACTACTACTACTACTACTACTATTACTACTACTACTACTACTGCTACTACTACTGCTGCTACTACTACTGCTACTACTGCTACTACTACTACTGCTACTACTACTACTACTACTCCTGCTACTACTACTACTCCTCCTCCTCCTCCTCCTGCTGCTGCTGCTGCTGCGGATACCGCTACCACAACGAAGACGACTTCTGCTACTTCCACAAGCAGGAGCACCAGCGCTGCCACTAGCACGACGAATACTTACAGACAGCATTTTTTTGCTGTTCGCAGTGTCACTGGTTGCTCGTGTATCGCATGCAGCCCAGGTTGTTGGGTTTGTTTCTGTGTTTCTTCTTCACAAACTCTGTCCACGTGAAATCTTGTGATCTCGCTAGAAGTTTGTCCTTCTGACAAGTTGCACGAGCAGGGTCCCTCCGCTGCATGACCTGAGGGTCTAATGTGCCGAAATACAGGGGCTGTGCACCACAAGAACCTATGTCCAGACCCTAACCCCTTCAGCCCGAAAGCAAGAAACAACCTCAACCTGAAGCTCCGACGTCATCTTTCGGCATGTCGGCCCTTTGGGCAAGCCAGAGGCCAAATCGGGAGCGTAGAGCCACATCCGTCAGCATGTCGTTTGTAAGCACACATCGCAACAAGCCGGTGCAGATTCGAGGATAAAGGTTCAAGACATAGTTGTAATACCCAGACCCGAAACCCTAAACCCCTAAACCATGAACCCTGGCCCTAAACCCTAAGCCCCTTTGGGCTTAGGGATTCGCGTTGAGGTTCAAGGGGTGCAGGAGGTCGATTTTCCACCCATTTGCAGCCTAGGCAGCCCAGGCTATTGTTTGATCGAAGCGCTCGGAGAATGAACTAGGACGCTGCATCCACTTAAGATGCTTGTTACCATGTGCAGCTGTCCTCACTTTCACCAGATTCTTAGAGGGATTGTGGCGCCATTGTGGTGCTACGCCCCGAAGCACTCAAGCAGAAAGCACTGCGCGGACTCTACAGGGAGGGAGGTCCCTGCTTCCCTATCGGTGCGCATTTGTGCCCTTGAGGGGTGTAGAATCGGCCGGGGGTGCTCTCGGACCGGAATGTGCCATAGGCACACACGCTCCTTTAACCCAAACACGGGCCTGCAGCCTTGCAAGATGTGTGCGCAGTGAGCCTCATAGACTTTGCAAGGCAACCGAGGATTTTGATGCTAGTTGCAGGCTCCAGTTCTGCATACGAAGCGCCGGAATCAACAGTTCTCCAAGAGACTGTTGTACTTTGCAGTTTTCGGGCGTTGCGAAAGAAAGCCTCAAGCCCAATGAAGATTCCCGCCCCACTGGATACTGAAAGGCCGCACAGGCGCGGCACTAAAGTTGTTGCAGGTTAGGGAAAATGATCGGCTACAACCTGCCGGCAGTAGTACGTGCCCGTCTATCATATCATAGCATGTAGTGACTAATGTAGTGATAAGAAGACATGAAGGATAGAGCTCGATGTAGACACTGCAGCATGAGAGACGGCATAAGAAGATGACTCAACTTCAGATGTGTACGGTTCAGCGTGTTGACTGGTAGTTACCTGGTAGTTTCAAGGATGTATCGGTAAAGCTTGCCTGGTACCTTTATGGCTTAGGGCGCTCCGGACTTGGGTCTAGCACTCAAGCTGTCGAGCTGCAACGACCTTCAAGACAGCATAAGCCTGAACCCGAAGCCCTTAACCCTATGAGTTTCGAAGGAGGACCCACGGTCATTACCGTAAACCTTGGCATACTAAGACTCAAAATCACCCAATAGGATCGATGAGCATGCCGCACAACACACGTCACATATTGAATCCCCCATGAAGGCCTCATCGAACTCTTCACAAAACCCGCATAAACAAACCACACCCAGCCGAAGCACCCGTCATGCCTTCGCTGATAGGCAAACACGTGGCTTGACATGGGGGTTGCTCTAACAGAAGAGATACAGGGCCGGAAACACAGCAGTATTCCCTGTGCCTTCCAATTTATGCCTTAACAGCCAGAGTAGAATGGATGCAAAAATCCGATTCTAATCATTGTTTGCCGACTGACTAGTAAGGCCCCCTCTGTTGGTGTCCTGCCTGCCTGCAAGGGGTACTTGAACTCGTTCTGCAGAACTGTTGGGTCCCAACAGAACAGAACTCAGTTTAGGGTTCAGGGACAAATGGGAGTTTCCGAAAATAGGGGACCCTAACATAGTACCCTAAATAGTAGGATCCTTATTATAAGGACCCCCAAGTATGGTACCCCTAATTTCGGAAAGTCCCAAATAGGAGACGCTGAAGGCAGGCGGATGCATGGGGTATCTTGGTGGTCAGTTAAGATCTGTTACTTTAAGTTCGTAGCTTGAAGGGAACACTGATTGGGCATTGAGGACTTCTTGTGTTTTCCAGTCGGCAGGCACAAAGGAGCTTGCACCTCAGCATGTCGACCAGCCCATGTGCCGTTTGGCGAACCTGCCTCTCTACGGCTTTCAGAAAAACTTGTGCCGAAGCTGCGGGTGAAATATCTTGACTTGGGTTTACACAGCCCGAAACCCTAAGCCCGAAAAAAAACCCTAAACCCCTAACCTACATCCCTGAGCCCTGGCCCTCTATAACCCAGAAGCCTCATGAACAAGAGCAGCTCCAAGCAAGACCCTCGCAGCTTCGGGAAGATCCTACGACCTTCTGGGACTTCTTATTGAAGGAGTCGAAGTGCTTCGTCGGTATCTGGATGGTCGTGAGCCCACACCTGACCCCCAAACTTTGGCCAAGGTGTAAGATCCAAAGGCACTCGTGGAGCACCAGAGATTAGAAATGTTGGGTGGCTTTGTGGCCCTGATCGTTCATTAGGTGCAGCGTTTAGGCTCTCGGTTTCAGGCTGAAGGGTTTGGGGTCCTGACGGTGTCTCAGAGTAGAGTCTATGCCCCGGTGCAATTGCTTCGTTCTTAGCCTCCGTACTTTTTATCTACGATTCGGCCTCTCCTGCCGAAGTGCAGGGCTTTCGAGCTTTGAATGTCCATGGAGTTGCCTGAGAAGAAAGCCAGTGAAGCAACATTCAACACTAGCTTCATGAAACTGGTCCGCCCCGGCGTGCAACAATCTAGGGTGTATCGGTCATGTATGTATGTATGCATGTATGCATGTATGCACGTATGCAGGTATGCAGGTATGCAAGTATGCATGTATGCATGTGCGCGTTTATGTAGCATAGTGTGGTGTAATATAATGTAATGTATTGGAATAAAATGTAATGTAATGTAATTAATGTATGCATGTAATACATGCATGCATGCATGGATTTATGGACGTAAATAGGTAGGTAGATAGGTAAGTAGGCAGGCAGGTATTTTGAGTGTATGTACATGTCTATCTATCTATCTATCTATCTATATATATATATATATATATAT